TAACACTACCAACACATCTGATCCCTAACACTACCAACACATCTGATCCCTAACACTACCAACACATCTGATCCCTAACAACACTACCAACACATCTGATCCCTAACACTACCAACACATCTGATCCCTAACACTACCAACACATCTGATCCCTAACACTACCAACACATCTGATCCCTAACACTACCAACACATCTGATCCCTAACACTACCAACACATCTGACCCCTAACACTACCAACACATCTGATCCCTAACACTACCAACACATCTGATCCCTAACACTACCAACACATCTGATCCCTAACACTACCAACACATCTGACCCCTAACACTACCAACACATCTGATCCCTAACACTACCAACACATCTGATCCCTAACACTACCAACACATCTGATCCCTAACACTACCAACACATCTGATCCCTAACACTACCAACACATCTGATCCCTAACACTACCAACACATCTGATCCCTAACACTACCAACACATCTGATCCCTAACACTACCAACACATCTGATCCCTAACACTACCAACACATCTGATCCCTAACACTACCAACACATCTGATCCCTAACACTACCAACACATCTGATCCCTAACACTACCAACACATCTGATCCCTAACACTACCAACACATCTGATCCCTAACACTACCAACACATCTGATCCCTAACACTACCAACACATCTGATCCCTAACACTACCAACACATCTGATCCCTAACACTACCAACACATCTGATCCCTAACACTACCAACACATCTGATCCCTAACACTACCAACACATCTGACCCCTAACACTACCAACACATCTGATCCCTAACACTACCAACACATCTGATCCCTAACACTACCAACACATCTGATCCCTAACACTACCAACACATCTGATCCCTAACACTACCAACACATCTGATCCCTAACACTACCAACACTGTCTCATTCAACACATTAGAAAACTAGGTGGGAACATTGCATGGGTATGTTGACTGTTTTCATCATTACCCCTCCCTCTCCACTTGGGTCATTATTGTTAGGGTTGTCACGCATTGTCGTTCTCTTCATATTTGGTAGATCTTATATGGTAGGACTTGTTTTTAAGCCAACATTTATATGGTACAATAAGGGCTGGTCACCATGTGACCATTTAAACCATTTGAGGGTTGTATTTTATTGAGTGCATGTTTTCTTGGCTCTGTTGTAACTTGTCACACTGTTCTGGTATAACCCATTTCTTGTCATTTCTCTCTCACTTGGTACACCTGGGTAACAAGGGTTGATGAGCAGTCTTGTTAGTTTAACAGGCTCGGCTAATCAAATCTCTTCAAATTTTTCTTGAAGATAATTCATCTTGTTACACCATCAATACACTCGAGAGTCAATATGCTCATACAATTTGATCTTTTGTATCTCAATGCAGTTTGTATTTTATTGACTGCTTGCAATGAGCTACACAGACTATTTATAGCTCTATTTTTTGCTGTTTATCCAAAGTCTGGACGTATTTTGCATTTACCCATTTCTGTTATTCTTTTTAATTCAGTAATTTGTCTTGCAACAAAAAATCTTCTTGAACCCCCCAAATCTTTTTGTCAAACACACATTGTATTTTATGTTGTCAAATGATGCTGATCAAGCATTATTCCATGCAGTGTTTGATCATTCTTTGATCTGTTTCTCTTACTATCTACTTTGTTCAGTTTTTTTGTCTTTCATGCCATGTCAACTATTGATACTTATTTAACTTTTATTTCTGTGATATTTTTATTTTATCCATGTGTCTCAGCTAGAGCATGAAATTGTTTCAGATCTTTTAAACATTTTAAAAACTTTTTAACAATCCCATGTTAATATGCCATTTCAATCAGTTATTTTAAGTAGCACTATTATAATTTATGCTAAAACAATTTCAATAATCAAAATTTTTATGCATTTTATTCTTAGTTATTACACATTAAAAAACTTTTATTCTAAATTATTACACATAAAAAAAACTCATACTACAAGTTGCATTCCATGTATAACAAGTCTAAGGTCTACTATTTTCTCCTATTGACTGAGGGTGTTTCCCATATAACTTACCAATTGTTATTTGATGTTGATTGTATTTATTGATGTGTTGATTGCTAAGTAGACTGAGCTGCTAGGATGGAGTCTTATGTAAACTAAAGGGGATCACTTGTGGGACTACTGGCCACCAGATTTTGAAAATGACTAATTCTAGTCTTAAAATGAAGCAATGGAAATTGAAATAGTTTCTTAAATATTTTTGGCTTTGAAATAAAATCAAAACTAACTGCAAGTTTGAAACACTAAAAGAGAATGAAATATCTTACTCCCTGGTAGACCTATTTTAGTGAGTAGAGATGGAATCCCTTGAGTGTGTAGAATGGACACCAGTCACTGGTCTCAGCATGCCACATTGAACCAGTCCAGTTAAGTTATTGATGAGTTGAACGAGTCCTCTACTCATTCAGAGAAAAAAGCTTTTAACATTGCCCATCTTACCAGCTAGAGTTACTTCTCTTGCCTGTAGCTCCAGTCTCAAACTGATGATTGTGTTTTATTAAATGCATGTTTCTAGAAAGGTGTTCATAAGACATTTCATTAGTTCAAAGCCATTTTGTTCCTTGTGATCCCATTTAGTTTTTTTTTTATTGTATGGGGTGAAAGGTCAGCGAGTAAATAATGATTGCTCTCTCTAACTGTAAAAGCGTAACTCAATGGTCATAAAACCTCTGTATATTCTGTAATGTTAAAACTGCCGAATACTTTGTTGAATAAATTATGTTGAAAATTATTTTAAGTTTTGACTTAGTTATTGGAGTGGTTTTGTTTTTGGGGAAAGGCAAAATGGCTTTGAATAATGACTAGATTTTAAAAATTATATACTAGCATAATATAACATTCTATCTAAGAACTTTATTTTATTTCCTGTTGATACACAATCACAAACCTGGCAGAAAACTATGGACACCAAGTTTGTAAGACATATTAATGCTCTAGTTGTATGGATTCCAAGGTTGTAAGACACATTAAAGCTCTAGTTGTATGGATTCCAAGTTTGTAAGACATTAAAACTCTAGTTGCACATGGATCCTTGGATTATATGACAAGTCAACTCTTCCTAAGCTTATTGCATAAAGCAGTGGAAATGCTTAAATGACACATTGCAGTACACTTTTGGCTCATATGACATAATGCAGTACACTTTTGGCTCATATGACATAATGCAGTACACTTTTGGCTTAAATGACATAATGCAGTACACTTTTGGCTCATATGACATAATGCAGTACACTTTTGGCTTAAATGACATAATGCAGTACACTTTTGGCTCAAATGACACAATGCAGTACACTTTTGGCTCAAATGACATAATGCAGTACACTTTTGGCTCATATGACATAATGCAGTACACTTTTGGCTCATATGACATAATGCAGTACACTTTTGGCTTAAATGACATAATGCAGTACACTTTTGGCTTAAATGACATAATGCAGTACACTTTTGGCTTAAATGACATAATGCAGTACACTTTTGGCTCATATGACACATTGCAGTATACACTTTTGGCTCATATGACATAATGCAGTACACTTTTGGCTCATATGACATAATGCAGTACACTTTTGGCTCATATGACATAATGCAGTACACTTTTGGCTTAAATGACATAATGCAGTACACTTTTGGCTCAAATGACATAATGCAGTACACTTTTGGCTCATATGACACACTTGGCAAAAACTACTTAGCTGAGCTTCAGGGCATGGTGTATTCAGGTGTGACCAGAGACTTAAGTTTTCTAATATCACCACACTGTTCCTGGTGTATTCAGGTGTGACCAGAGACTTAAGTTTTCTAATGTTACCACACTGATCCTGGTGGTCTGCTGATATTCTTCCTGCTGACCCAGTCAAACACTGTGTAACACAGCAGATTGTAACAAATGGGTCCCTTGTTCTAGTAGCACCAACAACTGGGGCCCTTGTTCTAGTAGCACCAACAACTGGGGGCCTTGTTCTAGTAGCACCAACAACTGGGGGCCTTGTTCTAGTAGCACCAACAACTGGGGGCCTTGTTCTAGTAGCACCAACAACTGGGGCCTTGTTCTAGTAGCACCAACAACTGGGGCCCTTGTTCTAGTAGCACCAACAACTGGGGGCCTTGTTCTAGTAGCACCAACAACTGGGGGCCTTGTTCTAGTAGCACCAACAACTGGGGCCCTTGTTCTAGTAGCACCAACAACTGGGGCCCTTGTTCTAGTAGCACCAACAACTGGGGGCCTTGTTCTAGTAGCACCAACAACTGGGGCCCTTGTTCTAGTAGCACCAACAACTGGGGCCCTTGTTCTAGTAGCACTAACAACTGGGACCCTTGTTCTAGTAGCACCAACAACTGGGGCCCTTGTTCTAGTAGCACTAACAACTGGGACCCTTGTTCTAGTAGCACCAAGACATTAAAAAATACCAGCTCTGTTCATTAAATACAAAGGATTGCATTTGTTTGTTGAGGCAGCAGATGTTGAAACATATCAGGGCTGATAAAAAGGTTTCAATGCTTGTGGCAGGTTTTTAGTATTGACACATTTCAATAGATCTTTAACATCAGTCGCTGGTGGCCTAGATATGGGACACATCAATTATTTATATCACTTACTTGTGACATCAAACATATCACATACTGATGAACTCAAATAAAGGTTGCATACTGGTGTATCTTATAGTGATTTATCACATACCAACATTGCTATATATATCACATACTAATGGTGTAAAATATAAACATATTAAAATACACTTGAAATATTAAAGAGATATGAGAGAGAATCAATTTAATCTTCGGCTGCTTCATTTTTAAACTGCTAACAACTACAGCATTGAATGTACTAAATTTCTAGTTAGTCCTCTTGTCAGACACCACACCTAGATACAGCAAGTAAAAGCTTTAAGATTCCATAAAGTCTGTTGTATATTGTCTATCCAGTTTTGGCAGTCTTTTTACCTCATCCAACAAACCAAAACGTTCCCCTGTGGCCACGGTCAAGTACAACGCCCCCACAACCCACGTCCAGCCTGTTGGTGACCCTAACAAGAAGTCCAGGGACAAAGGCACCAGTAACCCCAAATCTAAGGCTTACGACTTCCTACAGGAAGATATGTGAGTCTGTTTACTTTTACAACTTCCCTAAGTTGTGCTACTGAAAAAAATAATTGCTTTTTAAAAATAAGTAACCTGGAATAGACTATCAACTTAGCAGTTGTATTTTAACATTTTAAAACGTTTCTTTTTCTTAACTACATTATAAATATGCTAATTTTGTAAACAAACTTAACAATGAATAACTTAACTGTTTAATTTTAATAAAATTTTGTAATATATGGTTGTTTTAGACTAGTTAATAAATGAAGTTAGATTGAGGAGAAAATTTCTAGTTTTATAAAGCAAAGAGCAGACTTAAAATGTAGCTGTTCCTATGACTTGTATTTGTAGAATATCAGAAAAAAGTAAGAAAGAAAGAGAGAGAGACAGGAAAGAACAGTACAAGCAGGTGCGCGCCCATGTCAAGAAGGATGACGGCAGGATGCAGGCCTATGGCTGGAGTCTGCCCACCAAGTTCATATCTCACACACCTAAAGACACCTCAGGGAAGTCCCAGGTCCCTGTGCCAGTTCCTGTCTACTGCAGGCCACTGTTTGACAACCAGACTGGTTGGAAGGTAGGTCTTTACACACTTGACCAGCTGAAGGTGGGTGTTTACACACTTGACTAGCTACACAATTATTGTCTGGCTGGAAGGTAGGTCTTTACACACTTGACCAGCTGAAGGTGGGTCTTTACACACTTGACTAGCTACACATTTATTGTCTAGCTGAAGGTGGGTCTTTACACACTTCACTAGCTGGAAGGTGGTTCCTTACACACTTGACTTGAGTAGCTACACAATTATTGTCTGGCTGGAAGGTGGGTCTTTACACACTTGGCTAGCTACACATTTATTGTCTGGCTGGAAGGTGGGTCTTTACACACTTGACTAGCTACACAATTATTGTCTGGCTGGAAGGTGGGTGTTTACAGTAAACTGATGGTGATTGGGTTGCCCTGAATGGCCTGTTTGTGATCCCTGTTGTATACATTTGTTGTTTATCTCCCCTGCCAGATTTGGTGTGCTGTTGTATACAACTGTTGTCTATCTCCCCTGCCAGATTTGGTGTGCTGTTGTATACAACTGTTGTTTATCTTCCCTGCCAGATCTGGTGTGCTGCAGGTGTGAACCTGACAGGTGGTAAAACAAGAGATGGCGGCTCCATTGTTGGCGCCAGTGTCTTCTACTCTGATCCCCCACCTGAGGAGAAGAAAGAGGCTGAGGTCAAGACTGAGGTGGACAAACTGGACAAGGAGCTGAAGGTAGGTTGTCACTTGGACCCAGTGATTGGCTCAGTAGTGTCATAAATTATTTGTATCCTCTCTTATCCTGGTGCTAGATTGTTGCATGTCACCCTGTTTGATCCTGTATGACTGTGACTCCCTGTTTGATCCTGTATGACTCTGTGACTCCCTGTTTTATCCTGTATGACTCTGTGACTCCCTGTTTTATTCTGTATGACTCTGTGACTCCCTGTTTTATCCTTTATGACTCTGTGACTCCCTGTTTTATGCTGTATGACTCTGTGACTCCCTGTTTTATCCTTTATGACTCTGTGACTCCCTGTTTTATCCTGTATGACTCTGTGACTCCCTGTTTTATCCTTTATGACTCTGTGACTCCCTGTTTTATCCTGTAAGACTCTGTGACTCCCTGTTTTATCCTGTATGACTCTGTGACTCCCTGTTTTATCCTGTATGACTCTGTGACTCCCTGTTTTATCCTGTTAACTCTGTGACTCCCTGTTTGTCAGGACCACACCAAGGCCGTGAAGGACATTGAGACAGAACAGATGTCCAGTCTGGTGTGGGTGTGTACCTCAACTAATGACGCCAGCCGTGTGTCAGTCATTGACGCCAACAACCCTGCAGACGTGTTGGAGACTTTCAGGGTGTCGGTCACACACATTCTATGCATCGCCAGTATACCAGGTAATGTCGCATGTCATCAGGTAATGTCACATGTCATGGCCAGTATACCAGGTAATGTCACATGTCATGGCCAGTATACCAGGTAATGTCACATGTCATGGCCAATATACCAGGTAATGTCACATGTCATGGCCAATATACCAGGTAATGTCACATGTCATGGCCAATATACCAGGTAATGTCATTGCTAGTATAATGTCTCATATTTAATTGAGTCCCCCCTTTAATGACAGCCTTGTTGAGTCCCCCCCTATAATGAGAGCCTTGTATCTTGCAGGCGCTATGGAGAGTGACTACCCCGTGGCTGAGGAGATCCTGAACGCTGAGGCCCAAGACCTGCCCAAAGAGACCGTTGTATCAGCTGGCACCAGTCCTGGCAGTGGGGACTCCAGTGGCCTGGGTGGGGTCACCTTTGTCCAGTGTGCCACTGGGGGCACAAGTCCAGTCTCAGGCTCACCTGTGGGATCTGTCACAGACAACAGATGTAAGTACACATTGTTTGATCATAGGAGTTAGCTCACTTGTGTACACATTGGTTGATCACTGGAGTTAGCTCACTTGTGTACACATTGTTTCATCACTGGAGTTAGCTCACATGTGTACACATTGTATCATCACAGGAGTTAGCTCACATGTGTACACATTGGTTGATCACTGGAGTTAGCTCACATGTGTACACATTGTCTGATCACTGGAGTTAGCTCACATGTGTACACATTGTTTGATCACTGGAGTTAGCTCACATGTGTACACATTGTTTGATCACTGGAGTTAGCTCACATGTGTACACATTGTTTGATCACTGGAGTTAGCTCACATGTGTACACATTGGTTGATCACGGGAGTTAGCTCACATGTGTACACATTGTTTGATCACTGGAGTTAGCTCACTTGTGTACACATTGGTTGATCACTGGAGTTAGCTCACATGTGTACACATTGGTTGATCACTGGAGTTAGCTCACATGTGTACACATTGGTTGATCACGGGAGTTAGCTCACATGTGTACACATTGTTTGATCACTGGAGTTAGCTCACTTGTGTACACATTGGTTGATCACTGGAGTTAGCTCACATGTGTACACATTGTTTGATCACTGGAGTTAGCTCACATGTGTACACATTGGTTGATCACTGGAGTTAGCTCACATGTGTACACATTGGTTGATCACTGGAGTTAGCTCACATGTGTACACATTGTTTGATCACTGGAGTTAGCTCACATGTGTACACATAGTTAGTGGGGTTAGTACACTTGTGTTCACATAGTGGGGCTAGTACACTTGTGTAAATGTGTGGTCAGTGGAGTTTGTACATGTGTAGTCAGTGTTTGTACACATTTGATCACATGTGTACTTGTGTGGTCAGTGTAGTTGTGTACACCTGAGATGACCCATGGTTGTCCAGCTGTTGGCTAGCCCTTACATCATGCACTTTGTGGTAGGCCTACTCAGCTGTTACAGTTTCTGTGTATACTGTCAGGTTTATTTCACATTTCTTTCTACCTTTTTTTTACATTGTCTATAGTTTATGTTCACATTTTTGTACTGCACCTTTCATTGGGGAGACTGACATTTCTGTGTTGTGGTTTTTATCTTTCTTCATGTTGTTTCATCTTCCTCTTGTTCTAGTTATTTGACCAGGGCAACTTGTAATAAACTTGAGATGTTAAGATTCTGTTATAAAAGATTTAAAGATGTCAGTCGTGTTTTAACTTTTTAGCTGATACTGTCAGCTGTCTGTAATTTTGTGTTAACATAGAGTTAAAAACTGCCTGCTAAGCTTTCAGTATGGGGAGAATGGAAACATTTAAACTGATTGAATGGCTTTCATTTTCATAGCAGATGACTTGAGTATAAAGGTGGAAGATAGTGATAGTGTTAAAGATGAAGGGGAGAAAACTGGTGGGGAAGGTAAGAAACAGAGTAGTGCGCCCTTGATTCTCCCTCCCTCTTGCATGGTTCATTTATTTTGTGTTGTTTGCTTGCACCATTTGGTTTGCCAGGTTTACACACACAGGAGAATAAAGTGAACAATGATTTGTGTGGCCTGTTTGAACTTGCTCAAATACTCCCTTCATGACTCACTTTATGTTTGCAATGTGTAGATTTTAATTACATACTTAAAGATTTTTAACTGGGTATTTTGAAATCACACGAGTTGATTTTAAAATTATTTTAGCTGTAATCAAGTGGGGAAAAAACTTTTAACATCTGAATTTCTGGGTTTGGCTATAAATACCTGGAAAATTTGTGACTTAAAATGTTTGCATTTTAACATAAAAAATTCAGTTATGAAGCTGGTATAAATATTTTACTGTTTACTAATTATAAACAGGCTTGTAATTATAAAGAAGTATTAATTTTTTTTTAAAGTTAACGTAATGATCTAGAAGATAACATGTGCAATATAAATTAACAGAAAATGTTTTTACTTTTCACCTGCACCCTCTATTTTCCCTATTTTATTTTGTCCTCCATCATAGCAGATCATTGTTTGATATAAACACTCACTAGCTTGACACACTGTGATATAAACACTCACTAGCTTGACACACTGTGATATAAACACTCAATAGCTTGCCACTCTGTGATATAAACACTCACTAGCTTGACACACTGTGATATAAACACTCAATAGCTTGCCACTCTGTGATATAAACACTCACTAGCTTGACACACTGTGATATAAACACTCACTAGCTTGCCACTCTGTGATATAAACACTCACTAGCTTGACACACTGTGATATAAACACTCAATAGCTTGCCACTGTGATATAAACACTCAATAGCTTGACACTCTGTGATATAAACACTCAATAGCTTGACGCTCTGTGATATAAACACTCAATAGCTTGACACTCTGTGATATATTCTGTATGTCTTTTTTCTATGATGTTACAAAGTTAAAATCTCCTTGTATTTAATCCCTTCCCCCATATGCTCTATGGGGTTTTGTAACTAATTCTTAAAAGTGTTTGATTTTAGCAAGAATAGTTAGCTACTGAAAATAGTAAAAGACATCAGATTTTTAGAAAAATGTTTTGCTACTGAATATAGTAAAAGATTGTAGCTAAAATGGTTAATGAATATAGTCAAAGAGTTTAGAAAATGTATTAAATTTTTATTATGAATTTATATCAGTACTAGTTAATCTATACCTAGATACTACACATTATTCAGGGAAACTTTTATCTACTGAGCTAACAGTACTGCACATAAAATAGTTCTTGTTTTCTGTTTCTATGAAGATGTTATGGTGAACTGCCCTATGTATGCATGTATTTTCTACAAAATCTCATTTTATACTTAAGTTTTCAAAGTAAGAAAGTTGAATGTATGCTCATAAAGTTTATACGTGTATTAGACATTTTCCCAGCACCTTTGTAAGTGATGCCAGTTTTGTTTGCCTTGTGTAGCTGGTATTATTTGTTGAATGTGTTAAGCTTGTACTGTGTTGATTGTGTTTAGCTTGTACTGTGTTGAATGTGTTTAGCATGTAGAGTGTTGAATGTGTTTAGCATGTAGAGTGTTGAATGTGTTTAGCTTGTAGAGTGTTAAATGTGTTTAGCTTGTCGTGTGTTGAATGTGTTTAGTTTGTGTGTTGAATGTGTTTAGTTTGTAGTGTGTTGAATGTGTTTAGCTTGTAGTGTGTTGAATGTGTTTAGCTTGTAGTGTGTTGAATGTGTTTAGCATGTACTGTGGTGAATGTGTTTAGCTTGAAGTGTGTTGAATGTGTTTAGCTTGTAGTGTGTTGAATGTGTTTAGCTTGTCTTGTGTTGAATGTGTTTAGCTTGAAGTGTGTATTGAATGTGTTTAGCTAGTAGTGTGTTGAATGTTTTTAGCTTGAAGTGTGTTAAATGTGTTTAGCTTGTACTGAGTTAAATGTGTTTAGCTTGTAGTGTGTAGAATGTGTTTAGCTTGAAGTGTGTTGAATGTGTTTAGCCTGTGTGTTGAATGTGTTTAGCTTGTACTGAGTTAAATGTGTTTAGCTTGTAGTGTGTAGAATGTGTTTAGCTTGAAGTGTGTTGAATGTGTTTAGCTTGTCGTGTGTACAATGTGTTTAGCTAGTACAGCTGGTACTGTTCTATTTATAGCTGGTGACCCACTTGGAGCAGCTGGAGTGAGTGATGTGCCACAGACTCAGATCTTTAAAGCCAGAGGTTCCCCTGCTTCATCAGGCTCTAACACACCCACCCACACAGCACGTTTGAAGGTCACTGGGTCATCTGCTGACCTTGTGAATGATGGAAGGTCATCACCTATATCTGACCATGACCTACAAAATGAGGAGGCAGATAAAATGAGCAGTGTGCTGCCCACTATGTGGATGGGTTCTCACAGTGGAAGGTCAGTTAGTTAGGTCAGGCTGTGGATAGGTCAGTTAGGTCAGGCTGTGGATAGGTCAGTTAGTGAGGTCAGGATGTGGATAGGTCAGTTAGTGAGGTCAGGATGTGGATAGGTCAGTTTTGTCTGGCTTTGGATACATCATTTAACTAGGAGGGGTGGATAAGTCCTTTTTGTGGGTGTATGGATAGGTCATTTAATTTAGTTATCAGTGGTAGGGCTGTGGATAATTTAAGTAGTGCTATGAGAGTTTTCTTTTAATTTGGGTTATGTGGGTTTATTTAGTTAGGTAGGGAGGTGATAGTTCATTCAGTTAAACATGGCTTGTACAGGTATTATATGAGGAGAGTTCAGTTAAATAAAGCTTAATTGTGCTAATGTGGGATACCCACCACCATCAGCATGATGAACTTAGATTGAAATAGATATCTTGTTTCTTGCAGTATGTATGTACATTCATCAGTGTCCAATTGGAAGAGATGCCTCCACTCTGTCAAACTCAGAGATTCTATTCTAGGAATTGTGTAAGTCTAACACTGCCTTTTTATTTGGGGTTGGGTAAACTGTGACCAAAGGAACAATTTGACTAGGCTCTCTAAGATGTGTCAAACTCAGAGATTCTATTCTAGGAATTGTGTAAGTCTAACACTGCCTTTTTATTTGGGGTTGGGTAAACTGTGACAAACTCAGAGATTCTATTCTAGGAATTGTGTAAGTCTAACACTGCCTTTTTATTTGGGGTTGTGTAAACTGTGACAAACTCAGAGATTCTATTCTAGGAATTGTGTAAGTCTAACACTGCCTTTTTATTTCGGGTTGGGTAAACTGTGACAAACTCAGAGATTCTATTCTAGGAATTGTGTAAGTCTAACACTGCCTTTTTATTTGGGGTTGGGTAAACTGTGACCAAAGGAACAATTTGACTGGGCTCTCTCTAAACTGTGACAACTACTCTGGGTGGTCTAGCACAAGTACTCTAGTTGCCAAATGTTTGAACAGAGAATCAAACTTTCAGTAAGGCAGTTAAAATTTCCTGAAATGTGTTTTTAATAATTAAAGACCAATGTTCCTCCCATGCAGGCATGTAAAAGCAATTAAATGTCCTAAAATGTGTAATTAGTAATTAAAGACCAATGTTCCTCCCATGCAGGCATGTAAAAGGTAGAGTTCTTGTTTCCCTGGCTGATGGTACTGTGGCCATTTTTCATAGAGCTTCAGGTAAGGCCTTTTCATTGAACCTAAAATATAATCGTTTTTATTTTAACATTGTTTTGTTAGCAACAAAATTTTACTGTTAACTGAAAATTTTACAGCTATTTAAATATATATATTTATCAGATCTCAATTTTTATTTTTTGCTGTTATTTAAATCAGATTATAAATTTTAAAGTAATGATTTCTCCCAACCAATGATTGTTTATGTAAATACTTGTGTCCTATCAGATTAAGACAATGATTTCTCCCAACCAATGATTGTTTATGTAAATACTTGTGTCCTATCAGATTAAGACAATGATTTCTCCCAACCAATGATTGTTTATGTAAATACTTGTGTCCTATCAGATTATAAATGTTAAGACAATGATTTCTCCCAACCAATGATTGTTTATGTAAATACTTGTGTCAGATGGCCAATGGGATCTACGCAATTATCACCTGATAGACCTGGGTAAACCAAAGCAGTCCATCCGTTGTATGACAGTGGTTGCTGGGCAACATGTCTGGTGTGGATACAAGAACAAAGTTCACATCATTGATCCACAGTCCATGTCTATAGAGGTTTGTTGGCTTATAACACTCAGCTGGTGGTAGTTTTATACAGCAAAGTCTGATGCCCACCCACACCATAAACTTTGTTTACATTTTTTTTTTAAATTTTATGCCAGCCAGTGCCATAATCTTTGTTTACATTTTCAAAAAATGTTGATGCCGTCCCACACCATAAACCTTGTCTACATCCTAGAAAAGTTTTGATGCCGTCTCACACCATAAACTTTGTTTACATCCTAGAAAAGTTTTGATGCTGTCCCACACCATAAACTTTGTTTACATTCTAGAAAAGTTTTGATGCCCTCCTACATCATAAACTTTGTTTACATTCTAGAAAAGTTTTGATGCCCTCCCACACCATAAACTTTGTTTACATTCTAGAAAAGTTTTGATGCCCACCCACACCATAAACTTTGTTTACATCCTAGAAAAGTTTTGATGCCGTCCCACACCATAAACTTTGTTAACATTCTAGAAAAGTTTTGATGCCTTCCCACACCACAAACTTTGTTTACATTCTAGAAAAGTTTTGATGCCCACCCACGTAAAGAAAGTCAAGTGCGTCAACTGTGTTGGGTGGGAGATGGTGTGTGGGTGTCTATCCGTCTGGACAGCACGCTGCGGCTGTACCACGCCTACACACACCAGCACCTGCAGGATGTTGACATAGAGCCATACGTCTCCAAGATGCTGGGTAAATTCTCACATCACCTGCCTCTTAGTTCTTTCACCGTGACTTCTACATACATCATCTTAGTATAGGCCATGAATGTACAGTGTATCACCTTAGCATTTTACTAACATGCAATATTACATTGCCTTGTATATGCCACTTAATGTACAATGATATACCCCCTTACGTAAAATGTTACATCACCTTGGCATATGCCACTAACATACAATGATATCACCTTATGTAAAATGTTACATCACCTTGGCATATGCCACTAACATACAATGATATCACCTTATGTAAAATGTTACATCACCTTGGCATATGCCACTAACATACAATGATATCACCTTATGTAAAATATTACATCGCCTTGTATATGTCACTTAACATACAATGATATCACCTTATGTAAAATGTTACATCACCTTGGCATATGCCACTAACGTTCAATGTTTTGTCCCTGAAGGTACTGGCAAGCTTGGCTTCTCCTTGGTGCGTATCACAACTCTACTCATCTCCTGCAACAGGCTCTGGATCGGTACGGGCAACGGTGTCATCATTTCTGTTCCACTCTCTGAAAGTAAGTGTAAGATGGTGTCATCATTTCTGTTCCACTCTCTGAAAGTAAGTGTAAGATGGTGTCATCATTTCTGTTCCACTCTCTGAAAGTAAGTGTAAGATGGTGTCATTATTTCTTTTCCACTCTCTGAAAATAAGTCGAAGATGGCTTAGTAAAAGGATGAACAGTCATGTGACATTTCTTAAGCATGAAATTAAGAGCACAAAACATTAGACATTTCTTTTAACCTTATATTATCTACACAAGAGAATTTGATTGATCATATCATTTTAATCTGAATTCATCATGCTGGCAACTGCTCATCAAGTGTTTCCCCCACTGTGCTTGTGTCTCCCCCCTTGTCTTGTACAAATACACTGTTCATGTGTTTCTCCCTGTGCCCAGGTAACAAACAGCCCATGATCACAACCTCTAGTAGCCTCAGTGGATTATCTGGTGGCAGTGGACGCCCCGGTGGAGTGGTGCGTGTCTACAGTGATCCTAAAACAGAAAGTGTGACGCCCGGCAGTTTCATTCCCTACTGCTCCATGGCCCAAGCCCAGTTGTCTTTCCATGGTCATAAAGATGCGGTCAAGTTTTTTGTCTCTGTACCAGGTCAGTAGATCAATATTGTCCACACCAGTTCTCTTACCAGTAACATTTCACCACAACACTTTAACCTTGCTGTAACTTTTTTAACTCACATTGTAGAAAACATTTTCAGTCATGTGGTAGAAAACATTTTCAGTCATGTGGTAGAAAACATTTTCAGTCATGTGGTAGAAAACATTTTCAGTCATGTGGTAGAAAACATTTTCAGTCATGTGGTAGAAAACATTTTCAGTCTTATTGTAGAAAACATGTTCACTCATATTGTAGAAAACATTTTCAGTCTTATTGTAGAAAACATTTTCAGTCATATTGTAGAAAACATTTTCACTGATATTGTAGAAAACATTTAACTAAAAGATTTTAAAACCATTTTACCATCTGACATCACTATAACAGATAATTCCAAAAATTAACAAGAGATGTCTACTTATGTTTGACTATATCAAAAGGATAATTAAAAAACAATAATCTTATAACGCAAAAGATTTGATGTAACATTTCACCTCTCATTGAAAGCACCAATCTGTTCATTGCATGTTCAGCTTGTCAGTGTAATAGTTGTGCATGTTTTTTATACTAATTTTTGTTGTGGCTCCAACTTGCTATTGTGATGTTTGTCATTTTTTGTACTAATATTTTTTGTGACCCAACTTACTATTGTGATGTTTGTCATTTTTTGTACTAATATTTTTTGTGACCCAACTTGCTATTGTGATGTTTGCCATTTAGTTTAGCCTTACTGTTAATAGCGGGAGTAGATTGTTGTATCAAGTACCACGGACATGTTGTATTTCAGTTTACGCTAGACGATTTGGGGAACTGACTGTTTCAGAAACATTTCTAGAAGAAGGTTGTAGAATTCTGTTTGTGCCTCTCTCTTACCCAAAGCTTGCTGGGAATGTTTGAAATTCTTGCCCGTTGTTCCTTTAGTTACAGCTCAACCATGACTGAAGTCAAAATGTGTATTGTTTTAAAACTTTTTCAAACAGATAGCATGTAGCAAAACAATGGCAACTAAAACTTGTAGCAGTTTACATAACAGTGTTATTAAAAAAATTGAGGGTCCTACACAAAACTGATTTTTAAAAAGTAAATTTTGAAGAAAAAAAGTTTTTAGTGCATGCTTTAAGTTCTTATCTAAAAGATTTGTTGAACAATTTTGTTTTTACTTTGACTCAAATATAGATAACAACATTTTTTCCTAATCACTGTTTACATCCCCTGTTTGGAGTACTCTCCCCTGCCTAGTAGATTTCCCTTGTATTTATTTTGTTTCCACTCTAAACCCCAGCAGTCCACTCTATCCAGTCATCAAGGCTGCTCATTTGTTAGAACCTAGTGTCCTCTCTGCCCTCTCTGTATGAAACCTGCTCAACTTCTGCCCTCTCTGTTTACATTGTATGAAACCTGCCCAACTTCTGCCCTCTCTGTTTATACTGTATGAAACCTGTCCCAGCTACCAGCACTGTCTTCACCCAGCTCTCACTTGATTATTTTACCAATTTCAGCCATTGAACCACCTGAAAACACTAAATCTATTTCCCATTTTGGAGGCCGGAGAAGTGGTTTATTATTTCAATTTTTTTGTGTGCTTTTTGTTTAGCTTCTCAGCTTGCCATGTAACAGAATCCTCTCTGCTTTACATGTCCTCAGTACCACAAATACACAAATCTTAAAATTCTATTGAAAAATTCTGTAAGATCAAAAACACAAAAAATTATTTTCTTTCCATTTAAAATTAAAGAATAAAACATCTGATGAAAGGTGTTGCAGCATTGGAGAGTAGAAATACCCCCTTTTCATGTATACCTCTCTCTTTAAAAAAAAAATCAGATTTTTGATGAGAACAAAACCATTTTTTAAAAGTCTACAGAAAACACATCTGTTCAAATGCTGTTCTTGTTGCTGACAAATTTTTTTGTTAAAGTAATTAACTGACAAGCATTAGTCACAAAACATGCTGTAGCTTCTAAGTGTTCCCCTCAGTCTTGTGTAGCCTCCGTGTCAGGGTTCATCTAACTAGTACATTTTTACCTCTGTTATAAGCTCAGCTTTAGGGTAAAATATTAGTCACCTCAAGATATGGGCGTTGTTTAGTTTCATCAATACAGGTATTTAACAAAGAGCTGACGGTAAATTAAAGGCAATTAAATATAGGCAGTTGCTATTTTTCAAATTGATAATGTAAAGTTAGCTGTTAATGTCAAAAAAGCCTTGTCTGTCATTGTAGATTTTACTTAGCTGTTGAGTGGCTAGCTGGTCCATAGAGTGGCTACCTGGTCCATACCAATGAGTGGCTACCTGGTCCATATCATTGAGTGGCTACCTGGTCCATACCACTGAGTGGCTACCTGGTCCATACCACTGAGTGGCTACCTGGTCCGTACCACTGAGTGGCTACCTGGTCCATACCATTGAGTGGCTACCTGGTCCATATCACTGAGTGGCTAGCTGGTCCATATCACTGAGTGGCTACCTGGTCCATACCATAGAGTGGCTACCTGGTCCATACCACTGAGTGGCTACCTGGTCCATAGAGTAGCTACCTGGTCCATAGAGTGGCTACCTGGTCCATACCATTGAGTGGCTACCTGGTCCATACCATTGAGTGGCTACCTGGTCCATACCATTGAGTGGCTACCTGGTCCATACCACTGAGTGGCTACCTGGTCCATACCACTGAGTGGCTACCTGGTCCATACCATAGAGTAGCTACCTGGTCCATACCACTGAGTGGCTACCTGGTCCATAGAGTGGCTACCTGGTCCATACCACTGAGTGGCTACCTGGTCCATACCACTGAGTGGCTACCTGGTCCATACCATTGAGTGGCTACCTGGTCCATACCACTGAGTGGCTACCTGGTCCATACCACTGAGTGGCTACCTGGTCCATACCATTGAGTGGCTACCTGGTCCATATCACTGAGTGGCTAGCTGGTCCATATCACTGAGTGGCTACCTGGTCCATACCATAGAGTGGCTACCTGGTCCATACCACTGAGTTGCTACCTGGTCTATAGAGTGGCTACCTGGTCCATACCATTGAGTGGCTACCTGGTCCATACCATTGAGTGGCTACCTGGTCCATAGAGTGGCTACCTGGTCCATACCACTGAGTGGCTACCTGGTCCATACCACTGAGTGGCTACCTGGTCCATACCACTGAGTGGCTACCTGGTCCATAGAGTGGCTACCTGGTCCATACGACTGAGTGGCTACCTGGTCCATACCACTGAGTGGCTACCTGGTCCATACCATTGAGTGGCTACCTGGTCCATATCACTGAGTGGCTACCTGGTCCATATCACTGAGTGGCTACCTGGTCCATATCACTGAGTGGCTACCTGGTCCATACCACTGAGTGGCTACCTGGTCCATACCACTGAGTGGCTACCTGGTCCATACCACTAAGTGGCTACCTGGTCCATACCATAGAGTGGCTACCTGGTCCATACCATAGAGTGGCTACCTGGTCCATACCACTGAGTGGCTACCTGGTCCATAGAGTGGCTACCTGGTCCATACCACTGAGTGGCTACCTGGTCCATACCACTGAGTGGCTACCTGGTCCATACCACTGAGTGGCTACCTGGTCCATACCACTGAGTGGCTACCTGGTCCGTACCATTGAGTGGCTACCTGGTCCATACCATTGAGTGGCTACCTGGTCCATATCACTGAGTGGCTAGCTGGTCCATAGAGTGGCTACCTGGTCCATACCACTGAGTGGCTACCTGGTCCATACCACTGTGGGGCTACCTGATCCATATAGTGGTCATCTGGTCCATACCACTGTGTGGCTACCTGGTCCATACGACTGAGTGGCTACCTGGTCCATACCACTGAGTGCTACCTGGTCGATACCACTGTGTGGCTACCTAGTCCGTACCACTAATACCCAAACATTGTATTTGTATTTCACCATCAAAAACCCATGTAGAGAATGCTATACCCTGAAGGTTCTTGCAATGTTAAATACAAACTATTTCTTGCCTTAATGTCAGTATATTTGCTTTATTGATCCATTGTTTTGCTATATTCTTGTAGATAGTTTAGATGTATCATTTATTCTAAAGCCACCTTTAAATTATGTCTACCTACACATCACTTTTATTTTCTAGAAGTTAATTTCAACTTGTTTATCAACTTTAATTTAAAAGAAACTATATATTTCAATTATTATGTAGTTGAAGCACCTTTTTTTGCATGTTTTTATTTGCACTCCTGAGCTCAATTTGCATGCTTCACTAACTGTGTTGTATTTTTTTTGGTGTGTAGCCAGACGCAGAAAGTCTCCTATTTATGAAGAAGGTACTTCAGTTTTCATTCATCTAATTACTGCACATTCCTAATCTTTTGTTGTTTTTTGTTACATTAAACATGTTTTGATAAACCTGTGTTGCAAAGTATGTTATAACCATGTTTCATATTGCAGTTAAACATACAATGTTTTTTCCTGTCTTCACCTTTACTGCAACTTTAAACAATTTTTGTCAATAACAGGTTTGAGTTTTAAGTCTCAACCTGAGTTCAGCTCAAGTAAAGTTTTGTGTTATCTGTTCTAATTAAATAACTTATCTGCTCCTTCTTATCCATTTAATTAAGAAACTTATAGTTTTACTTCAGTTAAACAGCTTGAAATTTTTTTACTTACTCCCACTTCTAATTATAAAGAAAAAATAATTAGAACATAAGTTTTCCAAGTTTTATCTTTATAAAAGAAATGAAATAGTATTGGAGAAGATGGCCACAGATGTTGTTGACTGTCTTGCTGTTCCTACAAGTTTATTCCATCTGATGATGTCTCTCAGCCCTCCCATCATGAACATTGGAACTTTTTTTTCCATTGCCAGGAATTCAAAGACAAGGAATGAGTGCTGCCTCAGACCCTGTACCATCAACTTCTTCAACACCCCCACCCAGAGGGGAGGCCACCCCTGCCCCTGCATCCAACACCCGTCTTATTTTGTCTGGAGGGGAGGGCTATGTTGACTTTAGACAAGGTAGGTCAGACAGGATGGGTTGGTGGTCCAGGTCTTATGTTTGATTCAAATAATGTAGTGGGGCTTTGTTGGGGATTTCTGTTGGTGTTTGTTGTTATAGTATTGATCATATCAAACAGTGGGTGATGATGGGCTTGTTGTGTTGTTGTAGTATTGATCATATCAAACACTGGGTGATGATGAAAATAATGTGTTGTTGTAGTATTGATCATATCAAACACTGGGTGATGATGGGCTTGTTGTGTTGTTGTAGTATTGATCATATCAAACACTGGGTGATGATGAAAATAATTTGTTGTTGTAGTATTGATCATATCAAACACTGGGTGATGATAAGCTTGTGTGTTGTCCAGGTGATGGAGATGAAGAGGACCCAACAGCTGCCGCAGCCATGGTGAATGATGAGGATGATGAAGACCCCAGCAAGGCCAGCTCTCTGACCAAGGTTGACCGCAGCCACATCATCGTATGGCAGGTGACTTCCCAGGACTGAATTCTCCCACAGCTCAACCTTGTTTTCCTCCCTCTCCCCCCCCCCCCCCCACATTTAGTCACCTGTTAACACCCATAACTGCTTGGTTCAAACCATTCAGAAGGCATAATTGTGGGAACTCTTGGACATATTACCAATGCATACTAGTCTCTTCTATACTTTGTAAGGGCCATACAAATGATCATGGGTACACTGCCAATGTATCTTTGTGGATCAGATGAAGATTGTTTAAGAGTGTATGCTGCTGCTGTGTGAAAGACCAAACCAGTTTTCAGTATGAGAGTTCTTGCATGATAATATTTGTGTTGACCGGTGTTGCTATATGTTGTATGTGGCCTACAGCTCTGAATTCATTGATGTATACATTTTTCCTTATACTTCCTTCAAATGGCAAGTGATTTGTTTCTTTTAAACTGGAAAACTTCCTAGTTTTGAAAATACATGTAGTGTACTTACATTTTTGTTTCGAGATCTTAAAAGGTGACAGCTAGTCAAGACAAACATGATCCTTACTCTAAAAAAAAATTATTTTAACATCTATAGAGTCATAAACATCTTATTGATACATACTTGAAAGAATTATCTACGTAAATATTTTCTATTTTAACTTTTCTTTTTACAGCTAAAAACTGTTAAAAACATATTAAATCATTTGAACAGCTGAATTTCACATTTTAGTTTTTTATTTTCATTTCTAATATTTTATTTCAAAATTTATTAGACTTTGCTTTTTTATAAAACTATCTCTATACCTTCTTAGAATTAAAATTTTAACAACTTTTTAAAACTTCTTTTCCAACTTTTACAACAAATTTATAAATTAGAAAGCTTTAAACCACTGATCAAATAAGTCAGAAGTTTAAATTAAAATAACCACACAATTTTAGTTTCCACCTATAAATTGAATACAGGTTAGGGTTTGGTTATTGTTCTAATTAAGATTATAAAAGTTACAAATATGAATGTTGATGTGGCTGTATGGGTTTTATTCTTGCATTTGTTCTATTTGGATATAATAGTTGGGTCTTTTGTAAGGTTTGAAAACAATTTGCTTAAAAGTCTTTGAGAGTACATTCAGAAATTAGTTGGACTAGGCAGATTATGTACTTCTATTGCAGTTGGGGCCTACAGTGGCTAAATAGTTTTTATTTTTAAAAGCTTGTTTAAAGATTGGGTCAGTATACTGCTCTACTTTTTAAAAGTTTGTTTAAACATTGGGTCAGTATACTGCTCTACTTTTTAAAAGTTTGTTTAAACATTGGGTCAGTATACTGCTCTACTTTTTAAAATATTGTCCCCCTATATTTGACCATTTTTATTTTTTGTTTTGTGATTTTATTTGTTAAGTTTAAATTTTATTTTTAAATATCCTTTAAAAAAAAATCAGAAAAAGATTACAATTATTAGTTTACATTTCTAACAGCATAATGATTTGCCAAAACATTTTATTCCCAATACCAGCTTAGCTTATAAGGTAAAAAATTGTGCCACCCTGTAAACAACCCTACGAACTTTAGTGTGTACTTAGAAAATTGTTTTCATTATGAACAAACTTAAGGTAAACCTTCAATGTTTCTGTTGCACATGGATGGTAATCAAAAGACAACTTGTGTAAATATGATTTTAAAGCTTCTTGTTAAGTGGCCGTCAATTAAAACACTGCTATCTCAAACTAAATGATTCACAAAACCTATTTATCAAGCTGTTTTGGTGCAGCTTGCTCCTTATATAAAAAAACTGCAGTATGCACTGATTCTCATAAATTGCACCTGCTTCAAAGCTTGCTGAATTTTGTAGTAGTAATAATGCTGTTTTTTTACTTTTAGGACAGTGTCACTGAGCCTCATGGGCTCTGATGAAGAAAATTAGAGAATTACTGGTTTAAAGATGAGAAGCATGTGAAACAGATAGATGTCTACAATGTGATCCTTTTATATTGTTTAATCAGCTGCAATGTAGCTCATCAAATATTTTAAGTCTTTTTGTTTGAATAACCACAGTTAATAATATTTTTATGTATGTTTTACTTGTCACATTTATTGTTTTAACCTACACGGATTGTATATCATCAGCCACTCTCATTTTTTGTGGCACATGGTGTAAGAAAATACTGAGAGAGTTTGCTTTTATTGTCAGGTCTTTTGTTGTTGTTTTAAAAGATGATAGAATATTCATTTGGTTTTTTTTTTCAATTGAGTGCAATGTCGTAAATAATCAACTCAAACATTGTGATATAAAAAGATGTTTTCCTATTTGTGTTGCTGTAGGGAAATATTTCTTCATAAAGTTTGTTTGCCTTAATGGAATAATTTGTGGGTAGTTTGGACTTATTTGAGGGTATAGATAGATTGCTAGTTAAATGGATTTTCATTGCTTGTGGCTAACCACCAACTTCTAAAAAATATGGAAAAATGCAAATGTTTTTTTTTTTGCCATAATTGACACTGGCCAACCTGTGCATCTCCAGATGGTTGCAAATAGTAACTAATTCTGATTCAAGTTTATCCAGACACAATTTTTTCTAGATGGCTTGTGCAATACTGTACAGATGGGTTGATAGAATGTCTGTGTTAGTTTTGATGCAGTTGTGTCCTCTATGGCTGTAATCTGACTGGCATGATTTGAGGAATAGTTTTGTTACATTTGATCACATGGTTTACTTTCACTCTGGTTTGAAAGGACTGGTCTGCAAGTTGGGCATTTAGCATGTTGTTTAAGTTTGATTAATTTTGCCTTAATTGTTATTGTACATCTTTTGTTGTGATAGATAGCACAGGACTGTTAGAGTACACACCCGTACATGTCAAATTGTTTTTAAAATATTTTTAAAGATTTTTCTGACAAGGTCAAAAACATTGTTACATACATTTGGTTTTGATTGTTCTAATTATTCAATTAAAGAGGAACATTTTTCTTAAAAACATGCATGCATTTTAGCCAGACTAAGCTCTGATGAAAAGGGGGGGTAATATCTTAAAATTGTACAGGTTGAAGACTTAAAGATAGTCATAATTTTTATTCATCATATTTTTATGTATGAAACTATTTACACACTGGGAATTTTAGCAACCAAACTTGTTGTACCAAGTATATTGATACATTTGATATATACAAAACCATTTCCTGTATCCATTTATTTCTTGCCATTCCTTCTGATGTCAATCTGTGAGGTGTATTTTTTTAGTCAACTGTGTAAATGTAGTTACGGTGTATCACATTGTACCTTCCTATTCTTGTGTATAATATAAATGTTAAATGCTTAACTTATTTGAAAAGTGCATGGTATTTTTTTTTAGATTACTTTAATGGTATGCGCCATGTAAATATATATTGCAACTTATCTAAACATGTACTACTGAGTTGGCCTAAATTAAATTGAATCACTGTATCGATATTATCATGGCTGATTTTTTTGTGTGTAATTGTTGTACTACAATAGTTATTAAAATTATACTAGTTTATGAAAAACACAACACTAAAAAAAATACTTAAAAAAAACTTTTAAAAAAACCACGTTTTTCTTGTGGACTAAAAAGTAGAAAATAACTATTTACATACATTTGATGACAAAAAACGTGGGTACGTTCACCATCAAATTTCCCGACCCATCTGCCCGACCCACGTTTTTTGTCATCAAATGTATGTAAATAGTTATTTTCTACTTTTTAGTCCACAAGAAAAACGTGGTTTTTTTTTTAAAAGTTTTTTTTAAGTATTTTATTTTCTCCTTTTTAGTCCGTTGCTACACATGAAAAACGTGGTTTTTTAAAAAGTTTTTTATATAGTTCATTTTCTACTTTATCTAATGACTTGATTAAGTATGAATTGACTAAGTGTTTATAAATACACGGACTAAAAATATTGAGCAACCAGGATTCGAACCTGGGTTGTCGCGGCCACAACGCGAAGTACTAACCACTATACGATCACGGCCAGCGCGCTCACAGCGATTGGGGCCGAAGTAACTGTTTCAATAGGCCTCCAGTCTTGTCAGTATCTTTAGAAATCATGTCCTCAAATTTATGGTCCTTGGGGCGTAATTAAATTAAGCTAATTACGGTCTCTAATTGCTAGTTTTTATGATTGCATCTGAAATTGTTAGGCGAAAGTAGCGTGTATGCCAAATTTCAGATCTCTAGAGCAATCAGAAGTGGGCTAATTTTCGATGTCAATTTTAACAACAAACAAACAAATCCACAAACGCGAAGCTGAGTTAAGAAAAACGTGTTAATAATATACAATATGATTTATTCAGTTTTACAATAACAGACCAGGTTTAAAATAATACGTCATCAATCACAAGTACAATCACAACTAGTAAAGACATCTGGTCACTCCTCATCTGAGTCACTAGATTCTTCCTCTGCATTCTTCAACCAGTCAACAAATTTTTGCATCTGAAATTAACATTTTTTAAAGATTTCATCAAACAAAAAAAAAACATACCACATTCAGATAAAATAGTTGAAGTTAATAAAATCACAAACTACTAAAAACATGACATACCAAATTTTTCAAGAATGCATGTCTCTGAGCTTTGTCAGGTGTGAATGGCGTTGAGTTGTACCATTTTAAGACTGCTGACTCTGACAAAATATCAGCATCATACAGAAAATTGACTAGTTGAGGAAGTTTAGATCGTAAGTCACTATTGCGTAGAACATAATCCTGAAATCAAAAATTAGGTTTAACAACTGAGATATCTAGGAATTGAGAACATAATTTTTTAAAGCAATTATATGAAAATAAAAATAAACTTCAGAACACTGGCATTTAAAATTTACCCAAAAGATCAACTGATATATTTTAAGAAACAAAATATTTTAAACTTACACCTAATCCATTTAGAGCAGCAAGTTGTGTTTCATTATTTTTAATGTATTTGCACAGCAGTGTAGAGTAGCGGTCAATGTTCTGGAACATATGAGAAAACACAACATAACAATATTTTTCTAAAAATTACAGGCTTAAGACTGAACACTGTAGTTTTCCATAAAACAGGCTTTAACCTAATTAAATACAAGTCTTGTATGGTTTGGCTGCTGACTGACCAATTAAGCCTTGACTCACTGATATTACTGATAAAACTTAAAAATATTTCCGATAGGCATTTTGTGACATAATTTTTTAAAGTCAACCTTTGATGATAAACATGCAGGCTTAAGGAGATGAATATTAAAGAAAATTGAACCTTTTGGTACTTTGTTAACAACTGTGCGGATGCTGTAACAGGTGTCCTCACTTCATGGCCGGCATTCAACTCATGAGCAGCCAAATCAATCAGTATACAAGGGAGGCTATGCACGACTTCTTCAATGGGAACTGTGTATGCATGCCTGAAAAGTTATAATTTACTAATTAGAACAAGCAAATAGCATAAAGATGTTTTATACATTGCACAGAAGAGAGGGAACTTACTTGAGGGAGTTTATTTCAAGGGTCAAATTATCATCAGTTATTTTTTCAGAGTTGGCACGTACAAAAGTGTCCATCAGTTCTTGGTAGAATGCTGTTCATTGAAATTATAGAGAAAAATTGTTACTCCCTGATAGGTCAGTATACCTTAAACTGAATGAAAGAATCAGAGCCTAACAAGCAACCAACCTGTGTTTCTCTCCATCATGGAGGCTTTAAGGTTAAAGCCTAAGGTGGAGTCCACCATATCCTCCCCATCCTCCTCATCATAGCCCAGAGACCTCCCATCTATCTCGTCCTCATCACTAGCCATCTCATCCATTGAGCTGCCATCACTATCCTCATCTGAAACCTGTTCCTCAGATTCAGAAGATGAAACACCCCAAGCTTTGTCTAAACCTAGAAGTGTTAACACAAGGTTAAAGGGCATCACTACATATTTTATTTTACTTTTTAAAAGTTGAGTATCATTGTTAAGCCAAGCTTTCTTATGTTCCAAACTTAGCATGACAACAAGTAATTTGAGCAATATTAATCAACTGTAAGGTACTTACAAACTCCTTCCATTTCATCATCGTCACTATCTACATTTTGTTTGTATTCATAAGCTTTGCTGTTGGCACCATATTTGATGGGATCTGTTGAAAAATTTAACTATTCAATGTTTCTTTAAAAACAAAACATTTTCAGCAATAGTCAATTTTTTTTAAAAACATTTTTTATTTGATAATTATTATTTTTTTAATGGTGTTGGTTAAGAAAAAAACTATTTCAATGCAGGACAGGTTATCTCCCTTAGAGCACAAAAAATGTGCCATAAACAACAATGTTTTAAGTTATGACCTCACCATGACTGTCTACAACAGTGGCATCCAAAGACTTTTCACTAACTGCATCATCTGCACCAAATGAGAGATTGGGATCATCCCAGTCATCCTTCTGGGGTTCTGACATCAGTCGTGTACCTTGAGCAACTGTTACATTGGGCCCAACCACAACCTGTAGGTTTGACGAGAGTGCTAGGTGATTCAGAAGTCAACCAATTCTGGAGTCAAACATTAACTGAACTCTGACCCTACACATCTATCACTACTTGTAGGTTTGACGTGTAATGAGAGACAGGTTCAACCAAAATTTACCTCCCATGATAGCACAACTCCTTTCCCTGTCTTGACATTGTTAAGTACTTGGACATGTGAACACAACAGGGCAGTATCAATAACACAATCATTCCCAACTGTCACATTATCCCAGAGAAAACTGTTCTTTAGTTTCACATTTTCACCTGTGCAATTAAAATATACATCATAGTATTTTATTTACAAAAACATTCTGCAACAATGTATTAAAAATATCTATTAATTGTTAAAAATAAGTTAGGACAAGAACATTAAATTTCTTTTGTATATTTTATTAACTCACCTATTTTACAATTTTTCCCAATAATACAATCTGATATTTCTGACCCACAGCCAATCTCAGTGCCACTCCCAACAACAACATCTTTTTGTAAATTACAACCTCTGAGTAAACAGATATTTCAGTCAATGTATGAAGTCAACAGATGGAGATAATTTTTTACTTAAAAATAAAAGATCACTATTTGTCTAGATGAAAAATAAATTACCTGGCGAGTGTGACATTCTCACTGAGATAAACATGACGTCTGCCATACTTTATTCTCTCGCCATGACTAGAGCCAAATATATCTGGGACAAGAGGATACGACCACCTGGCCAAAATGTCTTTACTGCAAGAAGATAAAACAGTCATGAAGTATATTATATATCACATGTCCTGTATATTATTTACTTTTGATTGTTCTTTATAAACATTCTTGCTAGATACTGAGGATAAGATGTACCTGACAGCATCATATGTTTGAATGTTGGAGACACGGACAGCATACTTGTCATGTATGATGCTCATATGTATTTTAAATCCCATTATCTAAAAAAGAAAAATTAGCATCAAGAATAAGTTAATTACATTAAATTTGTTTTCACTCTAAAATTAGTTTGATTATTGAATGAACTCTTCACTGCTTGCTTTAAAAAATAAGCTAGTAGATAAATTAAAAAATGACCTCTTCATTAATAAGAATGCCTTTAACAAAATTTTCTCGGGTCTGGTAGTCAAAATTGTCTGTAAAAAGTGTTGGGACAATGCGGGAACAGATGGATATGTGACAGTCCATCAGGTCATTGTGGAGAATAACATTGTTATGCTTCAATGCAATTTCCTGGAATAAATTTACAAAGATAGACATTTAGAAGAAATTTTCAAGTTAATAGAACATAATAATTTGACTTTAGTTTTGAAAAACTAAAAAGATAAGGTAAATTTAGTTATTGTGAAAAGTCATTAAAAATACTATATTTGCAACTTACAGCTGGCTTTTTAAACTTGCTTTGGTTACTAGTCCTATCAAAGTAAAGAAGGCGTTTGGTTTCTCCTTCTTCCACAATAAGCACATCATCTTCTTTACTGCGTGACCTGTGGCCTGGCTGTGCTACCTTAAACACCATTGTCATAACTGATGATTTATCTTTTCCATGAATCCGATCCCTGAAATTAAAAGCAAAGCTTGTGTTTAGTGAGTTTCTAAATTTGTTTTGTTATTTAAAAAAAAGATTCCAAAGTATCATTTTTTAAACTTACTTTTTTAAACTCAAATTTTCACTTACTTATGCTCTTTAACAACTTGACTAATATCCATATTAGACACCACATCCCCAGTGATTAGAATGAAATCATTGCGTATAAGAGACTTAGCATCTATTTCTCTGAGAACATCCCCCATAGATCTGCAGGAATCTAACATCAAAGCTGTTACTTTCATGGGGGTTCCCCCATCTTGCCATTTAGATTTTCTGGAGAGAAAAAAATTATACATGTTATCACAACAACACAGAAATATTCATTTTTATAACTAAATAAAAGTTTTTATTAAAAAAAATATAGTTCTTCTTTTAAAATTTTATTCTTAAATTACTGACCTAATGTGTTCTCGAACTTGCTCTCCAAGGTGGCAACAGAACACATAGACATCTTTCACTCCAGAAATTGACAGAGCCTCAAGTGTGTAGTCCAACAGAGGTACATTAACTAAGGGTAACAATGCCTGCAAAAATAAATGTTTAACTTTAAATCTTTTTTTTTAAATATACACACATATTTTTATTATGTTATCTATCTTTGACTCTCAATTGCATGAAACTGAAACTGCTGTCAGTTTTTAAACTTTGCCTGAATTATAGGCCTAATGATAATTACTTATGAATACTTATTTTTAGTATAAAGCTGGCACGTAGTGGGGTGTAGGTAAATTTGAAAAGCTAAATGGCATAGCTGTATAACAAGAGAAGAAAATGCTAGACACATCATTACCTGCAAAATTATGGGAAGACAATTTGCAAGTCATTTTTTTGTTTTATGCTTGTCTTGGTCATTTTTTATTTTTGTGAATTGCGGGAAAAGTGTTTTCGAATTGTGAAATAAACCAATAGGCCTACCCATGAGTGTTTTTTATTAGGCAATAACATAATATTTTATTTAAAACACATCTTTCAGTGCCTTAAAATATATATAGATCTAGACAAGACAATTCAGCAAATTTATCTTAATCCACATTGAGACATTGTGTAATTCTGGTGCTGCTAAATTTCATAAATAATTTTTAAATATCACACTTTGACTACCAAAAACCTATTCAAAACAATATTCATCAATATTTCAATGCCAAGAAGGGGAAGAAGGTGAATGCAAAGACACCACTGGATGGATGACATCAATCAAGGACTGGGCTTCCAGCCAGTGTCAAAACTCAGAGCAGCAGAGGACCAAGATTATTAACATTAAGGCTTAAGGGCAAGGGTTGGCCATTAGGGCTGATTTATAGGGCCATACAAGGAGTTCATTCTGATACTAATAGTATTACTATCAACTGCTTTTCGTCAGCTATTCGATTCGTCCTACTTTCTATCTATAATCTATAAGCTACACATTTTCATCCACACAAAAATGCCTAGATCTAAGATCTAGATTCTAGATCTAGTCTACTGCTTGTGGCCTATGATTTTTTTTTTTTTAGTTCGGCTCAAATTAAATTTAGTCTAGAATCTACATTTTCATATTATTTACTTTACAATAAATATGACAATAATATAGAATCTAGTGTAGATCTAGCTGGTAGAATATAGATCTACAGGTTTCGTAAAACGTTTAACTGTTACCCTTGGTTTTTTTGTTGTTATGGGACCAAATCTGATATTAAAACTGTCAGCAATCACTACAGCTTGTAGAAATTCATCCTGTTCAATATCCTCATTGCGTGTTTTCACTTTTGGGGCCATCTTCTGATGAAATACAGTAAGGTTGCCAGATCAAAATTTGAGAATTGAACTCTAAGAACGGGGGGGGGGGGGGCGATGTCGTGTATTTAGGTTAAGGTTACAAACAAGAATTCTAATAGAAACTGCACAAACATGTTTATTTACAATGTATACTAATATAGACTACCAATCGTCCATGTTTACGTGTCTTGATAAGACTTATGTAATCCAGATCTTTCTCAAGTAGATTTTTGTTTTAAATCATTAGCCTAATAACAGTGGCGTAGCTAGGATTTTTGGGCCCCTATGCAAAAAGTGTTAGTGGGCCCCTCAGAGGCGTAGCGACCCTTCCCGGCGACCGGGGACAAACTTTCGATTTGCACCACCCCCCCCCCCCTCAGACTTTCGATTTGCACTCCCCCCCCCCCTCAAACTTTCGAAAAAGGGCCCCTAGGCCTATATGCCTTGGGCCACTATGCCTTGCTTACGGTAGCTACGCCACTGCCTACTAAAACAATAACATTTGGCTATACTAATACTAATAGTAATACTTTATTAAATTACATGTAGATCTAGGCCTACATCTAGATCTAATACAAGAAAACGTGTTAATTAATAATAAAATTAAAATCACAACAAACATTAAACAAATATTTAATCTTACGCTACAGTTGTCTATAGATCTCTAGATTCTAGTGATGGTCTATAGACATAGATCTAGTATTAGATATTAGATAAGTATAGTCTATCTATAGTCTATAGACATGTTTTATGATAATATTGAAATTTAAAAGTAATTGTATTAGGATAAGCTACTTTAAGAACTTTAAAATATAATTAACAAAACAAGAACTATACTAAAATAGAAGATTCATCTTTATTATTTTTGAAGGTTTATAAATAACAAGCCTATAGAAGATCTTGATCATGTATAAAATAGAAAATGAAATCTATAGAAATCTACGAGTGATCCCGGTGTAGAGAAGGGATGATCCTAAGATCTAGATGTAAATAAAGTCAATAATACCTCCCTAATACAACAGAAATGGCGGCTGTTGTGAAGAAAAATAAAGGAGGTTCGAAACCAGTCTGCAAATATGGAAGTAAATGTTATCGCAAGAATCCACAACACTTACAAAATTATCAACACCCCGAGAATGACGACGAGGATAATGATGCAGATAAAGAATCTAAAGTATTGAGTATTTTTTAATTCAGTAGCGGAGTAAAGAAAGAGTGGTTGTGAAGAGTGAACACAAACAAATTTAAAATTTATTTATTTAGTATTTTTTTTATTTATTTTACTAAAATTTTAGGCTATAATAATAACTTATAAGTTAGGTAATCTATCGTTTTGGGTACGTAAAATCGCCCGCGGCTATTAATGTACGAAAACGTTACCTCATTGTCAAGGCTTTAAAAGAAGTTAATTGTCATATAGATCTATATAGGGGCCTATGTGTGTCAAATATTATTAGCGTGTATTTCGGCATCGTAATTTCTAAGGGCAACCATTTTGGAAATGGCGCTGACTTCCCTTTTCGCTTTTTGTCCCAGGCTTCCGTCACCGCCGCGCGTGAGTCTAAAAATAGACTAACGGCTTGTTCCAACCGGCATTTCGTTGACGCTCTCTGCCTTTCGTGTTTACTTGACATATCATATTGGAAAATTTTTTGGCGGACGATATTTATTAATTTAGTTTTTCTTTCTTCGGAATATTGCTGTCAAAAATAGAGGTAATTTCATCATTTTTTTTCTATTTGAATTAGATTCCAGTTCTTTTTAAAATTTTGGTAGTTCGACAGAGTTTTGCAAATTTTCTTTAAATTAAGTCTGAAAACGGCTAAATTCCCACCAACAAGTCGTTTAAATGTACCTGCAAAGTCTGAATCGATAACTTTGTAGCCGCCATTATTTTAAAAAGATTTTAGAAATATTGTATGTTTATTAATTTTTTAAAAAATAGCATTTAAAAAAAAAACAATATTACGAAAAAAACAACTTAGATCTAGTCTAGATCTAGATATCTAGATCTAGATCTAGAATCTAGATCTAATAGTATAGCAGTAACAGAGGCCTAGCTGAGTCTAGCTTGAAGACTAGTTGTACACTAGTAGATCTAGCTAGATCTAGAAGATCATCTTAAGACTAAAAGATAGATCTAGTAAAGATCATCTAATTTCTAGATCTAGACTCCAGATTCTATCTAGAGATTCTAGAATCTAGATACTAAGATAGACTCTAGAGATCTAGCGGGCAGATGCTAGATCAATAAATTTGTGAAACCTAGATCTAGATATTAGATATAGATCTAGATCTATAATCTAGAGTCTAGAATTTAGATTCACCAGATCTAGATTCTAGGTCTACTATTGAATCTAAAATCTAAATCTACTTTTTTTTTTCAATTTCAGTCCATGGTCTTGCAGCTCTTTGAATGAAATCGACCTGAGAGAGAAATCAATCAGTCATCCCTAATTACTAGATCTAGATTGTAATTACAGTTATCTGATAAGTTAAGTGATCTTTTTTTTTACCTAATTTTAATTATTAATTAGATTTTATTAGATCTAGGCCTATAGCCTATTTTTTATTTATTTAGTAATAATTAGATCTATTCTAAATTTTCTAAATCTATTTGAATTTGTAATAGACTTTTTTCACTAATTTTTTCACACTAATTGTTGATTTTAGTATAATTCATTAACTTACAGCTACAAACTACAGTTATACAGGCCTACCTTAATAACTAATATTTTTCACCTTATATTTGCTTTTAACAATAAACAATTATGGAAAGCATGAAAGCTGTTAATGTAAATGGTCTAATTGAGACTTTTTCAGAACCATCAGTCCCACTTCTGAATGGATATGTGGTATACATGATGCACGTTTCCAAAAAAACCTCCATCAACAAATTGAGTGAACAGTTAGCATTAGAGCAGCATCTGGCTGATGTTGGTGATGATGTAGGTTTGAGGAAAGTTACTAATGCTGTCAAGAGATTGAAGAAAGAAGTCAGCCGCCTGAGGTGCACACCAACCCGCAACTGGAATAGAATAGTTGAGCTTTTGACACATCCATTCTTTGTTCAGGATGAGATTGCTGATAGCGGTAAGGATATTGCTGGCCCTTCAGTATCTGCTGAGGGAATTTCTAATGATTCTTTTATAACAGGTGATAATATGGTAGTAGGTTCAGCATGCATGGAGGAACACAACTATTGTGTGACAGATGGAAGTTCTGCTGATGTAGGTGTGTTCACAGCTACCAGTATTGACAGCACATACAGATTGAGAGCTAGCAGGTGTGCCAGGTGTGTTCTGAGAAATCAGACCATACTTCGATGTAAGTACACTATAAGTAAACTAAGAAAAGATGCTAAAACAGTTGAGGCTGTAAAAGTTAAAAGCTTAAGAAAATCGTTACAGAGAAAACAGACACAGATCCATTGTTGGAAGAGAAAATATTTCACAGAAAAGAAAAAAAACCAACAGATGTCGAAGCAGGTATTGGCTGGTGCAGAAACAGCAGGAAAGGGTAAGTTATTGATGATTTCAAACATAAAATATGCTAAATTGCAGGTAAGGTTTCAGAGAACGACTAGACATCTTCAGCAAGTAATCAGAGAATTGAGAGCCAAGATTGATAGTGCTAAATGGGAAATGGATAGGCTGATTGCTGACAATGACAGATTATTGAAGGAGATAGATGCTTTAAGAGGAGAAAGGGACAAGATCTCAGCAAAGAATGATATCCTTCAAGCAGAGAATCTCAAACTGATTGAGGAGTTTGACAGGGTCATTGACGAGAACCACAATGATGATGAGGAGCCATCATGTAAGTATGGAGTGAAGGTAAGGAAAATTGCTTATAAAAGTATATTAAAGAATGTCCCTGTTAGGAATGTCAGCGGGCTTGCAGAATTTATTGCGGAAGCTGTTGGGAAAGATACGCTGAAGATGCCTCATTTCACTAGTGTGGCTAGGATGGGACACGAGCCAGGAGTCCTTGCTTTAATCCAGGTGGGTGAAGCGCTTCACAAGTGTGAGTCTGCTTGTATTAGTTTTGATGCCACAACCAAAGGAAACAAGCATATTAACACTTTTTCAATTTCGACAGCACCATCTGGAGAGAAGTTGGCTGTATCGACTGCTAGGGTTCCTGGAGGCACGGCTATTGATTACGCTAGCCATATAATTTCTTCCATGAAAGAAGTGGCTTCTGTTTACAGCGACTACACTGGCCTGCCATTCATTGAAACATTCAGCCTGTTCAGGGACAAGTGCACCTGCAGTGTGACAGATAGGGCGGCTGTGAACACATGTGTATTGGAAATGCTGCAAAATGAGTTGGATATGAAGCTGATTCAGCTCAACTGCAACATACACCCGTTAGACGCAGTGGGATCAAAAGCCAGGGAGTGTCTAGCCAGTTTAGACAGAAAGATAAAGTTGACATCTGCTTCAGGGAAAAGTGTCGCAGCTGCAGTGGGTGTAATAATGAATGTTTCAATGCTCAGGTATGTTAATTTTATTTAACAGTTATTTTTAATTATCCTGTAATTATTTTTTTGTAATGGCCTTTCTTTTACTTTTTCTCTAGCATTAATTGCTTGTAAAATTAAATACCATTTTATCTTGTTCATTTAGATACAGCCAGCATGGGAAACCTGCAGCATTCAAAATCTACCTGAAAAGGAATAAAGTAGCTGCTGGAACCTTTGTCCGCTATGTTGGGAACAGACTGCATGTGATGTTCCACATGGCTAGCGTCATCGTCCATCATAAAAAACTACTACTGGATTTTGTGACTAGGTGATTATTAAATATATATTTCTTTACGTTTTATGTAACTGTTTATTTAAGCTGTCATTATAAAAAAATTTTTTTTTTAATAGCTATGGTAATAACAACATATGCACACGATTGAAGAAGGATCTGAACCTCAGTCAAGTTCTGGTAGAGCTGCAAGCCCTTGGACTCATTGGAAAGCTGATCACCGGACCTTGGATGAGGCTCATTTACAAGAATGCAGTTAATATGTCTAATCTTAGTTTTGTAAGAGTTAACTTGATTCAAATACTTAATAATTCTATGTATATATATTTAAATAGAGAGCTAGAGATAGTGATAAATATATACACACACACATTGACATACCATTTTTTAATGTAAAAAAAAATAAATTTTCTTCTTATATATTTTAATAGGCACCTTTGTTCCAGAAGGCTAAACAGGAGATTAGCAGACTGAAGAATAATCCTCGAAATGTGTTATCAGTTGACTGTGATGTATTTGGTCAGCATCTAGAGGTCGACAAAACCTTGATTGCTCTTCGTAAGGTGCAAAATAAGCTATTGTTTATGAAGGTGATGAAGGCTTTGTTAACTTCTACAGAGGCTGTCCTAGTACGCCAGTTGGACAGGTATCTGGTTGGAGATCTGTCTAGCCCCAGTAATGACATGTTGGCTGCCACCAGCTCTGCACCACCCAACAATATCTTTTCAGAAAGGTGTCTTGGCATGGCAGACTTCCTTATTCGGCGTACCCCGAATGTGTCAGTTGGTTTTCTGGATTCAAAATTAAAAGCAGTCACAAATCACACCATGGACTGGCTGGACAAAAAACCCATGCAAGAGCAGGTGAATCTGGTGACCTTCGCGATGCAGAGGGGTGCCCTGATAAGGAAAGCCTGCAATCTGTTACAGCATGAAATAGACTCAGACATTTTATCTCGAATGAAGCAGATGAAGAGAAAGTTGGAGGCTACGGAGCGCAGAGAGACTGAAAAGTCCATCTATGATGTGTTGTCTGGATCGAATGTCTCAGTAAACCATCCTCTATTTCGTGGTGTTGACAGAAAGCAGAAACCATTTTTGTCAAGAATTTTGGGTGGTGAAGATCTGCTTGGTGTCCAGCTGACTCACAAGTGGGAGCTAGATGATCAGAAAGTGCATCGCTATTATGGGAGGATTATTAACAGAGTACCAGCTAAAAAGAACAAATCTGCTGTCTACACTGTGAGCTACTGGGCACAGGATGAGGATGAAGCTGAGGACTTTTGCCTATCTGCTGAGTCACTAATAGCTGACTTGATTAGTAGGGATCTCTGCTTCACATCCTAATCTGCTGTTAAACCTTGAACAGCAGGATTTTTAACAATTTTAGATTTTAAAAAATAAGTATTGTTTCATTTTAAATTTGCTTTACTCCTTTGTTAAATATTTTTTTTATGTTTACAATTACATGCAAAGATTGCAATATATATGTCTTTACAATATGTATATAATTTCTATTTTTTCAAAAGTGCGCTAAATTTTTTGTTATTTGAATTTCTTTGGCTTGATGGTGCAGTTACTTAAGGTTTCATCACAATATTTTTTTTTTAGTTTGGTAATTGCATAAATTGTTTATAATTTATTAGTCATACAGTTTTTTATTTTGAAAGTTCATATGTTTTTGTATTTCTGCTTGCAGCACTCTGATGGGCATTACATAATGATGTACAGTTTTTTAAAATTAGATAAGTACTATTTATAATCTACTATTTTAGTTTGTCAGTTAAGATTAATTATTGATTTATTTCCTTACTAGTACTATTTCTTATTTGGAAAGTTAATTTGTTTTTGTATTTCTGCTTGCAGCACTCTGATGGGCATTACATAATGATGTACAGTTTTTTAAAATTAGATAAGTACTATTTATAATCTACTATTTTAGTTTGTCAGTTAAGATCAATTATTGATTTATTTCCTTACTAGTACTATTTCTTATTTGGAAAGTTAATTTGTTTTTGTATTTCAGCTTGCAGCACTCTGATGGACATTACATAGTGATGTACAGTTTTTAAAGAATTAGATAAGTACTATTTATAATTTTACTGTTGCTTAGTTTGTCAGTTAAGATTTTTTATAGAATATATTATATAAAAATTGTATTGGCTATTACATTTAGGCAGATATGTAACGGCATGTTTTTATCTCTGCTTTTATATTTTGCTTATGGTGTTATAATTTGATACACAATATTGTGTAAACAATCAAATTAATTGATTTTTTTTTCTATTGCAGATTTTAGTATCTTTTCTTGACTGATGATTTTCATTCAACCTGATCATTCTTTAATTTTCATCAACTAAAACATGTTATATAAATCACTTTGTTGTACTCACACCTTAAACCCATTATTACCTGTTTTATGTCCTTTTCATTAATAAATTGAAATTAATATAATTGCATCTAAATGTAATAAATACATATAATTTAGTAAGCAGACTTTTTGGTTATTTTTTTGTTTGTTATAAAATTTGTTTTACTTAAAAATAAGGTAATTGTATAATAAATTATACTGGTGGGTCTGTCAGAGTGCCACCAAATTAACACATGTATACTAATACTATAGGCCTACATGTCTAGAAAAAAAAACCTTTGCAATGAGTAGGCCCTCAAAGTCATATAAATAAGCTTAGGAAGTTGTTTTTTCCTCTCGACTTGATTACATGATTAAATACACAGTATAACAACTATTGAAAGTAGCAGTCAATAGGCCCTAAGGATATATATTAGTATTAGACACCAAAGTACATAATAAATATTTAGGATGAATAAATAATCCTAGTGAAAGAAAATGGTTGAGTTAATTAGTATCAATAGTTTAAATCAGATCAATTACTATAATGTGTTCAAGCCAGGTTAGTTTTAATAATCTATAAGAAGCAGCTGAACAACTTTGTTAAAGAGGGCCTATATACATTATAACATTTTCACTATTTTAGACACTGGTATTGTTATGAAATCCCACAAATGTTAAAATCTAATACTTTTATTTTTTTTAAATTCTGCTTCTACTACAGACCCTGTAGTCTAAAGGGTGGTTGTAATTCAAGTTTTTAGTAAAAGTATGCCTAATTATTTATTTAATTATTAATAGGCTTAGTTGTGTATAGTAAATATAATTTTGATAAGTCAAACTCATAATAAAATACTACATTAAAAATGTATAGTAAAATGACGAAAAGTCCGAAAATATAATTTGACGCTTATGACGTCATCAAGTTGTGAGACACTTTTTTTTTTAATGAAAGAGGAAAAATAATGGTGGCAGGTTAATCCAAATTTTTTATAAACTCAAAAATTTTAAAATCGAAATATGATAAATAAACTTTATTTAGACACACACACAATATAAAAATTAGTTTTAGTAAAAAATTACGCTTCGATCGGTATCTTTTCCCCCCGAAAATAACGAATTTTCAATTTTCGAAATACACGCTAATATTATAGATAAATGAATAATAAACCTAAATCAATGGCTAAATATATCGATTTAGGCCAGAAATTAACTTTAAACAGCATTGTCTGATAGCAAGATTTGCTATATAAACAGCAGCCATTTGTAAAATAGAGTGGCTTCCCCCTGAATCTGCGCTATAAGCTTATAAAAATAAAACTTAAACAAGATGGCTGCTATAGTAAATGAGCATGGTTGCATCTGTTGGAAACATCGCTAGTCTTCATTTATTACGGAAAAGTTTTAATTCAATTGTTTAAAAACGGGTACATAAATGAAACAAGGACACATTTTTGTATTTTAAAAAACATAAATCCTCCTCAAAATGTGAAATAATTATTAAAATTTAAGGAGTCACCTGCTTTTCACATTAGAAGTCGCGGGCGATTTTACGTACCTAAAACGATAGATTACCATAAGTTATTATTATTTACAAAATTGTCAAAATTTAAAATGAAACAAAATCAAATAAAAACAACTCTTACTCGGCTAGTGACTGTGGGCAGTGACTCAACACTCAACCAACATTCAACATTGAAGATATTAAGTTTTAGATTATTGAGAACATAGTTATTATTATTTATTAGTAAGCATTGGTATCAGGAAGTTTCAGGGGTTCGAACAGTACAGGAGTGGACACCACAGAGTTGACGTTAACATTCTTTACTGTAAACCATAGTTTATTTGACAATTGAAATGAAAATAAAGTCAAGTGCATTACTTAAGTTAAAAGTAGTAAGAAGGACTAGAACAATGTTTAGTAGTAGCAGTAATTAGCATATACACTTAAAATAATTAGAAATACAAAATAATTAGCAAAACAGTATTTAAAATGCAACTAAAATCAATCTATGCACTTTTTTAAACATTGTGTATTAAAAATAATATGGCGCCAAATAAATGGTGGTTTCCAGAACTGCATGACAGACTACACCACGGTTTTACTGTTTTTTCACTGCTGTACTATTCCGGAATAATAACTGACGCTATATCTTGATTTTACAGAAAATCCTTCCGTCATCATATTCTTGACATGGATTAATTATATTCATTGTTTAATTAATAATTATTTATAAAAATAAAAAGTGTGCTTTTTTAGATTTAGTCATCAAAGCGGCATCAAAAAAATATTTACAAAAAACACCTCAAGCCTGAAAATAATTCAGAAATTTAATATTTTTAGAATCAATGTTATAAAGTTGCAAATCCAGAGAACTTGAAAATAATTTATTGAGTTTAATTATTAAGGCTACATTTCTATTTTTTTCATCAAGCTTCATAAGAAACATTTTCATTGGCTGTACAGGAACTCAAAGAATGATACTTTCAAAATGCCACTTCATAAAAGCTTACAGTAATTAGTATTAAAAACTTTACACTAACACTCAGTATTATGGCTTGTGTTATGAAAGTAGGCTGTAGGCCTATATCAGTCTACCACTATATGTATTTTACTTACAATAGGGTTATTAGGTTACTGGTAGTAAACTCAAAACTAACATTTTGGTCTAGGGGTCATCCATAAATGACGTCACACTCGTAAGGGGAGGGGTAGGTCGTAATTTTGTGATGGCGTGTGATGAGGGGGAGGGGGGTTCAGATCGTGGGACGTCACATTTTTGCATTAACAAAAAGTAATGTTGGAAAACGAATTTTAATAATTTAATAAATAGGGGGGGGGGGGGGTGTAGGCTGAGGTGTGACGTCATTTTAGGGGGGGTCTGGCTTTTTGTGACAATGTGTGATGGAAGGGGAGGGGGGGGGGGGTAAAAAAAAGTGTGACATCATCTATGGATGACCCCTATTGCGCAAAAATAGTGTTGCATGTGACAAGCAGCTCAGAACATGTTATAAAAACCAATATAACTGTAACATACCCCATGGTAATGGTTGTATTATAAGTGCTTAATTTTTTAAAGTTAAAAGACTAACAATTATCATTTCAGAAGGTGAAGAATCAAAAAGTCAATCAGAATAGTGCTGATCAGAAGCCCAAAAGAACATTAGATGACTTTTTTGGGCAGCCAAAAAATAAACATGATATCTCAGATTCAGGTAATGACAAAATAACCTTATAATTGTATACATTATACATCTTCTATCACTGTACGGTAATATGGTTTTCTGTATATTTAACTAAGAAATTTGAAAGTTTGTAAATTAAGCTTTTGATTCGCTTATCAATACAAAATATATAATATTATAATGCAATTTCTTAAAATAAACATGAAATCTCAGATTCAGGTAATGAAAAAATAACCTTATAATTAATATAATTGTATACATTATACATCCTCTATCTCTGTACGGTAATATGGTTTTAAAAGTTTGTAAATTAAGCTTTTAATTCGCTTATCAATACAAAATATATAATAATGCAATTTCTTAAAATAATTAAAGATCCATAGGCAATTTGATGAATTGAAAAATATTAATTGTTAGAGTAGTTAGAACTTTTTTATTTTTCATTTAAATCTTCCTAGAAAAGTAAAAAGAAATCTGCCAAGAATTTTTTTTAAATTCACTGTATATCACTAGCTGTTACAACCTTGTTAAAAAACATTTTTTAACATCCAATCTAGATGATGAGACCAAAAGTCCTCCGAAGAAAAAAATCATGCAAGATGAGGCTGCATCATGCTTAGCTGGTGATACATCAAACACTAAAGAAGGAGTGGAATCAGATGACAAATCAAGCACTGAAGGCGTGGAATCAAACATTGAAGATGAGATGAGTTCTCCCCCTGCTTCCCCGCAAGATGTAAAAGACAACATCAAAAACAAATTTCTGGTAGAAATGCCAGAAGACTTCTATCTTTTCTGGGAGTTTTGCAAGTCATCGCATCCTTCCAACCCTTCTGGTAAGTCAAAAGTTTAAACAGTTTTCAGGCCTTGTAGTTCATTTAGTTACATAATTAGATGTTGATTTTTAAAATAAGGCATCTTTGTTTCAGAACCAAAAAAAAAAAAATTATTCCTGTGAAAAGAATTAAATTTGTAAACTTAAAGCAGATTTTGTCTCCTACAGATGCTCTCCTCTCTGACCTTAACCTTCGCTTGGTAGGACCTTTTGATATACTGTCAGAACGACACAAAGGAGTTACAAAAAATAAGCATAAGAGGCGACCCAATTTTTTGCTGCATTATCGTTATTTCTATGATCCACCAGAGTTTCAATCAGTGATCACATCCCAGGAGCCATCTTTGTTCCACCTCGGCTATTACAGGTCTTTATTTCACCTGTTCTATTACAGGTTTTATACAGACAGTTTCATAACAAATATTAAATTCTGGACTAATTCATCAGTAGAGAAAAAATGTCATAATTCTTGATAAATCGATTGGAGTGTAACCATTAGAATATTAGTATTTCTTTATTGATGATTAAATTTAGGTTGGATGTCACCCTATTCATTGACTGTAATTAGCCATGTTTTACACCTTCTATATTTAGAGATGATCCAAAAGATCCTCCTGTTTTTGTGGCCAGCAATGCTCCAGGGGAGAGCAGCAAGGAAAAAATCTCTCCTTGTGGTGAAAACATTTTTGCTGCTGTGCAGTAAGTATTTGAAATCAAATACAAGCTTGTGAATAACATTTTAGTTTTAAACATTTGCTATTTTGATCTTTTGGACTGATGCAAATTTTTCAAATGTGTTTTCTGTTAACTTGTACATTTATCTTCAATATTTTATATTGTTAACATTGTGCTTATGCAATATAAGTAAATAGCCATTTAGCTATTAAAAATATACTTTTCTTTATTTCTTTTATTGCCTGTGAGATTTTAGACAAACCCTATTCTATTCTTTTGACAGCTTTTTTATTTTAAAAAAAAAAATTAGCTGCCACATATTTCAATTTTCTTTCTAAAAGTATTTACGCGTCAAAGTTGGTCAAGGGCAAATCGGGAAAGAAGAAAAGTTCCCTTGAGAAGCTCATCAAAGGTTTAGAGAAAGAGGCCTTAAAGCATAGTCTGCCCCTTGCACCCACCACTAAAAAGTTGAAAGACAGACAGAAGAAGGTTGTGTGCCCTACCTTCCATGGTGCTGGGATCGTCGTGCCAGTTGATGACAATGATGTTGGTTACAGGCCTGTCCCTGAGACACCAGGTAAGCTGTTTATAACCTGTCCCTGAGACACCAGGTAAGCTGTCTATAACCTGTGTCTGAGACACCAGGTAAGCTGTTTATAACCTGTCCCTGAGACACCATGTAAGCTGTTTATAACCTGTCCCAGAGACACCAGGTAAGCTGTTTATAACCTGTGTCTGAGACACCATGTAAGCTGTTTATAACCTGTCCCAGAGACACCAGGTAAGCTGTTTATAACCTGTCCATGAGACACCAGGTAAGCTGTTTATAACCTGTGTCTGAGACACCAGGTAAGCTGTTTATAACCTGTGTCTGAGACACCAGGTAAGCTGTTTATAACCTGTCCATGAGACACCAGGTAAGCTGTTTATAACCTGTGTCTGAGACACCAGGTAAGCTGTTTATAACCTGTCCCTGAGACACCAGGTAAGCTGTTTATAACCTGTGTCTGAGACACCAGGTAAGCTGTTTATAACCTGTGTCTGAGACACCAGGTAAGCTGTTTATAACATGTCCCTGAGACACCAGGTAAGCTGTTTATAACCTGTGTCTGAGACACCAGGTAAGCTGTTTATAACCTGTCCATGAGACACCAGGTAAGCTGTTTATAACCTGTCCCTGAGACACCAGGTAAGCTGTTTATAACCTGTGTCTGAGACACCAGGTAAGCTGTTTATAACCTGTGTCTGAGACACCAGGTAAGCTGTTTATAACCTGTGTCTGAGACACCAGGTAAGCTGTTTATAACCTGTGTCTGAGACACCAGGTAAGCTGTTTATAACCTGTCCCTGAGACACCAGGTAAGCTGTTTATAACCTGTCCCTGAGACACCAGGTAAGCTGTTTATAACCTGTCCATGAGACACCAGGTAAGCTGTTTATAACCTGTGTCTGAGACACCAGGTAAGCTGTTTACAGTGACTCATACAGTTCCTTTAAAAGTTCAGCTTGATAATTGGTGTGTGCAAGATATAAAATGTGGTTTTTGTGAAATTCATAAAATGTTATTGTTGATGCACTAGAAATGAATCTGATGATTGTTGTAAATAAATATTATTTTGTGAATAATGTAGAATAAATAAAATGTTATGATAGATGTGCATTAAATAAAATGTGATGACAGATGTGCAATAAATAAAATGTGATGATAGATGTGCATTAAATAAAATGTGATGATAGATGTGCAATAAATAAAATGTGATGATAGATGTGCAATAAATAAAATGTGATGATATTGTTTTATTTGACAGCTGCCCTGCGAGCGATGTTTAAGAGAATAACAGAAGGTAAAACAGAGACAGAGCGTGAGAAAAGTTCAGAGGAACTGCAAGAACTGATCACTTTCATTCAGTTTGCCAACGATGAATGTGACTATGGAGAGGGTTTAGAGCTGGGCTTGGATTTGTTTAGTTTTGGCAGTAAAGATTTTCACCCCCAGATAGGACTTTTACTTCCTCTGGCGTACCAGTTGCTGAACAGATCAGAGTTTGCCAAGATTATTGAGGCCCATTTGAAGTGTAGAAAAACTTTAGCTGAATGTGTGGACGAACTAGCCCAGTGAACTTTTTTGTTGGGGAAGTTTTAAAAACAGTTGCAATATTTGGCCTGGTAGACAAATTTTTATCTGGCTCACTTCATCAGCTGTTACTCGTTTCTCTATTACTGTATTTGTACTTGTGAATTTTTTACTGGAAATTAGGTATTCAAAATGAAATTTTTATAATGAAATTAAATAAAATTTAACACTTCCACCTGATAGAGACTGTTTTCATCAGAACAGAAACACCAAATTTATTGATGTATGTCCATTTTTAAAAAAGTTATGAATTTTTTAAAACTCAAAAAATGCATTCGCTTTTTGAACAGTAAAGGGTCTATTTGAGACCCCTACTAACTTCTACAATAACTAAGTTAGAACTCTCAAATTTCTTGCACACACAGCCAGTAATACAAATAGCAAACCCAATTTTTTTCAAGGTTGTCAGACAGATATAAATAGAAAATTTATTCACATAAAAATGAGCCAAAGCACAATTTTACCGAAGTACGAAAAGGGAGACAAAAAGTTAATTTACAGTCATTTTTAAAAAATCATAGAAAATCAACTAATTAAGCCACATTAATAATATAAATGTTCTAAGAAAGGAAATTCAAACCATGTTAATATAAAATAAGCAGGTAAAGAATTAATAAAGAAAATAATTAGCGAGACCAGATTCAGCAAGGTCAGTTTATAAAAATTAGAAATTTCATCCTTTTTCAAAAAATTATTAAAAAATATTTAAGTAAGGTATCTTAATAAATTTTACACCAACTTAAAGCACATGATGTTTTTAATATATAATAAACACAGAGACGTAAAATAATCATTCTGCAAAACAATACAAGGCATCCTTCCTTAACGCCCAAAATCAAGAATTTTCATTACCTAACATCTTGCAAAAAGTGTCCTTACTTTTAAGAAAGTAATATAAATTGTGTAGGAAACATGTTAGCATTACTTTGTTATAAAAAATTAAATAACTATACTATTACTTTACTTATATACTTACTAAGAAGAAATTTCATGCCTTTTAAACACTGATGAAGTAAGATAACTAATTAAACTAAAATTCTTTATAAATGATCCTAACTGTTAGCTTTGTGATGTTCATCTAGTTTTGTTACTCTGCTCCCTAATCATGACATGCTTAGCCTAAATTTACTTGTTATCAGTAAATTTATTTCTTCTAGTTAGTTATTGATCAATGTCAACTTCTGGAAATGTCTAGGTCCTAACTTATACAATTATCAGAAATCTTAAAGCAGGTTCAAAAAGACAGGTCAATATTCTGATTGGGAAAGTTCTCTATGAGGTTGGGTAGCATTGTAATTAATAGTCAATATCTTGGTTGAGTTTGTCTTCTTCTTCAAGTTCAAGGTTTGGAGTGGCATTGTAATAAATTATTGTGAACTGGCAGCACACATCAAATTATGGAAACTAGTAAGGGATCTTTCCATTGGTCCAGAGTATAGAAAATGTCTGTGAATAAAAACAATTAATTAGCATTTCCAATATACTGACTTATATAGTAGGTCTGTATATCTTTATACCTACTTAGATATCAATCATGTAACATTACATCATTATAACTAATAAGCAAAGTGAAGAAAATACTAACATCTGACATATGGTTTTCTTCAAAAGTATTCAGGAGTCCTGTTGGTGCTTACACAAACAATACACATTTTTGACAGGCCTTTCAGTTTCCCATTTCTTTTGCTAATATCTTGCTCTGTAAATAGAATAATATTAAAAGTAAGGCTGCTCAATGCTTTTTTAGATATTAAATGTTAACACTTTAGATAGTTCTACTACTAAATATTAACATGAAAGCAATAGTGAATCTAACTAATCTAAGTAGAATAGATCTAGAAACAATTTTGGGTTAAACTATTATGGAAGGGGGGCTACATTTTATCTTAATGTCGTCAGTTCAATAAACCTAGAGATAAGAAACATTAACGATCGTAGTATTCTAAAATTTAATGTAATTACTGCAATTATATAGAATAGTTAACTATTAAACTAGGAAAAACAAAATAAACAATGCTACAATAAATTGAAAGTATGCTGTTAACCCTGCGTAATATAATAGTTGAATCCAACATTACGAGAAGGCAAAAAAAAAAAATGGCCGACAAGCGGCTTGAAATATCGACAATATATTGATAGTTTAATCGGTCGATGTTAGTAATTAATAAAATTCACGATGACAAATTAAATTCTATCACTCTTTTAAACATCTTTTTGATTTAATTGTGCATTCCTTTTTTATTTTGGTAATCGTAAATTAAATACAAAGAACTTTTAAAAAGGTCTAGATAATTTTTTGGTAAATGTTTTTTTAAGCGTGTAGCAATTACCGATAAGTGGACACTAAAATGCAAATGGTTTAAAGCAGCAGTTTATTATAAATAAAATGAATATAGCTAATAATTTATAAAGCACTTAACTTACCTAGACATTGTTTAAAATCCATGTTAATCCGCGAATAAACACAAAATCCTGCTTTGAACTTGAGCCGGGTGTTCCGTGACATTACGCAAAACTAGATTTAGGCCGGCAAAAGTTAGCGCGGGTCATCACGATACGTATGCGTTCGTTTTTATTTCTGCGATCCGATACCATACATTAAGTGTTAATTAAATTATAACATTTTTATAGTAAATTGGACGCCCGATCTGAATATATAATTTTGCCGGCTGTAAAATATTTTTTTCGTGTAAAAAAATCATTTGAAACTTTTAAATCTCTTATTTTTAGCATTAAATTATATTTTACAGCGGGCAAAGTCATATCATCTTAAAGGGCGTTCATTCTACTTTCTATATTAGTTTTTAGTGTAATCGTATGTATTATGGTATCGGATCTCCGAGCGTTGGCGCAACCCGACCAAATTTTTTTGCGCGCAGTACGTTTTTTTCGGCTCATTTAGAATACCTATGGAAATTTTTAGTCTTTGTGTCTATTGGTCTTACAAGACACATCTGTTTTTTCTATTATGTATTTACATTGTCAATTGTTTGAGTAATTGTATGGTTTTTTTTTCTGATGAATTGCACATTTGAATGCTGTAAATGTTCTGGAGTTGCTGTATGATTGTTCATGTTCTACATCCATTTTCATTAATTTGTTGAACACTTGTTTTGTTATGAATATACACCCAATTAATTTGTTTACCAATCTACTGTATAAAAAAATAAATGCTTTTCACTACTTTGATTTTTATTTGATTTCTTCAAGTGGTTGACTATGAGAGGTGGCAGTGCAGCTGTTATAATTTGTTTGCCAGTTGTGTGTCACACAATGCTGGTGGTTGTGTGGCTGTAGACCACTCAAGAAAGAATATTTATCTGCATGATACAAGGAGACAGGCTGCTCTGTGGGCTGAGTTCAGAGCCAATAATCTCATGAAAACTGAACCTGGGATCAGTATCTCTTGTAATCAGAGGTCATTTTGTTATAGAAGGTACTGCTGCAGTAAAGCGGGCAATCAATACTGGTGTAAATGTAGAGATAGGTTTTCTATCCTTGAGGGCTGGGGTTGGGTATAAGACGTTTGCAGAGACCCCATACCACGTGTCAGATCCCTAGGGTCCCTCTCTTGTCCACGCCCCTGACAACACGTGTAGAGACCCCATACCACGTGTCAGATCCCTAGAGTCCCCCTCTTGTCCACGCCCCTGGTATCAGACAACACGTGTAGAGACCCCATACCACGTGTCAGATCCCTAGAGTCCCTCTCTTGTCCACGCCCCTGACAACACGTGTAGAGACCCCATACCACGTGTCAGACCCCTAGGGTCCCCCTCTTGTCCACGCCCCTGATATCAGACAACACGTTTAGAGACCCCATACCACGTGTCAGATCCCTAGGGTCCCTCTCTTGTTCACGCCCCTGACAACACGTGTAGAGACCCCATACCACGTGTCAGACCCCTAGGGTCCCTCTCTTGTCCACGCCCCTGACAACACGTGTAGAGATCCCATACGACTTGTGTAGGCTGACACAAGTAGCCGCAGGTGTTTGACGCTGTTCAAAGATTCAAGTGGCCCTGCCGGTTTTGGTCACCAAAAAACTTCATCACGTCAAGAACAAAAGAAAGAAAACTCAAGAGACAGCAGCCTTGCAGTCAAGAGCAGTTGAGGTGTGTTGTAATCAACGTCATGGTCGTCCACCAAATGCGGGTGGGGTGGGGCGGTGTCACGTGGTAAGGAGGAAACACAGATGGCATGCTGTGACTCCTCGAAGATAACTTTCTAGCCAAAAAAATTTGGAGCCGCCTCTGATGGAGCAATGATGACAATCTCGTTTCAATTACACGGGTTCTCATTAGCAACTACATAAAATTGTCGACTTGGACAATTTTTTACCAACTCAGCGATCTTCTGTAATACTTTTTGACAGAAGCTGAAACCAACAAAAATGTTGACAGAAAAGATCCGTTTGTTCGTGTTTCTGATGTTCGTGTGGCGCGTTGCTGATGTAAGTATCCTACTTGGAATATGCATATCTTAATTTGATCAGTTAAATTCTTGTTGACTGCTTTAACAATGTTTTACAAAAGCGTTTAGTCAAGATATATTTTTAAAATGTTTATTTTAGTTATGAGCTTGTAAATAATCTATATTTCTAAACTGTCATCCCCTTTAAAACGCTCTTTGATTATGTCAAATTAATTAGCCGTGCTTACATTTAGAAAGATTATTTGAATAAAGAAAAAAAATGCACTCTGTAGAATGTAGAAATTGTTTGAAATCAATACCAGCTAATTTTAAAAATACCCATGGCTAGTTTTATATATATATATATATATATATATATATATATATATATATATATATATATATATATATATATATATATATATATAGTTGCAATTGGTGACACCCCCCTCCGAAATTGCCAAATGGTGTCAATTTGTGCACACATTATTTTAATCCACCTATAAATTTTGCAGTTGGTGTCAGTTTGCATGTTTAGGTCATGGTGTCATCCTCTCCCCCCCCCCCCCCCCCCAACCTTTTTGGGATCGTCAATTTGTACTTAAAATAATTTTTACCTCTAATTAACCATTAGTTGAGCTGGCAAAAAGCATATTTATTCTATATACTTTGCTATGTTTTTGTCTTGGTGTCACCCCCCCTAAATAGTGTCACCCGGTGTGATCCGCACCCCCCACCCCACCCGCCTCGCGACGCATCTGAAATAGATATAAAACTAATTTCTGAAATAAAAATGACTAAAGAATGTTCTCCATAATACAGGGTGTACCGCTGATCAGTTTAAAAAGTAATGGCGCCGTGAACGTGGACGCAGCAGTGTTAACGTCACAAGGTGAGTTTATAAAGTCACGTGATTTCTATCTTTGGCAACTTGAGCCGCTGTAATAGTTCACTAGGTCAGGCCTATCCAATCCAATTGATTACATAAAGAAATGTTTATTAGGGAGTTGTTTTAAACTATGATTGTTTTTTTAAACAAATAATTGAACAATCCGACCCCCTTGCACCCCTTGTCGACGCCACTGAGACCCTGTATTAATAATGTTACAAACAGCTGCTGTATTACCTTGTGTTTAAAATGTTTCTCCACTCTATTCCACAGATGACACGCTGGAAACCATTAAAGAGGTGGGTAGGTTGTATACGTCCCACTCCACTCCCTGCACTAATTAGATGAACTAATTATATACAGTGGCGGAACTAGAAAAATAGGGCCACCCCGCAAAAAAAGTTTTTAGCCCCCCCCCTATATATATATATATATATATATATATATATATATATATATATATATATATATATATATATATATATATATATATATATATATATATATATATACAATCACAAAATACGAACATAAGATTCTCATTTCTGGCCTGTTCGGGATTTGAAAAACATCTATTTAAAAAAATGTCAACATTATGTCATGTGTGTTTGTGCATGTGAGTTTTGTGAAAATCAGTTTTAATTAGTTTTTAATATAAGCCTTCATAATACAAGTCGGTCAAAATAATATAATACATGAAAGCTTTGTATAATTATGGTGTCTCGTGTTATGTTTATTTTTATGGGTTTTTTTTTTGTATTTATATTATTAATTTTTTAAATATTATTGATTTAATACATTTCCTTTTTATACAGTGTCATTCTTTAGTAATTACGCTTATAAAAAATAATTAAGAGAAGTAATTGCTTTTTAATTTGTTTAGTACAAATATATTAAAAGGAGCTTATGATCACCCCTATTTCACTATTTAAAAAAAGGGAAATAAGTCATGGAAGTGGTTTGAACATTCGCTTATCTTTGATAAGTTTAATTGTAGGAGAAAGACTCGGCTTTCACAGTGGTTTAAAAACAAAGGGAAAAAGAATATACAAGAGCGTGGGGTGGTGTTTATAGAATAAATATAATCCAACCGTAGCCACGGTAATTTTTTTTTTTACAAAACAACCATCAAGTCAAAAATGAAAGAAAATTTACTTTTTTTTTTAACTAGAAAAAAATTTATTATGGTCGGCTCTGGGCCCCTAAATGGCATGGGCCCCCCCCCCCGCATTGCGGGGTCTGGCGGCACTGTAGTTCCGCCCCTGATTATATACGACCACTCCAATCCCTACACTAATTAGATGAACTAAGTATATACTTCCCACTCCCTACACTAATTAGATGAACTAAGTATATACTCCCCACTCCCTACGCTAATTAGATGAACTAAGTATATACTTCCCACTCCCTACACTAATTAGATGAACTAAGTATATACTTCCCACTCCCTACACTAATTAGATGAACTAAGTATATACTTCCCACTCCCTACGCTAATTAGATGAACTAAGTAGACCTATATACACTTCACTCACACCAAAAACGAGCCCAAATGATGTTCTAGTGTTGTTGGCTACACCCACTGAGTACATTGGATATAAGTAATCAAAACCAATGAATGGTCCAAAACTTCAGATACCAAATCACTCACCCTCTTCTATGTTTACATTTTTCTTCCACTTCAGGTATTTGCCCAACTGGACGTTGATGAGAATAATGTCATTGACCACATGGATCGGTTCTACATCTATGGACACCTGGGTGAGAAATCTCTACTGTCGTGTAGACTGTAGAAGTTATGCTAGTGACAGCCGATCAATGTTCGATGTTTCTTGAGATGACCAACTGACCCAGATTAGACGCAATTTTTCGTTATAATTAATTTTCATATGTGCCTTGTTTCTTTGCATCACCACACAAAGACAAAAAAAAAACATTTGTATTACCACTTATAAATCAATCCAGATAAAAACATTGTTCACCACATAAAGCTAGTAGAAATGCTGTATCACCACATAAAGATAGTAAAATATACTGTATCACCACATAAAGACAAAGAAACCTTTGCATCACTACATTTAAAACCATAGCAAATAAATTGACTAATTCCACTTCTTTATTTAATTTGGCCCAACCAAGTCAAGTAAAAACCCGTCGTTAACTGATTTTACCAGAACAATCAAATATTTTCTGTCCCCCCCCCCCCCCCCACTGATTTTACCAGAACACTCAAATATTTTCTGTCCCCCCTTGATTTTACCAGAACACTCAAATATTTTCTGTTCTCCCCCCCCCCCCACTGATTTTACCAGAACACTCAAATATTTTCTGTTCTCCCTTGATTTTACCAGAACACTCAAATATTTTCTGCTCTCCCCCCCCCCACTGATTTTACCAGAACACTCAAATAAATTCTCCCCCCCCCCCACCCCCACTGATTTTACCAGAACACTCAAATATTTTCTGTTCTCCCTTGATTTTACCAGAACACTCAAATATTTTCTGTTCTCCCCCCCCCCCCCCCCCACTGATTTTACCAGAACACTCAAATAAATTCTCCCCCCCCCTCCCTGATTTTACCAGAACACTCAAATATTTTCTCCCCCCCCCCCCCCCCCCCCCACTGATTTTACCAGAACACTCAAATATTTTCTGTTCTCCCCCCCCCCCCCCCACTGATTTTACCAGAACACTCAAATATTTTGTCCCCCCCCCCCCCCCTGATTTTACCAGAACATTCAACTATTTTCTGTTCTCCCCCACAGATGAGTTTGATGATGTTCTACCTGAGGTAAGTAGGTCACCACCTCTCCTGCCCTCGTTGTGAAGTCAGTCTCACCCCTCACTATCGTAATATTCTCAGAACTGTCTTATTGTAGGGTCAAGACATAAATGTCCTACTGTAGGACCACGACATAAATGTCCTACTGTAGGACCAAGACATAAATGTCCTACTGTAGGACGGGGATATAAATGTCCTACTGTAGGACCGGGATATAAATGTCCTACTGCAGGACCGGGATATAAATGTCTTACTGTAGGACCACGACATAAATGTCCCACTGTAGGACCGGGATATAAATGTCCTACTGTAGTGCCGGGGACATAAATGTCCTACTGTAGGACTGTGACATAAATGTCCTACTGTAGGACCACGACATAAATGTCCTACTGTAGGACCGGGATATAAATGTCCTACTGTAGGACTGTGATATAAATGTCCTAATGTAGGACCACGACATAAATGTCCCACTGTAGGACCGGGATATAAATGTCCTACTGATGGGCTGGGATATAAATGTCCTAATGTAGGACCGGGATATAAATGTCCTACTGATGGGCTGGGATATAAATGTCCTATTGTAGGACTATGACAGAAAAGTGCTATAATTGGACTAAAACAGAAATGGCAAAAAATTGGACCACAGAAATGTTACTGTTGCAGTCGAAAAAAAACCCAGTCGATTGAGATGAAAAGATAAATGAAAATTTATGATAAACACTGACAATGTCTCAATGAAAAACTTCTTAAACAAGTTTTTTTAAAAATTCAACGTATTTTATTCTTTGAATTAGGTCATTGAGCTAATAGGTGACAACAGCAACGGCATAGTCACCATTAAGGACATCATAGACCTGTATGTTGACCTAGGTGAGAACACTCTACATTGAATGTCTTGACACTGTCTTGACACTGTCTTGACACTGTCTTGACACTGTCTTGACCGACAGCAGAGTTTGGTGTCATTCAGACTTCAGTCGTGGTCTGTTAAACATTCACATCATTTCAACAAAATCAATTCGGCTATGTGTTGTGGGGGACGGGTATGTGTTGTGGGGGACGGGCATATTTTGTGGGGGATGGATGTGTTGTGGGGGATGGATGTGTTGTGGGGGACGGGCATATTTTGTGGGGGATGGATGTGTTGTGGGGGACGTTTAGATGTTGTGGACGACGGTTATGTCTAAAACTAAAAACTTTTGAATACATTTAAAATATTTTATAAGATGAGAATTAGCAAGTCGGCAAGATTTTTTTAAAAGTTCGCTTGAAGAGGATAGACAACCGCACATACCTTTCGGATGTTTGAATGTTGTTAATGATTTGTGAATATATTTCAGGCCTTCTTCAACTGGATGTCTAGTAAACATTTGTTTGAAAACTCAGCCTCCATCAACTGTACGTTACGGAGATGAAAAAAAAAGTTTGGCCTGTTAGCTTCGTCGCCCGTGAAAGTCAATATTAAATAAAATAAAAATAAAAACACAAAGAATTTTTTCAAACTGTTTAACTGTCTACTCCCAACCATTATGCCAGAGAGAGATATAAATGTTCCAACTAAATTAATTGTTAACATGATTCCCATTGATAAAAAAAAATAAACTTTGCGGCTATTTGCTTCTAGGCCTCGCTTCAACTTCAAGATTTAAATAGCAAATAGTATTTACGGAGTGGACTAGCGGTAGAGAGCTGGACTGCTAACCTGTAAGTCTCGAGTTCGAATCCGTGTTCAAGTCAGTAGACCGTCCCTGAGTCCACCCAACTCTGATGGGTACCTAACTCACGTTAGGGAAAGTAAAGGCGGCTGAGCATAGTGCTGACCACACTATCTCTTCATATGCCGAGGTCACAGAAACAAGTGAACTCTACTTCACTTGCCCTATACACCGTCAGGTTTGAAAAAGGAACTTTACTTAATGAAACAGTAATAATTTTTTTTTAAACTAATAATAGAATCAAATTAATTACTGGTAGGCCTAGACTATTGATAATGTTATAATAATATTGTTTCCACGTTTAGGACAACTTATTACAGATTCGAATAAATAATAACAAACTGTACTTTTCTTTTTTAAAAATCACAATCTAACGAAAGCTATATTTTTTTTTATGCTAAGCTTACATCTTGTAGTCTATCATTATCATTGTTTAGGATTTTAAATAACTTAACTATAGCGGAAATACCTTATCTAGTATTGTTTTTGCCGATTTGGTAAAAAAAATATTCTATTTGGTCTGTTATTTAGGCCTACTAGCTGGCAAATACTAGTGCGAAGAGTTGGTGACACTCTTACAAGACTTATGTCAAAGATATAAGATATAGATCTTAATTTTTCTCTTAAAAAAAAAACACATATTACATCAAATTAAAAAAAAATACTTTCAAGAGTTCTCCGTAATACATTTTAGACCATATATTTCATGAATTCTTTAACTTCGTTATTTCAAAATAGACAGTTTAAGTTTAAATTTTTATATTTTTCAAAAGTGTAATGTTTATTTTCCAATTCAACAATAATACAAGTGTCCCTGTGAGACAAGTGGCTTGATGCCATTCTCTACAACCTGTCACATTGGCCCGCGTGACCTCAGGTGACCAGAGTGCGACCAAAACAAGATTTAGATTATGCTCTTCAAACCCAATAACTGGTACTATAAGAGCACCAAGCCTAGTCGACTAGTACCATCATAGTTGTAGTTCCCAGCAGTTCAAAATGTCATTAAAACAGAACCACACTTCCCTGTAACTGTTGAGAAACTGTGCTTTGTACTTTAGATTGTGCCCACAATTTTATTACTTCCTGTCGGCGTGGACATGGCGGTCGAGAGTTTTGATATCTATGCGGATTGGCCAGTTGTAAAATTCAAATTTCAACCGACAACAAACACCATAAAAATTAAAAATCAGCGCTTATTGCAATTTTGCATAAATTTGTTTTATTTATCTGGCCCACATGTTCGAGTTGTTTCATCTAGCAGTTTTTAAGTTTAAAAAAAATGGATTTTATGGCAGTCTACGGAACAAAGTGAAGCTCCGCCCATGAATATTTGTACACATCCGGTGCTTTGTTTAGCAGACCATAATATTTTGGACTTTTTTTTCGGTGTTTATGGTATTGATTTCACCCTAATAAAGTTATATTACATTTCTTATCCCCCTCCCCTATATATACCAGGCATAATTAGCAGCCTTCCACCCCAAATTTAAAAATCAAGTAGGCCCTACCCTTCTAGACAAATTGTAGATGCAGTAGAGTTTATGTGTTTTTAAAAAAAATCTCGGCATTGTATTGTCAGAATTTGCCCATCAGCCATTACTTTCCCCAACTCGACCCAGGTACCCATTAGAGCTGAAAGACCCTCGAGTCCGGGAACTGAACTCGAGATTTTCAGGTCAGACATGCAGACATAAAAGAAATTTTTTTTTTAAATCGACCTCACGGACTTCCTGCGGTGTCAGGAATCAAGCATGATATCCCAGCTGTCAGGTAGCCATTGTGTTAGGCAGTGGAGATTGACTCGGTAAATATTTGATCTGGCGGCAACTAGAGCAACCTTCTCGCGGCAACTAGAGCAACCTCCTCACGGCAACTAGAGCAACCTCCTCACGTCCACACTGGTCTCTTAGTTTCAGGGGACCGGAAGCAGACGAGATCTGTGTGAAGTGTTGACGTCGGCTTTTGGAACTTTTGTACGCTGATATCAAGCGACCAGTTACGTCGTCTGATACCCGGCGTTAATCTGAGCGGGATTAAAGGATTATGTATAAAAGTTTCAACATAATTTACATAAGGGTCGTCCATAAACAAGTCACACGAATAGAGGGGAGGGGGGTCCAAACTTTTGTAACGATGCAGAGGGGAAGATAACGTGACAATTATGGACAAGAAGTTCTGAATGGCAGAACCTCGTGACGCCCCCCCCCCCCCCTCAAGACCAGGCATATGAGGCAACACATGACGTCATTTAGTTCAACATAACCAGTCTCACACACAACGCCACATTTAAAGATGACCAATGGCATTGTTTCACTTGTTCTTCGTTAGAAGTGTACTACCGTTCGACTTTCGTTTTATATATCGATGCCATCTCGATTGGTGTCGCTAAACAGTCCCATTATAATCGGCGAAATCCGAGGTCGACATCTGGAAATACGTCACACAACCCGAAAAGTTGAAAATAAACACAGTGTTTAATTCTTTAAAAAAAGCAACTAGCCTTAAAGGAATGTACAAAGAAAGGAATCTCATATGTAGATCCTATACTATTTCGAATTACGAACGATCACGTGATGTTTGCAGTGTTTCAAGCTACGAACAAGAGTGGAAAGGTCGCTGAATCAACTCTATCGACAGCATCAAAGCTAAAGACAAGAGGGATTAACTCTGTTGCAATTTCCGGTGTCATCCACACGACAACCGGAAACCTTATCTGTCAATATTTACCGACCTCACTATTTACCCACTTGATTGAAACATTCCACGCGCTCTGCGACGGTTGCTATAAACAAAACTGTAACGCATGGAAGGTTGATTTCTGTGTGTTTACATTTTAAATACAATTATGTACGGTTGCTAGGCAACGGTTATGTCTTTAGCCTTCTCAATTGGTAGACTTAAGGCCCAAGTGCTGACGTGTGAGTTCTGAGCCCTGAGACGCAATATGACGATGGCTCTAAAGGTAAAGGTCAGTAGATGTAAAAAGTGAGACCAGTGGTCATTGGTCGATATTTGCGGGGGGGGGGGGGGGGGGGGGGTTGGACTAAATTTTCAGGGGGGGAGGGGTGCTGCGGACACTGGTAAAAGTATATACTTTTATTTTCTATATAAATTCCATATCTGTCGAGGGGGGGGGGGGGGGGGCGGGGAGGCAGTAAATTTTCTTCGCCCCCCCCCCCCCCCCCCCGAAGAGATGCCTGGAAGAAACTCTGTCAGTATGTTCTACAGCTCTGTCAGCTCTGAATGAATAACGATGAAAGTGGGCCAGGCAGTAGGCAATGATCATCTGTGGGCAGACGGCAAGAGCCTACATTACCTGGTATGGGGAGAGAGGAAGCTTCTCCTGTAGCTGTGGCGAATATTGCCGACTCTACCTAGGAAAGGGGGTGGGGGGTGGGGGTGGAGAGGGGGGTTGACGACTCCAACTCTACCTGAAGAGAAAAGGGTGGGAGGGGGTCCAACATAATCTTGGGTAAAGGGGGTAGGGGTGCTATAACAAAACCTGGAAAAAAAGAGTCCAACGTAACCAAAAAAACATGGAGGGGGGGGGGGGGAGTGCTCCAGCAACTGGAAGTGTGTGTGTGGTGGGGGGGGGGGGGCGACATCCAGAGAAATTGGAATTTTTAAAAAAATCCATTAGCCATGTAAGCTTGTTGCTTTGTGGCGCGAATACATTGTTTACCCTTTCAAGTTTGTTATTAGAAATAAAACTTGACAAACTCCTACCAAGAAGAGCGTTTTCCGGCTTTCAAGTATTGGCTAACACGGAATGAGGACCGGAGTCTTAGGGGCATAAAACGCTAGACAATAAGCTAATCATAAACGACTTGACAGCTATTGTTGTTATTCCGTGCCAGTTACATAACCAAATACATATCTGGCGGAGTGGCCGCGGTAATGGCGTCGATGGCTGAACACGTGGTCCACTTCCTGCCGACTCTCAATTCTCATTGGTTATTGAAATTAGGGTTTTAAACATTCGCAAATCCCTTCAGCTACAATAAAATTAACATTTTATTTTGGTCTCCTAATCCAGGTAACCCCCTCCTACACCCCCCACCCCTTTAAAAAAAAAATCCCTCCCCTCCCACCGTTATTCCAAATAAATATTTCTGATTTCGTTATGTAAAAAAAAAAGTTTTAAAAAGACGATACTAAATTCTAAAATACGGCTAAATATGTAAATTTTAGTTTTTTTTTTTTTTTTTTTTTTTTTTTTTGGTGTAGTTATAAATCTGGAAAGATCTGGAAATCAGAAAGTCACAACTCAATTTGTCAGTGCATGTTTGGACGTCAGCCAGTACTCTCGAGGACAATGATGTATCTTTTTTTCTAGAGGACAATGGGTTGCTTTTCTAACGTCTGAGGGCCATCACAGGGCCATCACAGGGCCATCACAGGGCCATCCCAGGGCCATCTCCAACATTGTGCTCATGTTCAGGTGTATCTAAAGATCTGAGGAGCAAAAGTTTTGATCTTGTTGGACTTTGTGAAAACTTTAGTCAGAGATTTGATGTGCTAGAATTTCGACGTGGTATAGCTTTGTAAAAACTTTTGGCAGAGATTTGATGTGCTAGAATTTTGACGTGGTATAGCTTTGTAAAAACTTTTGTCAGAGATTTGATGAGAATTTTGACGAGGTATAGCCTTGTAAAAACTTTTGGCAGAGATTTGATGTGCTAGAATTTTGACGTGGTATAGCCTTGTAAAAACTTTTGTCAGATATTTGATGAGAATTTTGATGTGGTATAGCCTTGTAAAACTTTTGGCAGAGATTTGATGAGCACAAGTTTTAATGTGATATAGCTTTGTGAAAACTTTTGGACAAGAAATTAGATCAGAAGGAAAACATCTTGAAGAAAAGAAAACTAAAATCGTGACTTGACACTGTTGTACACGTTAGAGACTGATATTAATTGCTCATCTGTAAGCCAGAGATTCAGATATTTGAAGATCGTCGACCGAGATTTGACGAATTTGGTCACAACATTTAAAAACATGTCGGACGAAATTTCAAAAGATGAACCGGAGAAAATGTCCAGCACAAACTCCCCGGACACGTCCGTCACACAGGACATGTCCGTCATGCAGGACATTTTTGAAAACGACGAGATAGATGAGGAGGACTACGTGGACCGGTGGAGGGATGACCTTGACCTCAGGGCAAGGCAGGTCTTCACCGTCGGGCTGGGGTAAGTCGTGTCGACTTAAGAACTCGAAGAGTTTCAGTTACAGTCATGTGCTCAACTCTCCAACCACCAGTGCCGGCGCCAGCTTATTTAGCGCCTTAGGCAAAACTTATTAAAGCCCCCCCCCCCCCCGGAATTTTGTTCGTGCCCCCGGGGACAAACTTTCAATTTGAACCCCCCCCCCCCCCCTCAAACTTTCGATTTGTTTTTTTAACCCATTTTGGCGCCCTAGGTGACCGCCTAGTTCGCCTTATAGATAGCGCCGGCCCTGCCGACCACACTATCCCGTAAGACAACAAAAATGTTTAACTTGACTTGAACCAAAATTTTAAACTGTAAACTTGGCATTTAAAACCTAAACAAAACTTTCAAATTTTAATTTAGTTTTTAACGTAGCTCTAACTGAACATAGGAATATTTTTCTGGTTGTATAAGGGTTAAACATCTCCATCGCAGCTAAATGCAAGGGCATCATAGTATCTATGGCATCATCGTATATAGGGAATCATCGTAGCTAGGGCACCATTGTAGCTAGGGCATTATCGTAGCTAGGCACCACTGACCACCATAGCTAAGACCGTTGACAGACGTTGACGTAATGATATGATACGCTAGCGTAGGGCGGAGCGATTTATAGACACTTATAGGCCATGAAACAATAGATATTTAAATAATTGCATATGCACATATATTTCCTGCGCTATCTCATTATACAAGATGAACAAAGTGGAAAAATTTGAATATCTTATGGGCGCCAGCATCAAAGTTCAGGTCGAGTCTAGCTCACCCCTCCCCCTCACTTCCCCCACTGACAATCGTCTCGAGAAAGCTCATTTTTTACCTCTGACTTGAAAACTTTAAACACGTTCTAAATATAGAGAGGCGGCGTGGTGTGGTCATGCGGTAGAGCTTACGACTTGTAGCCCGAATGTCTCTAGTTAGGATCCTCGAGTCAATCCAGCTCATATGGGTATCTGACCTACATTAGAGAAATTAAATGTATCTGACCTACATTAGAGAAATTAAAGGTATCTGACATACATTAGAGAAATGATCACAATTCCCCTCCTTATCCAAAAGTTACAGAAACAGGTTAACTCTACTTCACCTGCCCATGTTTATCAACTACTAACGGGAAATACGTATATGAACGTAAGTATGTATAGTTGGGACAGCGATATCACCATTGCCAGCCTTCACCTTTTCAACCATCTAAAATTATGCTGTTGTTTTTCTGTGCCCAGATATGGCTTGTCTGTTGAAGAAAGGAACAACCTGACCACAAGACCAGCCCAGATTTATGCAGACGACAGGCAAGTTGCTTCAACGTCATCGAAATGTATTAATACGCTAAGAAAATGGAAATGCCTGCAATTCAATTTTAAGAAGAGAAAGTTAAACTGTTTCTTTTAACAAATCCGTGACACAAGAATTACACGAGAAAAAAAAATAAGTTAAAAACTGGTAGACTGTTTTAGAGCAAATGACAAGCGATGTAGCGGGCTCTTCTTGTTTGGGGAACAAATGTTGAGGGCCTATTTGGTTCAGTCTTTTGGCGTGGTACATACAAATGTTGAGAGTCTATTGGTTCAGTCTTTTGGCGTGGTACATACAAATGTTGAGAGCCTATTTGGTTCAGTCTTTTGGCGTCGTACATTAATGTAAAACAGTGTCAAGTCTTGTTCTGACATACACAATTAAGCTTTTCTTTTAGAAATCAAACTTCATCCCCGGGAAGGGGGCGGGGGTCTTGATATTTGGGGGGGGGGGGGTATTGAAACTCCTAGGGTGGTAGGCGGACACAGGTCAAAGTATATATTTTCTGATCGACACAAACCACCGAATATTTCAGCGTCTTGATGCGATACACACCCCCCCCCCCCCCACACACACACCAGCAAATATTTCAGCGTCTTGATGTGACACGCACACACACACCAGCAAATATCTGGCCTGTCATATTCCATCAAATTTAACCCTCTCTTGTCTGACAGACGGACCAGCAAGTTTTTAACCCACCAGCTGTCACTGAGAGGAAAGCTGCGCAGGTTTTTCATCAGGAACCCGAGTACCCGTAAGTTGTTGTCCATTCATTCAGCCTTGACCTTCGTACGCATAATATTATGTCCTTGACCTTCTTGGCCCTAATGTCATTTGTACCTGACGTAATATAAACTTTTCAAACCTAAATTCTTGAGTCGGACTGCCTTGCTCTGATGGGCACCTCTCACGTGACAATAAAGGCAGCTGGGCATAATGTTGGTCACACTAACGCTTCATATACCCTTGTTAGAGAAACAGTTGAACTCTACTTCATCTGCCGAATGCCTGTACTGAAAAAAGATACTTTACTTATTTTATTTAACAACGAATAAAAAAACCGCCGAAATATTTCCTCTCCCCCCAGGGCTGGGCTGCACGTTTTTTGACCTGATCGTCCGGCTGATGATGTGTGTGGTGTATGTGGCTAGAACTTGTACGGACTCTGTGGCAGAGTATGAGTGGTAAGTTAACCACATGCCAACAAAAGTGGTAAGTTAGCCACATGCCAACAAAAGTGGTCAGTTAACCACATGCCAACAAAAGTGGTAAGTTAACCACCTGCCAACAAAAGTAGTAATGTGGTAAGTTAACCACATGCCAACAAAAGTGGTCAGTTAACCACATGCCAACAAAAGTGGTAATGTGGTAAGTTAACCACATGCCAACAAAAGTGGTCAGTTAACCACATGCCAATAAAAGTGGTAAAATAACCACCTAACAACAAAGTGGTAATTTATCATGCCCACACTTGTTTCATGTCCAGTTATTGACCACATCTAATGTAACATCTCTGCCCCCCCCCCCCCCCCCCCCCAGCTACGGCTCCCCCTGCGGCCTGGTGACGGTGTCCAATGAAACAGTCTCCGAGAAGGATCAGCTGTTTGAGCAGCATGAGATCAACTGGTTGGTTCACGCTGTTGCTGCTGGTGGTGTTTTTGTTGTGGTACACGTTATATGGTGCTGTTGGTGTTATTGTTGTGGTACACGTTATATGGTGCTGTTGGTGTTATTGTTGTGGTACACGTTATATGGTGCTGTTGGTGTTATTGTTGTGGTACACGTTATATGGTGCTGTTGGTGTTTTTCTTGTGGTACACGTTGTGTGCTGCTGTTGGTGTTTTTGTTGTGGTACACGTTATATGGTGCTGTTGGTGTTTTTGTTGTGGTACACGTTGTGTGCTGCTGTTGGTGTTTTTGTTGTGGTACACGTTACATGCTGCTGTTGATGTTTTTGTTGTGGTACACGTTAGGTGGTGATGTTGGTGCTCTTGTTGTAGTTCATGCTGTGTGCTGCTGTTGGTGTTTGTGTAGTTCCTTTAGACCACGGGGTCATGTTAGATGGTGCTGTTGGTGTTTTTGTTTTTGTTTTGGTGTTGATGTTTTGTTTTATTGTATCACATTATTTTGACGTCATTTAAAATATATTGATGAAAGCTAAAAAAAACTAAACTACAAAAACTCATAAATAAATTTTTGTTTCTGTGTGCCAGGTATGTGTTGCTGTGGGTCAATCGCAGTATGCCAATTTGGATCGTTGAGGTTTCCTTGGCTTTTGTTTGTCTTTCCAAGGCATTGCTGTTGGTCATCATTGCTAGGAAGGTAAAAGTAAACTCCATAATATGTCACATGGTGAATTACATAATACGTCACGTGACGTTATCCTTTGGCTAAAGGCCTGGTGTTTTAGTTGTAGCAAGTTGATGTGAGATGTAACCCTGCAACACCACGCCTAATGTTTTAAATGTGAATTACTTATGTATTGAACACAGGGTCACAGGATGGAGGAGTTGAGAACCTCGACTTTTCTATTGGAGCTGGTCTGCGCCCTGCCGATCTTGATCACTGTAAGCAACGCCCGGCTACTTCAACTAAAAAATGTCCCTCATCTTAAACTTTTCAAAAGTCCATCTTAATAAAAATATTTTAAAAATCGCAAACAAATAGCAAACTTGAAAATACTAATATACGGGCGCTCTTAATTCACGGGGGTGGGTTAACATTCGGCAAAAAATGCTGTTTCATTGTTCATTTCAACAATTTCAATGGCAAATTAAACTTTTTTTTTCGAAAATTATCTTTGATAAAGCAACGTTTCTGCATTGCATAGTGAAATTCTTTTTCTAGATCTATTTTAACAAATTTTAGATTTCATTTTTTGAATGTGCCCGTTCCGTAAAATGATGCGCTAGTAAATTATTATATTTTTTCATCTAGATTCTAGATCTAGCTTTCCATATTAAGCCAAATTTAAATGTTCGTGTAGTTATTTAGAAGGAAAAAAAACATGTCAAACACAGTTTAGTTACCTTTTTTGCAAATGAATGTAATTGGGTTTTTTTTCTGTAGCTGTGTCAGCCATTTTTGTTGAAGGATTTGTTTGTCCCCGTGTACCTCAACTGTTGGCTGGTTGCTAGATCACTGAAGAAAATCTACGTAAGTTTGGGTTCAAATCTGTAAGTTTAAATTCTGTCTGTGAGTTGGGTTTACAGAATGGTTAAAATGTGTCAGTTTGGTTTTTAAAAATGTCTACGTTTAGCTACATAGTTACGTTTGCTATATAAAACATTTATAAAAAGGTCGTCATATACTGTTTAGATTTGTTGTCGATTGAAACTTGTTTGTATCCCCTCTCTAGAACGACCTCCACCTGACGAAGAAAAAGTTCCAGACCATCTCTGTGACACTGCTGCAGCAGATGATCATCCTGTTTGTCAGCATCGCCTGCTTGTTGTTCACCACGTAAGTCAATGGCCAGCACAAGTATAGCAGTCTACCCTTCTGATATCTGAAAGAATGCATCGCATGTGAAGCAGAGCTAATTCGTTTCTGTGACAATTCTAGAATTGACTCTTTGACCAAGGCTCCACTTGTGGACCCAGACTTGACCATGGGCTGAGCTTGGGGCTTATTATATGTTCTACCACACGACCCTCGCAACTCATCAGTAGCGTAAACAACGTACTTAAGTGGCTTGAATAAACCAATGTCCCATCTACACTTGTCTCAATCCAGTAGCGTAGCGAGGGGGGGGGGGCGGGGGTACGGGACATATGTCCCCGGGCGCCGACCCTTAGGGGCGCCAAAATGGGTTGGAAAAATAAATTGAAAGGTTGAGGGGGTGCAAATCGAAAGTTTGAGAGGGGGGGGATGCAAATCAAAATCTTGAGGGGGGGGGGGGTGCAAATCGAAATCTTGAGGGGGTGCAAATCGAAAAGTTTGTCCCCGGGAAGGGTCGCTACGCCTCTGTCTCAATCTCCTGATGTAGAAGATAGTAGCGACCGTTTTAAAACCATCCCCCAATGTCCCATGTACACTTGTCCCCACCTCCACCAGTCTAAAACCACCTCCCCAATGTTCCATGTACACTTGTCCCCACCTCCACCAGTCTAAAACCACCTCCCCAATGTTCCATGTACACTTGTCCCCACCTCCACCAGTCTAAAACCATCTTCCCAATGTCCCATGTACACTTGTCCCCACCTCCACCAGTCTAAAACCACCTCCCCAATGTTCCATGTACACTTGTCCCCACCTCCACCAGTCTAAAACCACCTCCCCAATGTTCCATGTACACTTGTCCCCACCTCCACCAGTCTAAAACCATCCCCCCAATGTCCCATGTACACTTGTCCCCCACCCCCTGTAGTCTAAAACCATCTCCCCAATGTCCCATGTACACTTGTCCCCAATGTTCCATGTACACTTGTCCCCAATGTTCCATGTACACTTGTCCCCACCCCCTGTAGTCTAAAACCCTCCCCCCAGGGTCTGCACCATCCAACACATCCAGCGGGGCAGCCCAGAGCTCCAGCTCGACCTCTTCCAGTCGCTCTACTTCGTCGTGGTCACCTTCTCCACTGTAGGATATGGCGACTATTCGCCGGACACCTGGCTCGGTCGTCTCTTCATGATACTCGCCATAGCTCTGGCCTTCGCTACGCTGCCCAGTCAGGTAAGGGTTAGGTCTAGACAGGTAAGGGTTAGGTCTAGACAGGTAAGGGTTAGGTCTTGTCAGGTAAGGGTTAGGTCTTGTCAGGTAAGGATTAGGTCTAGTCAGGTAAGGGTTAGGTCTAGACAGGTAAGGGTTAAGTCTAGACAGGTATGGGTTAGGTCTAGACAGGTAAGGGTTAGGTCTAGGCAGGTAAGGGTTAGGTCTAGGCAGGTAAGGTTTAAGTTTGATTATGTAAGGATTAGGGTTAAAGTTTAAAGATGTATGCCATGCACTAAATGAGCCTTAGACAAACTCTGCTCCACCAGATCCAAGGACTGATCTCTACCTACCTGGAGCGTGCCAATGCTGGGGGTGAGTACAGTCAGAGGTCAAACAATCACGTGATCGTCTGCAGCACGGCGCTAACGCAGGACAGTTTGATGGACTTCCTCAACGAATTTTACGCCAACCCGAAACTTGAGGTGAATAAATGTTGTCCAACCCGAAACTTGAGGTGAATAAATTTTACGCCAACCCGAAACTTGAGGTGAATAAATGTTGTCCAACCCGAAACTTGAGGTGAATAAATTTTACGCCAACCCGAAACTTGAGGTGAATAAATTTTGTCCAACCCGAAACTTGAGGTGAATAAATTTTGTCCAACCCGAAACTTGAGGTGAATACATTTTATCCGTCAGCTTACGTCACGAGCGCAAACATTTAAATCAGTGGGGTCATATCTCTGCCAGCCATTGGTCATGCGCTACGGAAAACCGCGCAAAAACAAAAACAACCGCTCACAAAAAGTGCGCAAGGGAAGTTTTAAAACCAGTAATTTAAATGACAATCGTAGCACAATAAAGCATTTTCTCGCGGAATATGATCAAAAGAAAGTGTATTAGTATCATGCATTTGTGTTGGCGCATTTTTCTGTTCGCGCAGTTTTCCGTTCCACTGTCGGAAACACTGTTGCACACTTGAAGTATGATTTTTGTTGGTGTAATGTTTTGTTGTGTATATTTGGAGGAGGGGAACAATTTATTGGAATACTTTTGTTGGTGCATTATTTTGTTGGCGTATATTTCGTTGTGGGTATTTTAAAAACAGATTTCTGTTGTCATCTTTTGTGTTGGTGTTTGCGTGGTAAATACTATAATGTGAAACAATAACAAAATGGCATTTGCCTGGTGGCGGAAATCCTATAAAAAATATCCTCAACTCACCTATTATTTTGATGATCATCTTTACAGGACCGGTCAGTGATACTTCTGTGCCCGAAAGAACTGGACAGCAGGAAGCAGGTGGTCCTGAAGGACCCGAAATGGTCCCGACGGGTCCTGTACATCAAGGGCTCAGCCCTGAAGGACACTGACCTCATGCGGTGCCGCGCTCAGGACGCGTACGCCTGTTTTTTTCTGGCCACTCGTCCTACCCTGGACAAGCTGCAGGCGGTGAGTAGTCCTTTCACTGTATGTCCTCTCAATGTCAGGACATTAAGTCCTCTCAATGTCAGGACATTAAGTCCTCTCATTGTCAGGACATTAAGTCCTCTCATTGTCAGGACATTAAGTCCTCTCATTGTCAGGACATTAAGTCCTCTCATTGTCAGGACATTAAGTCCTCTCATTGTCAGGACATTAAGTCCTCTCATTGTCAGGACATTAAGTCCTCTCATTGTCAGGACATTAAGTCCTCTCATTGTCAGGACATTAAGTCCTCTCATTGTCAGGACATTAAGTCCTCTCATTGTCAGGACATTAAGTCCTCTCATTGTCAGGACATTAAGTCCTCTCATTGTCAGGACATTAAGTCCTCTCATTGTCAGGACATTAAGTCCTCTCATTGTCAGGACATTAAGTCCTCTCATTGTCAGGACATTAAGTCCTCTCATTGTCAGGACATTAAGTCCTCTCATTGTCAGGACATTAAGTCCTCTCATTGTCAGGACATTAAGTCCTCTCATTGTCAGGACATTAAGTCCTCTCATTGTCAGGACATTAAGTCCTCTCATTGTCAGGACATTAAGTCCTCTCATTGTCAGGACATTAAGTCCTCTCATTGTTAGGACTTGTATGTCCTCTCATTGGGCAACACACATACCATCACATATCACCAGTTGTAACGATACAAACCTGACCTAACCTTTGACTTGGTTTCGTGTAGGACCGTCACACCATCATGAGGTCCTGGGCTGTCAAGGACTTTGCCCCCAGCTGCAAGCAGTACGTCTACCTGTTCCACGCTGCCAACAAGATTCACCTCAAGTTTGCCGGTTAGTTCCCCTCCCTTGGTCCAATACTTTATTTGTAGAGTTCAGAAACTATAACAATAAAAATTGATGGCTAACAAGACACCAAAAGTTTTTTTCACGTATAAATTTCAAATAAATCGTAATACTGGTTTTTAATATTATTTAACATTTTCAGTTGAAAAAAGTTTTTATTTGTACTACCACCCCCACCCCCCCCCCCCCCAACCTTGTCCACAGATCACGTGGTGTGTGAGGACGAGTTCAGCTACGCCCTGCTGGCCAACAACTGCCTGTACCCCGGGCTGTCCACCCTCGTCTCTCTCCTGGTCCACTCCCAAACACAGCAGTAAGCTTTGTGTCTGTCTATGATCCGCCTTACTCGGTTACCTCATACTTCTTACTTTGTTAAATTACTGGCCCAAGTCCAGCATTACATGTCTCACGTGATCAACTATTTTTGTTTACGCGTGTCAATGTTTTTTCTCTCTAGACAAAACCTCTCGTCATGTGACCAGTGGCAGCAAGTCTACGGCGCGCATGCGCAGAACGAGATCTACCACATCCAGCTTCACAAGAGCGTCTTCTTTGGGCGGTACGAGGGGGAGGCCTTCCCCAGGGCCTCGGCTGATGCACATAGCAGGTAGATACACTGTTAAGTTGGGCGCCCTCAGGAGTTTTTCGTAGCGGAGATCACTCTAGAGTTCTCAGTCATCTCTTCGGGAGGCTAGATGAGAGTAAAGGGGGGGGGGGGGGCTGGATGAGGGTAGGAGGGAGGCTAGATTAGGTGTGGGAGAGTGGCTGGACCTATGATGTGACTGGCCATGACCTTAGGGCTTGTAGGTCTTATGCACCAGGTTGTTGATACAGTTCAATATTCCGTGTTTTTGGGTGACCGCATATGTATACGTAACCCAGAGGCGTAGTAAGGGGGGGGGGGGGGCGGTGGGGGGCATATGTCCCCGGGCGCCTTAGGGGGCGCCAAAATGGGTTGGAAAAACAAATTGAAAGTTTGAGGGGGTGTACAAATCGAAAGTTTGAGGGTGGGGGGGGGGGTTGTCCCCGGACGCCGGGAAGGGTCGCTACGCCTCTGACGTAACGACATCAGGATGCTAATTTTTTTAATAGAACAAAACATTAACAAGTATCATATAGGCTGATTATTTACATACACCGATAGGAATTGTGGTTATAGAATAAGTGAATGTTCTCAGAATCGACTAGGTAGATTATCTAGGAAATGATCAATGTAAACGGCTGAGAAGACCAACTAGTCTACTTCTGTCTCAAGGTTCGGGGTAGCCTTGTTGGCTGTTATGGATACAGAGTCAGCTCATCCCAGACTACAACTTAATCCTGGCCCACACTACAGGCTAAAGGTAGGCTTAATCCAGGCCCACACTACAGGCTAAAGGTAAGCTTAATCCTGGCACACACTACAGGCTAAAGGTAGGCTTAATCCTGGCTTAATCCTGGCCCACACTACAGGCTAAAGGTAGGCTTAATCCAGGCCCACACTACAGGCTAAAGGTAGGCTTAATCCAGGCCCACACTACAGGCTAAAGGTAGGCTTAATCCTGGCCCACACTACAGGCTAAAGGTAGGCTTAATCCTGGCTTAATCCTGGCCCACACTACAGGCTAAAGGTAGGCTTAATCCAGGCCCACACTACAGGCTAAAGGTAGGCTTAATCCAGGCCCACACTACAGGCTAAAGGTAAGCTTAATCCTGGCACACACTACAGGCTAAAGGTAGGCTTAATCCTGGCTTAATCCTGGCCCACACTACAGGCTAAAGGTAGGCTTAATCCAGGCCCACACTACAGGCAAAAGGTAGGCTTAATCCAGGCTCACGCTACAGGCTAAAGGTAGGCTTAATCCTGGCTTAATCCAGGCCCACACTACAGGCTAAAGGTAGGCTTAATCCTGGCTAACACTACAGGCTAAAGGTAGGCTTAATCCTGGCCCACGCTACAGGCTAAAGGTAGGCTTAATCCTGGCCCACACTACAGGCTAGAGGAACAAACCATCTATACGTGTGTGATTAGCCCTATTAAACCACCTCTACACACTGTGGTGTGTGATTAGCCCTATTAAACCACCTCTACACACTGTGGTGTGTGATTAGCTCTTATTAAACCACCTCTACATAGTGTGGTGTGTGATTAGCTCTTATTAAACCACCTCTACATACTGTGGTGTGTGATTAGCCCTTTTTAAACCACCTCTACATACTATGGTGTGTGACTAGCCCTATTTAAACCACCTCTACATACCATCGTGTGTGACTAGCCCTATTCAAACTACCTCTACATACCATCGTGTGTGACTAGCCCTATTTAAACCACCTCTACATACTATGGTGTGTGACTAGCCCTATTTAAACTACTCTACCCAGGGTTCTGACGTGTGCTTCTACGTGAGTGTGACAAGGGAAGAGTACTCTAAAATTCCTGCAGATTCTGCCAAGAGTTCTCTCTATTCAAACACAGGTTAGAATCATGTTTAGCTTCTCACCTACTTTAGAGCTGTAGCGTGCTTGAATTCTGCTCTCTGCTCGTCTGTTGGACGTACGAGAGTCCAACATGTCATTAACGTTAACTTAAACGACGTGTCGAGGCCATAATTCCTCAGCCCCGAACTAAAATTTTAACTTGATTATTTATTTTTAATCAGCTTTTTATATAAGCATCAGGATCTGACTGAATAAATGTATATTTACTAGCTGATATCTCTTGCAATAAAACTCTACATAATACTGAAAATGACATTGGTAATGATATACATTATAAATAGACTTTAGCAATGTTAGTTTTCCATGTCTATAAATAGATGTAAATATCTTGTAAACGGGTCACAGGTCAACCATCACAGAGAAACACCACCAAAGCTGAGACATCACTCGCTGAACCTAAACACGACCCAGGAGTCTTGACCACACTCTCTGATCTCCTGAGCACCATACCCTGCCCCACCAACAATGCCAATAGACTCGTCCGAGGCGACGATGATGTCCTATTGAACAACCTCGAGTTCACGCCCAAATCGGCCATCAATAGGGGTGACAGCATGAGGAACTCGACCAAATACGACCGATCAACCAGCAGCGGTAGCTCTGCTCCCCTGTTGGATAATGGGAGCGGCAGGGAGGGGAGTGGGGAGGGGAGTGGAGAAGGGAGTGGGGAGGGGAGTGAGGAGGGGAGTGGAGATGGAAGTAGGGAGGCTGACGAGGACTGCCTGTCGCAGGTTCACAGTGACACCACGCAGGTGGAGCAGACGACATCAACTGAAGAAGGTAAAACATTTTAAAAGTTCTTTCAGTGGCGCTGCCTGACAGTGGGGGGATCCCCGGGAAGGGGGGGGGGATAGAACTCTACTGACCTTAACGTTTAGTATGTATTGGTTTGTAATACTCAACTCTATACATACCAAAACACTAAATTATACCAGTCAATATCTCAATTTCATCTTGTGAGATAATGGATAACGTTGTGAACTTTGCGTTGTTTTTTTCAACATTCAATCCCTGAGAATGTATTTCATGAAATATTTTCTTGTAGAAAACTATGGACGAGAAAATGGACACATTTTACAGAACAGTTGTGACGTTGAAGGTCAGAGGTGAGTAATTTGAAGTCAAATGTTTTTTTTTTTTGCATCCTACATTGGTAAAGGGCTATTTTTAGGCGTCTACCTAAAAAAAGTGAAACGAGGAAAATGTAGACGAATTAAATAGAAAGTATACAATTAAAAAAAACAACACATCATTGGGTGTTCCAACGTTCAAATCTTATGATGAGTTTCCTATTTCCTACAGACTGACCACTGGACCACCGCCCATCACGATGTCGTCTGGTTTTGGTCGGACATTGTGTCACGTGACAACAGCACCAAGACAGCGCTGTTGTCTGGAGTGGGGAAAGGTAAATAGTGGGTTTACTGAAGGATAAAGGTAAATAGTGGGTTTACTGAAGGATAAAGGTAAATAGTGGGTTTACTGAAGGATAAAGGTAAATAGTGGGTTTACTGAAGGATAAAGGTAAATAGTGGGTTTACTGAAGGATAAAGGTAAATAGTGGGTTTACTCGACAATAAAGGTAAATAGTGGGTTTACTCAACAATTAAGGTAAATAGTGGGTTTACTCAACAATAAAGGTAAATAGTGGGTTTAATAAAGAATAAAGGTAAATAGTGGGTTTACTCGACAATAAAGGTAAATAGTGGGTTTACTCGACAATAAAGGTAAATAGTGGGATACTTTCAACAGAATTTAGGTTACTTTAACATTAAAGTTTAAAGATAGACATTTCCAATGTGATGAAACCAAATGCGCGGGGAAATGGCATATCAGGTTGAACGAAGTAAATGTGTTTCATGTAACAACATCGCAATAAACATCTTGGGGCATCATTAAAGAAATCTAGACAAAATATGTGCTGCTTCTGTGCCCCACAGACCTATGAACACTCCCCCCCCCAACAGACCTGTGTCCCTACAATGTTGTCGCTTGTAACCCCCCCCCCCCCCCACACACACACACAGACCTGTGACCTTTGCCCCTACAGTCCTATCGCTTGTACCCACACAGACCTGTGACCTTTGCCCCTACAGTCCTGTCGCGTGTATCCCCACAGAGCTGTGAGCACTGCCCCCCCCCCCCACAGACCTATGACCTTTGCCCCTACAGTCCTGTCGCTTGTACCCCCACAGACCTGTGACCACTACCCCCCACAGACCTATGACCTTTGCCCCTACAGTCCTGTCGCTTGTACCCCCACAGACCTGTGACCACTACCCCCCCACAGACCTATGACCTTTGCCCCTACAGTCCTGTCGCTTGTACCCCCACAGACCTGTGACCACTACCCCCCCACAGACCTATGACCTTTGCCCCTACAGTCCTGTCGCTTGTACCCCCACAGACCTGTGACCACTACCCCCCCACAGACCTATGACCTTTGCCCCTACAGTCCTGTCGCTTGTACCCCCACAGAGCTGTGACCACTGACCCCTCCCCCAGACCTGTGCCCCTACAATGTTGTCGCTTGTACCCCCACAGACCTATGACCTTTGCCCCTATAATGCTGTCGCTTGTACCCCCACAGAGCTGTGAGCACTGCCCCTACAAGAACGCCAACGAGGACAGATGGAGGAACCAGCTGATCATCCTGATGGCAGAGCAGGCAAGCAGCGGCATCCTCAACTTCGTCGTCCCCCTCCGGTCCTCGTACATAGGCGTACACAACATCAGCCCAATTGTCTTGCTATTGGAGACACAGTAAGGTCCTAATCGTACACAGTAAGGTCCTAATCGTACACAGTAAGGCCCTAATCGTACACAGTAAGGCCCTAATCGTACACAGTAAGGCCCTAATCGTACACAGTAAGGCCCTAATCGTACACAGTAAGGCCCTAATCGTACACAGTAAGGCCCTAATCGTACACAGTAAGGCCCTAATCGTACACAGTAAGGCCCTAATCGTACACAGTAAGGCCCTAATCGTACACAGTAAGGCCCTAATCGTACACAGTAAGGCCCTAATCGTACACAACATCAGCCCCATTGTCTTGTAGACACAGTAAGGCCCTAATCGTACACAGTAAGGCCCTAATCGTACACAGTAAGGCCCTAATCGTACACAGTAAGGCCCTAATCGTACACAGTAAGGCCCTAATCGTACACAGTAAGGCCCTAATCGTACACAGTAAGGCCCTAATCGTACACAACATCAGCCCCATTGTCTTGTTATTGGAGACACAGTAAGGCCCTAATCGTACACAGTAAGGCCCTAATCGTACACAGTAAGGCCCTAATCGTACACAATAAGGCCCTAATCGTACACAGTAAGGCCCTAATCGTACACAGTAAGGCCCTAATCGTACACAGTAAGGCCCTAATCGTACACAGTAAGGTCCTAATCGTACACAGTAAGGCCCTAATCGTACACAGTAAGGTCCTAATCGTACACAGTAAGGCCCTAATCGTACACAACATCAGCCCCATTGTCTTGTAGACACAGTAAGGCCCTAATCGTACACAACATCAGCCCCATTGTCTTGTTATTGGAGACACAGTAAGGCCCTAATCGTACACAGTAAGGTCCTAATCGTACACAGTAAGGCCCTAATCGTACACAACATCAGTCCCATTGTCTTGTTATTGGAGACACAGTAAGGCCCTAATCATACACAGTAAGGCCCTAATCGTACACAGTAAGGCCCTAATCGTACACAGTAAGGCCCTAATCGTACACAACATCAGCCCCATTGTCTTGCTACTGGAGACACAGTAAGGCCCTAATCGTACACAGTAAGGTCCTAATCGTACACAGTAAGGCTCTAATCGTACACAGTAAGGCCCTAATCGTACACAGTAAGGCCCTAATCGTACACAGTAAGGCCCTAATCGTACACAGTAAGGCCCTAATCGTACACAGTAAGGCCCTAATCGTACACAACATCAGCCCCATTGTCTTGTTATTGGAGACACAGTAAGGCCCTAATCGTACACAGTAAGGCCCTAATCGTACACAGTAAGGCCCTAATCGTACACAATAAGGCCCTAATCGTACACAGTAAGGCCCTAATCGTACACAGTAAGGCCCTAATCGTACACAGTAAGGCCCTAATCGTACACAGTAAGGTCCTAATCGTACACAGTAAGGCCCTAATCGTACACAGTAAGGTCCTAATCGTACACAGTAAGGCCCTAATCGTACACAACATCAGCCCCATTGTCTTGTAGACACAGTAAGGCCCTAATCGTACACAACATCAGCCCCATTGTCTTGTTATTGGAGACACAGTAAGGCCCTAATCGTACACAGTAAGGCCCTAATCGTACACAGTAAGGCCCTAATCGTACACAGTAAGGCCCTAATCGTACACAGTAAGGCCCTAATCGTACACAACATCAGCCCCATTGTCTTGTTATTGGAGACACAGTAAGGCCCTAATCGTACACAGTAAGGTCCTAATCGTACACAGTAAGGCCCTAATCGTACACAACATCAGTCCCATTGTCTTGTTATTGGAGACACAGTAAGGCCCTAATCATACACAGTAAGGCCCTAATCGTACACAGTAAGGCCCTAATCGTACACAGTAAGGCCCTAATCGTACACAACATCAGCCCCATTGTCTTGCTACTGGAGACACAGTAAGGCCCTAATCGTACACAGTAAGGTCCTAATCGTACACAGTAAGGCTCTAATCGTACACAGTAAGGCCCTAATCGTACACAGTAAGGCCCTAATCGTACACAGTAATGCCCTAATCGTACACAACATCAGCCCCATTGTCTTGTAGACACAGTAAGGCCCTAATCGTACACAGTAAGGCCCTAATCGTAAAGATACAACGTCAGAAGAATTTAGTGATACCAGTAGCGTAAACAGGAATATATATATATATATATATATATATATATATATATATATATTAGTAGACTATTGCACTAAATTTTAAATTAACCTATTTCCAATTTAGTAATTTAACCTATTTCAATCTCAATCAGTGAGGTACGCCGGAAAGGGGAGCTACATCACTAATGTGTATATTGTAGACAGTTTCTCCCAAGAAAATGATTCCGTGCTATTTAGACACAATCGTTGTTTCCTTGTTGCTTCTTCCAATTCAGTTTTTTAATTCTTCCCTTTTTAGACCAGACGACCTGTTCCTGGACACGATTGCCAGATTTCCACTCGTCTACTTCATGATCGGCACCATCTGGAGGTAAACACCACCCACACGGATCCACGTAACTTTATAATCTCGTACGGTCAGGGTTGTGATTTATGTGATTCACGTAACACTGTACACACGTGCTAACTGGATACAGTCTGACCAATTTAGTGTGTATCTGGCATGTGCAAAGCTTAGTCACGTGATATACCAAATTCTAAAGCAAATTCATGTACGCTTGCGTCAAGTCTAGAACTTTGATTCCGTCATGTGTTCTTAGAGGCGAGATGTTTCACCTTCTTGTACGCATGCGCCAAGTCTGGAACTTTGATTCCATCATTAGTTCTTAGAGGCGAGATGTTTCGCCATTGTGTACGCATGCGTCAAGTCTAGAACTTTGATTCTGTTTACTTCCAGCGTGGACGACCTGCTGCTGGCAGGAATCAACCAAGCGAGTCACCTGGTGGTCACCAACCGTCGCCCAGACTCCAACTACGACGGCGAGGAGTTCATGGAGGACTCGGAGACCATTGTAGCTGTGCAGACGATCAAAAGGTCAAGGTTATGTTACGTCATAGTAAAGCTCCAGACGATTTAAAGTTAGATGTTTTTAAATGAAAATAGTTCGGTGATCTAAGGAAGTCTACACCGTATCTGGTGTGTCCTATTGAATGGGTTGATTGTCCTGTTTCATGGTTTTCCTAGTGTGTCGGTGTGTCCTAGTTAACAGATTGTATATCCTGTTTCAGGGTGTCCTATTTAACAGACTGTGTGTCCTGTTTCATGGTATCCTACTTAACAGACTGTGTGTCCACTTTCAGGGTGTTCCCCAGTGTGTATGTGTGTCCTATTTAATAAACTGTGTGTCTTCTTTCAGGGTGTTCCCCAATGTGTCGGTTCTCACAGAACTCAGCCAGACTTCCAACATGAGATTCATGAAGTTCTCAGCACACAGAGGCGACCAGAGGCTGGTAGGTTGAAACAGGAACAACAACAATACCAACAGTAATAACAACAATACCAACAGTAATAACAACAATACCAACAGTAATAACAACAATACCAACAGTAATAACAACAATACCAACAGTAATAACAACAATACCAACAGTAATAACAACAATACCAACAGTAATAACAACAATACCAACAGTAATAACAACAATACCAACAGGAATAACAACAATACCAACAGTAATAAGGATTGTAACAACAACAATAGTAATAAAAGTTATAAAACTTTATTTTTTTAACGGTGACAAAAGCATAAACAGTAGTCTTTTATCAAAAACATAATCAATAACTATGAATAAAATAACAAGTGCAAATGTAGAACCCACCTGTTTCCTTACCAGCAGAAGTGTGGCTACCACGCCCACTCCAGCATGGGTGAGATCTTCCGCCAGTCGTTTGCTTCCGGTCACGTGTTTTCAGCCAGCATGTTAGACACGCTGCTGTACCAGACGTTCACCAAAGGCTACATCATCAGTTTCGTCAGGCTGTTGCTGGGGGTGGACGGACAGGCTGGTTCCGGTCACGTGTCCAGCGTAAGGATGTGCTATTGGTCTATTTCATTTTAATGTTGGTGGTAGAGTTAAATTATACAATGTTTAGGTAGGCCTATCAGTTATAGAGGCGACTTTAGCCATCGTATGAGTATTGGTTTTGTTAAAAACTTCGGTCGTTTAACGACAGTTAATATTACGCCATTTATTCATGTTGCTTCACTTTGCTTCAGATCCGCATCAAGAAATCAACTCTCAAGAACTTCCGCTGCTATGGCAACCTCTATGACGTTCTCAGCGCCACGACAGGGGAAATCCCCTTTGCTATATATAGAACAGAGTCCCCACCGTCGGCTAACCAAGGAAAACAAAAAACACAATCAACGGCAGTGCACAAAAATACAACCAAGGTCAGTATTTCAGCCACCAAGACTACTTAGAAGGATGATACTAAAGAAAACAAATTAGGACTATCTATCAGTTAGGACTATCTATCAGTTAGGACTATCTATAAGTTAGGAGCATATACCAATTAGGACTATCTGCCATTGAGGACTATCTATCAGTTCGGAGCAACTACCAAAAACGTCCGTCACACGGAAGACAAAAAGCGAGATCATTTTTTCTAGCCATGTTTCTAATATCATTCATCACATTAATAACCAAATGATGAACACATTTGTTACAGAATCCACCCTCTTCCTTACAGAATCCACCCTCTTCCTTACAGAATCCACCCTCTTCGTTACAGAATCCACCCTCTTCGTTACAGAATCCATCCTCTTCGTTACAGAATCCATCCTCTTCGTTACAGAATCCACCCTCTTCGTTACAGAATCCATCCTCTTCGTTACATAATCCACCCTCTTCGTTACAGAATCCACCTTCTTCGTTACAGAATCCACCCTCTTCGTTACAGAATCCACCCTCTTCGTTACAGAATCCACCCTCTTCCTTACAGAATCCACCCTCTTCGTTACAGAATCCACCCTCTTCCTTACAGAATCCACCTTCTTCGTTACAGAATCCACCTTCTTCGTTACAGAATCCACCCTCTTCGTTACAGAATCCACCCTCTTTCTTACAGAATCCACCCTCTTCCTTACAGAATCCATCCTCTTCGTTACAGAATCCACCCTCTTCGTTACAGAATCCACCCTCTTCCTTACAGAATCCACCCTCTTCGTTACAGAATCCATCCTCTTCGTTACAGAATCCACCCTCTTCGTTACAGAATCCATCCTCTTCGTTACAGAATCCACCCTCTTCGTTACAGAATCCACCCTCTTCGTTACAGAATCCACCCTCTTCGTTACAGAATCCACCCTCTTATTTACAGAATCCACCCTCTTCGTTACAGAATCCACCCTCTTCGTTACAGAATCCACCCTCTTCCTTACAGAATCCATCCTCTTCGTTACATAATCCACCCTCTTCCTTACAGAATCCACCCTCTTCCTTACAGAATCCATCCTCTTCGTTACATAATCCACCCTCTTCGTTACAGAATCCACCCTCTTCGTTACAGAATCCACCCTCTTATTTACATAATCCACCCTTTTCCTTACAGAATCCACCCTCTTCGTTACAGAATCCACCCTCTTCGTTACAGAATCCACCCTCTTCGTTACAGAATCCACCCTCTTCGTTACAGAATCCACCCTCTTCGTTACATCATCCACCCTTTTCCTTACAGAATCCACCCTCTTTGTTACAGAATCCACCCTCTTCGTTACAGAATCCACCCTCTTTGTTACAGAATCCACCATCTTCTTCTCGCCCCAAGCCAAGTCAGCATCGCCCCAAATCCCATTCTATTGTCAGCATGAATGGACAACATGGACACCGGCGATTTTCTACAATTTGTCACCCCGAGTTCGCCAACCTAGGCACGATGATACAGAATCGAATCCAGTCTTTAGACCTCTCACACATCGATACTGGTAAGTCTGATGGGCCTATGTGATTCACGGCTGTTGATCGGCCTGTCCGTAGGCCTCCTGTTTTTAAGCGTGTTTCGAGAAAAAATCGTTAGCGGTAAACTGCGCAACAGAAATTGAGCGCAAACAGAAAAATGCGCAAATACAAACTAATCATGCTACTACTACACTTTAAATCATCATATTTCGCGGGAAAGTGTTTAATTATGATACAACGTACATGTGGTCATTCTTTGCCAGTGTCTACAAATGTTCGATTTAAGTTTAAGAAAACAAAAATGTCCTTTCGCACTTTACTGTGCGCAGTTTTTCGTAGCGCATCTTTCCAGTCAACTTTTAAGCGATGTTTGTCAATGTCTGCGTGTTTGTATGGAGAGTGATGGGGGGGGGGGTTGCAAATTGTATCTCAATTTTGGCACATTTCTAGTGTCCTGGTTTTATTTGAATTTTTCCTGAAGTCATTTTTGACGACAACATATGAATACCTAATTTTCAATCCAGTTAGATATAAAAGTAGCCATTAAAAATGATTAGAATCAATTACAAACGTGGGAGATAACGAATTGAGCAGTGGCCAGTCGACAGAGGTGAGCTGGTGTTCACGGAAGTTTTCACACCTGTAGGACGACAACTCACGTGAAGCACGTAAATAATGGTTTTGATGTGCTACTGTAACAGAGAAATGTTTTCTTTCAGAGAGAAACAGCGAACCATCCAGCCAGACCATCTCTTACGTCATCACCAACCCGGCAGCAAGTTGTATCCTGATTCCTGGAGATATTGTGTAAGTCTTGTGATTAAGTCATATGACAAGTGCAAGTCATGTGACAAGTGTAAGTCATGTGACTAAGTCATGTGACTAAGTCATCATGTGACAAGTGTAAGTCTTGTGACAGGTGAAAGTCATGTGACAAGTGTAAGAGAATATGGCCGTAGAAGATTTACACAACGTGAGAGTTATCTTCTCTTTAAAACAAATTGACTCTCAAGTATGTACATAATAAATATAGATTATGCTGAACACCAAGTCTGAGATTATAAGACTAACCAGACTGAATAAAGCGATTGGCTCTAGTAGAATCAACAAATGTTTGTCAAAATGTGATTTTTTTCTCTCCAGCTACGTGATCCAGCCCTCGTCAATGTGTGCCACCCCGACAAAGCAAGATCACGTGAGAATTCACGGCTTCAGCTGGAGCCCCTCACAGTCGACACCTATCGGTATTCGAATACCAAAAGTAACATCAGTTGAGTTGCCAGATGGCACGAGAACAACTAGCCAGCGTTACCCAGCCTTTGTAAGCCAAGTCAGTGAAACCTGTAAATTGTAGACGCTGGTCTACATTTTTACCTAAGTTACCTAATGTGTTCATTGTACAAAGATGTGTTGTTTCATAAATTGCTCAAGTTCAAATAAATTGTGTGTTTACAATCGGTGTTTTACAGACACGTGTATACAGCTAAAATAAAAACAATGCAAGTAATTTTTACACTAGCTGAAATCAGCATTTCATACTTTCTTTACCCAATAGTTAATACAAAATATATATATGCCGATGTTAATATATTGATGTACCAATCCAAGCACATTGAGAATTTATTTGACTACCATTTTACCATATTATTCTTAATGAGCTAGAAACATGCATTACAATTTACATGCGTTCTAATGCCAAAATACGCGTAGAAGGTTCAGCTATCGGAGATCATCAATATTAACCCCTTAGTGGCAGAACATTAACCTCTGTGGCAGAATATTAACCCCTGAGTGGCAGAATATTAACCCCTGAGTGGCAGAATATTAACCCCTGAGTGTTTGTAAGTCAGAAAGAAACAACACTTCATCTTTAATATTGATCTTTTAATTTTATCGCCATTTTACTCGCAGAAGTAAGAACCTTTCAATAGTGTCGCATCCCCTCCTAGTTTGCACACATCAATCCCAAGTTTGACACCCAAATAATTACATTCTTGTATACTTATACTGGTGTATGCTTCGTGTAATCAAGAGGTGTAATCTTATTGTTGGAATTGTTGCAAAGTTTCTAACCGTGTTTATTTTAATTTACGATCACAAAGTATCTACCAGCCTTGCTTGAATGTGTGTCAAATGTTTAAAGCCGACATGTCGAGTAGGTGATTGTGGTGGACATTTGGGGTGCCAGAATCGCGAATTGGGTATTTGGGCGCCATTACCGAGATAATTACTATACACCTATATTTGCTTATCAGATACTTGCTTAAATAATCAGGACAAAATTATGTTTACATGTTTATATGTTTGTACTGTAAACACTTTAAAATGAATAAAAGTCAAAAACAAACATCTGCTTTTCCCGCGTTTTCTTTTTAAGTAACGGTGTTGTCGTGTTAAACTTCAGCATATTTTTAGTTTTATCTGGCAACCTGCATTGTACTGATAATTTTAGTTATGATGTTATGATTCTGTTTTGTAATCCGAAGCAAATTAGGAAAACATCAGAAAGGTAATAAGCTGACGTTATGGGTTGTAAAAGGCTGAGGGTCATTTTGGACTCATCCAGGGGCGTTCAGGCTCTGTCTAAGGTCATGTTCAGGCTCTGTCTAAGGTCATGTTCAGGCTCTGTCTAGAGGTGTGATCAGGCTCTGCCTAGGAGCATGTTCAGGCTCTGCTCTGCCTAGGAGCATGTTCAGGCTCTGCTCTGCCTAGGAGCATGTCAGGCTCTGCCTAAGGTCATGTTCGAGCTCTGCCTAAGGTCATGTTCAGCAGAGTTTCTTCCAGGCATCTCTTCGGGGGGGGGGGGGGGGGGACAGAGCCCCTCCGAAGAAAGTCTACCCCCCCCCCCTCGAAAATTTCAAGTGCCCCCCCCCCCTCCCCGGAGAAAAAAGTGTGGAAGAAACCCTTATGTTCAGGCTCTGCCTAAGGTCATATTCGGGCTGCCCAAGTGCATGTTCGGGCTCTGCCTAAGGTCATGTCCAGGCTCTGCCTAAGGTCATGTTCGGGCTCTGCTCTGCCCAGCAGCATGTTCAGGCTCTGCCTAAGGTCATGTTCGGGCTGCCAAAGAGCATGTTCAGGCTCTGCCTTGGAGCATTTACAAATACCATAACCAGACCTCATATGCAGCCTAATTTCTAACGGCTAGCCTATAAAATGTGTGCGTGTATGTGCGAGTGTGTTTCTGTGTGTATTTGTGTGTTTATAATGCATCACAAGTATGCAGTCATTGACCGCAGAGCCCATAACAAAGTAAACACATCTGAAAAACGTGAAACGCGATTTTAACATGCAGGCGATTAAAAAAAAACCAAGTGCAGCGCTTTAATGGCAGCCTAAAATGCAAATGCCATTCCTGGCCTTGACCTATAAATCATTCCACCCAATGTGTTAGCGAATAGGAACTACATTTTGTCTGCTCTAGCTTACAGGTCAACTCGGTTGCACTCTATTACCTAATCTATTTTTAGCACAATCAATTGTCTTCATCGTTTGCAATGAGCCTTCTGTTAATCAAGATTGTTGCGCTAGGCAGCAGTAGCAGATCAACTTGTTTCAAAAAGAAAGAAAAATGGGAGAGGCAGTTGACCAGTTGTTTAAGAATATTTAGAATCCCCATCCCATTCCCAAATGCTCTTTTAGGCCTAAACACGTTTTTTTTTTAATGTCTAGTTAATTGATAAGATACATACACGTACATGCTGACATTTTTTTTTATATTATTATAACACCCAAATCATTAGGTAAACACCCCCAGCGTTAGCATCAGCTGGTTTGCACATTTGATTGTTTATTTCTTAAATAGAAAAATAATCAATGTATGCAATAATATGATCGTCTAGTTGCAGAAAACTAAAACACAGCACACATCAACCCTATACCTTACACACATGTGTTGACGATTTATCCCACTACACATCAACTCTATAGGTGCCTACCACAATCGTGTTGAGCCCACTACAAAACAATCGAACGCGAGCTATCACATTCCAGCGGTGAAGCAACCTGAGGTTAGACAACTTTAGCCAGACAACCAGCGGTCAGACAACCAGCATCAGACAACCACCGGGAACACCAAATCCAACGTTTCCTCAACAATCGGTCACAACTCTGTCACTCTTTATAGAATCTACACGCATTTGACCTCCGGGCAGCAATTCACATCACAACATGCAGGGGCAAACGCTATATAACTCACTGTTATCACACAGGTGTACCGAACATTTAAAAAAAAAAAAAAACACCACCCGAAATTTTGTGGAGAGACTAGGCCTAAACTCTTACTTGATTGCCATATTGACAACCCAATTGTGAAAAGAACAGATGGAAAATAGAAGATCGTAGTCTAGTTAAATTCCTTTTAATGAACAAGAGAAGATGTAGGCTAACTAAAATTAGCATTTTAAAATAGGTTATTAACATATAACCTACATTGACAGCTTTTTAAAAAAAAAATCTATTTTATTTTAAAGTTAAAGTGGACAAATAAATTACTATTCCAATAATGCATTATAAGTATTATGACATTAGGCTAGCCGTTGTAGAAATATAATTCACAATTTTATCTGGCAACCCAAAGAGTTGCAGACACTTGCATTTTTAAAAAAAATCGCAGTTAGACCTATCATTTGGCATTTAGGATTTCTAGATCTTAAATAATTAGACAACTTAGTACTTAAGGTAAGGTACAGATCTTAAACATCCAGATTTGGATCTAGAATCTAGTGTAATAATAAAACAACCAGATCTAGACTCTAGATCTAGAAATCTAGATCAAATTTGGGGAGAAAATAAATTTATACCGGTGTCCGATAATCTTTATAGTTTATATTCTATATTATTCTATAATGAATGAATGATAATGCCAATGGAATCTTCTTTAAAAAAAAGTAAAGTGGTGTGTGTTAGGGGAGTGTTAGGTTACTGGTAGTAAACTAAATACTAAATACACACATGGCTGGCTAATGTCAATGCTAACCATGTCCCTAACCCCAATTCTTAACCATAAAATTAGTCGAGACTAATCACCTATTTTATGGAAGAGTGTATTGTCGGACACTGGTCACTAATCTAGATGAAGATGAAGATGATGTTAATGATATTATTATTAATGTTAATGTTGTACATTGTATGTTCATACTATTGCTTGTGATGTGGTTTACTTATCAAACTTGATGTTTAAAACTTTATTTAATAACTTAATATAATAAGTTTGATGCAATGCAGGGGTACTTTACTATTAAATTTTTAATTTACTAAATATTTAATATAAATTCTACTTCTACTAAGGGCTAAGGAAATCTTAACTTAATCTAGATCTAGATTCTAGCTAGATTCTATCTACTCTAGATCTAGATCTACTAGATTTATGTAGTATGTAGATCTAGATAGATCTACTAGTGAGATTGTATTGTATATTGTATATAATAGTCTTAATAGTTTAATAGATATAGATTCTAGATATAAATTAGATCTAGATCTAGCTACTAGATATTAGATCTAGCTAGAGCAGTTTGATCTGAACACTTAAAAATACTTAAAATAATAAAAATTCAAATCTCAAATCAGTTGTGAAGAAGTAGGGCCTATAAAAAAAAGTTAAAGCGTGGCTTAGCAGATAAATGTAAAGAGTAAAGTCATTTAAATTGAAGTGTAGATCTAGAGATCTATTCTAAAATCTAAATCTATACAATTGAATACAATCTCAATATGTTCTAGATCTACATTTTAAATAGTTCTAACTATTTCTAATCACTTAATATAGAAAAGATTTAGATTTTAGATCTTCATATTCTAGAATCTAGATCAACAAAAAAAAGTGCTTACTGAGTGATAGATCTAGAATAGATTAAGTGAAAAAAAGTGACAAATACTTAACTAAGTTTTAGTTTTAGGTCTTAAAACATTTATTTTTAAGAAATCATCAGGCGAACCACAGGCTTTATTAGATCTATTAGTTTAGTAAACTTTTTTTTAATAAGGAAGGCAAATTAAGAGTGTAAGTGTAAGCTACTAAAATGAATAAATTATTTATAAATTTGTTGCATTTGTCTCATTTATTTTCTCTTTAACACTAAGAGCTGTAAAGCAGATACACCACACATTAACAAAACTCTGTACACCTTTCTTAGGGCCTACATATAAATATTATATAAATGTAGGTCCTATAATTAAATAAGTATATATATATATATATATATATATATATATATATATATAATGCAATTTTTTCACAGATGCCTGCACTTTTATTCATTATCAATTAATTCACACTCTCTATTAGTGAAGCAAAACCACTTTATGTTTCTTTTTAGGCTAACATGCTTTTTTGTTATTTTCAGGATGGATAATACCAACAGAAAAGACCGTAGTGCCAGTTTCTTCTCAGTATATGTGGGGAATCTTAATTCTGAAGTTACAGAGGTAACCATAGTTTAATCTTGAAATAATAATGTTGGGAAACAAAATTGAACAAAAACTTTTTTCTTTCACAATGTAGGCCCATTTCTAAACTGCAACAATCATAAACATTTTAACAATTTTCTGTTGACTTAAAATTAGGTGTCTTAGTATGTAGTTCAATATAATTCCTATTGTATAAGCACATGCTTTATCTTTTATTTTTATTCAGAAAGACTCTTAGATGGACTTTAGTCATTAACACATTGGTGTTATTTCTTTTCTCTTTCTATTATTATTTATTATTAGTTAAAACTTTTTTATTAGATAATTTATTAAATGTAACCATAATAACAAACAATGTTCATTTTTTCCTTAAGGTATTTTAAATAAGAGTCATACACCTATACAACAGTAAGCTACATTTATTAGAGATGATAAAAAAACAAATGTTTTCGTGTAATAGACATTTTCTCCTAGAATTACCTATAATTACATTGAACACTATATCCTTCTTTCTTGTATTTTTGTAGGATGATTTGGATACTTTATTTAGTGAGTGTGGTCATGTAGCTGAAAAAGTTATCATACCTCCCAAAGAGCAGGGCAGATCCAAGTTTGGGTCTGTAGTTGTTGAAAATTACCTTTCTTTTCAAACATATTGTAAATTAAATGATGCATTAATTTTGTTAATTTATATGTTTGAATATATGTGTGTGTGTATATATATATATATATATATATATATATATATATATATATATATATATATATATATATATATATATATATATATATATATATATATATATGACATATATGACACATTGTGTACATGTATATGTGTAGATATTAATGTGTGTAGCTATATATGTATATATATATATATATATATGTGTGTATATATATATGTGTATATATATGTAGCTACCCTACATCATAGTAACTTTTGTATGGTATGTTTGGTTCATAATTGGAGAACACATGTGAACTTAACATGTTGCATGTTTATCCATATTACCAAAGTACTTAATGAAGGATATTAGAAGTTTCTGGAAATCTTTATCATTGATTTAATTAACTGGGTAAGACTATAAAAAAAATACGTCATCATATTAAAACTTTTGTTTTGTGGATTAATTGTGCAGATTTGTAAGGTACCATACTCAAGAAGAAGCTTTAAGAGCCATTAAAGAATTAAATGGATGGAGCTTAAAATCTCAGCGCATTGTTGTTGACATAGCATCAGACTGTGCTCACAAACTCAAACTGGGTAACGATTAGATTTGTCATTTTAACGTAGAATTATGTACAATACAAACTAAATATTGATGGTACTGGTATCAACAAATGTATGTAAAAGCTTACATTATTATTATTTCATATGAGAAAGTATCTTTAACTGAACTAGATGCAACCTGTATCCCTTAGCACCTCACAACATGCAGCCTGATGAGTCCTATTGTGAGCTGATTAATGCTGCAGCCTTCACCAAAAGGTCTGGTGAGTATGACAGTGTACTCAACCTAAACAGAGTTAAGGAGACATGCCTGTGGGTCAGCTCTGAATTTTTTGGCACTGACAGCGGAGGTAAGATTATCTTTCTGCATGCTCACAAATAGAAAAAAATTTTAGTACAAGCTTTCACTTCTAATGTTCGTGTTATACTTAAACCTGGAATATAACTTATTGTTACACACAACAGGAGTGAATTATACAGAACGTGTTCTGTATGACCTCCAGAGGAAAACCAGAGGATCTCTAGTTCCAGCACCTCCTCATCAGTCAGCCAGCACAGAGACTATCTTAGAGAAAGCTATGTCATGGCTTCAAGAAAGGTCTTGTTTTGTTCCTATATTATTTCAAAATGGCTAGTCAAATGGTTATACATTTTTTTATTTAAAATAAAAGAGTAACTTAAAGATATTTTAATTTCATTACTTGCTAAAAAAATGTATGCTTATCCATGCATTTGTCTGTTTATTTATTTAGCCTACACATTTTATATTCTTAGAGAAAGCGAGGCATTGCTGCAGAAGTACAAAGAGGTTTATGAAAAATTTAATGACATTTTAAAAGATGTCAAAAAATAGTAAGTGTCTATTTCAATCTTATTTTTAACTTTTAGGTTTAACATGGCAAATAATATAAAAAAGTAGATCAATGTTTGCCGATTTTAATAAAATAGCTTTGGATACTTTCTAAATAATATATTAACATTCTTTACAGTACTCACACTGGAGTAAGTGACATTCAGCCTCAAGATGACACAAGCCCACAAAAAATATCTGTTGAGGAAGCTATTAACTTGGAACCTAAATGTACAAGCCCACAAAAAATATCTGTTGAGGAAGCTATTAACTTGGAACCTAAATGTACAAGCCCACAAAAAAAATCTGTTGAGGAAGCTATTAACTTGGAACCTAAATGTACAAGCCCACAAAAAATATCTGTTGAGGAAGCTATTAACTTGGAACCTAAATGTACAAGCCCACAAAAAATATCTGTTGAGGAAGCTATTAACTTGGAACCTAAATGTACAAGCCCACAAAAAAAATCTGTTGAGGAAGCTATTAACTTGGAACCTAAATGTACAAGCCCACAAAAAATATCTGTTGAGGAAGCTATTAACTTGGAACGTAAATGTACAAGCCCACAAAAAAAATCTGTTGAGGAAGCTATTAACTTGGGGCCTAAGTATACAAGCCCACAAAAAATGTCTGCTGGGGCTATCAACTTGGAACTTAAATGTACAAGCCCACAAAAAATATCTGTTGAGGAAGCTATTAACTTGGAACCTAAATGTACAAGCCCACAAAAAATATCTGTTGAGGAAGCTATTAACTTGGGGCCTAAGTATACAAGCCCACAAAAAATGTCTGCTGGGGCTATCAACTTGGAGCCTAAGTATACAAGCCCACAAAAGATATCTGTTGAAGCTACCAGTATTAACTTGGAACCTAAATGTACAAGCCCACAAAAAATGTCTGTTGAGACTACCAATGCTAACTTGGAACCTAAATGTACAAGCCCACAACAAAAGTTTGTTGAGGCTACTAACTTGCCACCTCAAGGTAATACAAGCCCAAAGAAACCCATTAGTCCTCCTAGAAAAGATGCACCAGCTACTTATTTGAATGTTGAAAATGGAAGACCTCTGATTAAAAATTCTGCAGTAAAAGAAATTAATGAGCAAGAGGTAGGTGTGATAGTAATAAGTTATGGATGATTAAGATTATTTTAAGAATATTTTCTGTTACATTTTACTTGACCAAGTTGGTCTGGATCTTGAGATTATGTGTGGAAAATTGTAGAATTGACAAAGTGATACATGCAAAGTACAATTATTAGTGAGAAGGAAGTGTATGCAAATAGAGAATTTCAAAATGATCCTCTTTAAAGACACAGGTATTAGTCATTTAAGTTAAATGACATAGGTAAATCTAAAACATGTTTCAGATTTTAAGAAAGAAAATTCTGATTTTCTTTTCTAGATGTTGGTTGTTATAAATCATGGATACATTAAAAGTTAGAAGGGTGCTAATAGGGCTTGTAAGTCTCTTTGCTTCTCTTACTTAAAATTTGAAATCTCGTTAGCCAGGGTTAGGTGAATTCTCAAACTATCATTATCAGTTTTTACGATTTTAAATAACTTAACACAAGCGCAAGTAACTTTTATTTCTTTTTTTACCGATTTAATAAACATATTCACAATTGGTTGGAAAAATACTAGCTGGCTAGTATGATAAGAAGTTGGTGACCTACTTACAAGCCCTATTATTACTTTTAAATTGGATTTTGAATTAGATTTAAGCTTAGATCATATTCTTGCAATTAAAAAATGCTTGAAATTTTTTTAATGTCTTTAAAATGTATTAAGGTTGTTTTATTTTCCTTTATTATTCTCCAAGGAGTTGAAATAGTTAGTCAAACCTATCTATTAATTACTACCATTTTTATTTCACCAACACAGGGTATGCCAGCACCAGCTAAAATAAATCCTCTTGTAAGGAAACCATTGCCAACATTATACAAAACCCCACCACCACCCGTAGAACCACCTCAAAATTCTTTATTGCCAACTCCTGAACCACCAGTTGTCAGGAAAAAAAATTTATTTTCTATTCCCCTGTTTCCTTCAAAAAAGTTTACGGCTCCACTTTTGCCAGATCCATCACCATTGGATAAAACCAGCATGGCTCACCAACAAGATAAGGTTGTTGAGGACTCTTCAGGTGCTGAGGATTCTGAATTAAGATTACATGGAACTTTGTTGGAGTGGGGGCGCCACTTGAAAAACCTTGTTGATGATGATTCAGATCTTGAAGAAGAAACCATTGTTACTTCAGATAAAAAATCGTGGGAGGAAAACAAAGTTGAAAATGAATGGGTGGATGAAAAAGAAAGCTATGATTCTAGCTTTTTGTCAGATTTGTTCTGTCAGGTTCTGGAGTCTGACAAACCATGCGTGACCAATAAGCGCAGCCCCGTGTCCTGTAAAGTAATGCCAGGAGGAGGTGGCGCTGAAAAAACCCAGAAGACCACCAAGAGCAATCCAGTGGCCAGTAAATTATTGCAAGATGGAGATGGTGTTGACAAACCATGTATGACCAACAAAAGAAGTCCAGTGGCCTGTAAATTAGTCCCTGATGGAGGTGGGGACAACCTAGTCCCAGTCAGCCAAGCTAGTCATGGGGATGCTGATGTGTCAGTTGGACCAAAGGATGTTGACCAGACTATGTCAGTAGATGATGAGACCCTGTCTAGTGGTGTAAAAGTCTCAAAGCTTGCCATGTTAGCTAAGAAATTTTCTCAGCTAAACCAGCCTACAATCAGGCCACCATTTTTTGTTCCTGGCAGAGCTAAGCCATTGTAAATGTAATGTAGCGCACATCAACTGATTTGCACTAACATCTTAAATTCTTACAATTCCTGGCCATGTTACTGATTCTTTATCAGCATTTGTTTTAAGAATTTTTTTTATTTATGCTTAGGACTGTTGCAGCTGCAACTAGCATATTTTAAAGATTTGTTAGTCATGTTCATATATCTAACTAGGTTATTATTAAGTATTAAGGTGTAATACCGTTCAACACAAAGTGTGCATTGTAACTATAATGTAATTTTAAATAATGCTTAAACCATTATTTTAGTCCTTTATGATTCAGTTTTATGTCATGCTATTCTTAAAATACAATTTTTCTATTAGAAAATTGGGATTAACTTTAAAAAATATGGTCTCTAGTTAAACTATCCATAGATCTAGATGTATATTTATATGTATAAAGAATTTTTTATCAGAAAAATTTGTTGAACAAAGTTAAATTTTATAATAAAATGTTTACCGTTGATTGGTTTTTGAAGTTTTGATTACTAATACACACAAAAAGTAGAATAATCCAAGAAACATAAAATGACAAAATGTTTTTAATTTAGCAGATCTCTTGAGAACCCATGCTCAACAATAACAACATTAGGGCAGTGGATAGCAACAAATGTGTATCTCTATCAACATAGTTTGCCAAGAATTTTTTCAATATGTTATAAAATAGTTATATGATTTTAAAAATATATCGCATGTATATAATTTAACTCGCAAAGACTATGAAAATAGATAGCTTATCTATGAGCACAAAATGTACAGCTTTAATAATAATTCTGACATTGACATAAATAATGGAATATTTCAGGTAGGAATCTTTAGCTATGGGAAAAAGTATACCTAGAATCACAGTGGCAAATAATTAATTCTTGAAGGCTACATCAATGACTGTTTTTCTGAGTCCCACCAGTCAGTCTTTGAGGCAGTCAATAAAGACAGTCTTGAAATTTTAAAATCTAGAGCAGCTGTGTAGTGAAAGAGTATATTTGTCACGACAACACCATATTCACCAGCAGCAAAAAATGTGTAGACTGAAGAGAGAAATAAGGAAGACAAATTAATACCAATCAATAAGGGTTTTATCGAATTTTAGATGTCATGAAATCAAACAGGGAAACCATACAGTCAGTAAAAATAATTTACAAAAACTAACAACTTGAATAATACCAACTACTTTAGCCATGATAAGCAAGTACCCAAGCAATGTTCATACTGCTTACTTAAGTAGCATGGCTATGCAGTAATTTGGTAAAAGTATCCTTGTAGTAATCTTTACAGTTGGAATGTTCACAAGTATAGATCAGCATTATAATTTTATCATCTCCCCATTTATTGTAAAACTTACAGTACTCGTAATGGCTTAATATTAACTCTATAAAAATTACAATTAAAATATAACAAAAAAGCAAGAAATGCTAAAAAGGTCACAAGAAACATCTTTAATTTTTAGAAAGCTGTGTTAAGAAAATTCTCACAGAAAAAAGTTGCATTTACAATGCTAGGACTAGGATGCACATGCTGGGTCAAACAATAAAACAACAATAGTAACGGTGTTAATTGTAAATATGACTTACTTGTATGTTAAAATGCCAAATTTAAACACTAACTCTTATTGAACTTATTTTTTTCTTCAGCTTAATAATCTATAAACTTAAAAACATTTAAATTCATGTCAAGTAGTGACCACATTTAAAGTAAGAGTTAACAGATTTTACAAACACACCTATGTTGTCTTTGCCTTGGTTCTAGGCATTTGTGGAAGCTCTGTGATAAGGGTAGTTTGGGCATACGCCAGGGAAAAGGGAGCAAAGTCTAGGCTAGCTGTGCCATGGAATGCTATGTTGGTCATTATCACTAGATATTCACAAGCAGCAAACCCAGTGTAAACTGGAAAGATTTTAGCACAGGTAAAAAAAGGATCAAGAATTGTTTAAATTTTAAAATACAATAATACATAGAAATACAAAAGGTAGACAGAGGCACACAATAAGAAACTTATGAGGTTCATGCTGTGCAAATGTTTTCATAAGTCTAACAGTACAGTCTACAATCCATAAAACTAAACGGCTGCATGCACCAAAAACAAATAGAAAACATTATCTTTCATACTAATTAAAAATCCCATCATAACTTAAAAACTATAGCATTAACATTAGGTATGTAATAATGTTTTAATTTGATGCTGTTAGTGTTACTTATTATATTAATTTACTTCAATATTTAACTGCCACCTAAAAATTACATAAACAGCCTTGGTCAACTTTTACTGGCCCCCCTCCCCCCTGAAAAGTGCTTCTTGATCTAGTGTGGAAATAATAACATGAGTCATTGTAGGTGGAAAACAACTGCAGATGACAATCTATTTTAATTTTACCCTTATTTTAAATATTTAGTTAAAGTTAAAATATAGTTAGTTGCAAAATATATGTTATTGCACATTATTTGAGCTTTTGAAGTCATAACCACCTAGAATATGGCTATTTCTAAATAGTTTTCTTAAAATAACAAACCCCATAAAGTAAGCGTAGGAAATAAGATGGTAAAAGTTAAGTATACCAACCTCCAGGCTCACAATACCAGTTGTGTCTGAAGTATATGTACACGGACAGGAAAAATATACTTATGTTCAACAAAAACAGCTTTTCCTTCCACCACAATGAAGCTGTTTCCTAAAATAAAATAATTTTTTTTAAAGTGCCCAGTTAACTAAAATGATCCTTAAAGTTTATTTCTGTAAGTTAAAAGTGCCCCCACTACACACACACACAACAATTAGATTCTTTTTTTTAGAGTCATATGCAACACCACACAACTGTTTTCTGATTTTGCATAGCTATTGTTTCCCTATTTGAAAAACACAAGTACAATGACTAATTTTTCTCAATTTATTTAAATTGATCAGTACTTTGCCTAATAGATTACTAATTATATTCTCACAATCCAATAGGTTTATATAATAAAGGATAAAATTATGATTCATACCAATACAATGAAAAAATAAACAAAATCTTACTTCATTGGTCATGAAAGCACCTTTGACAAAACCACGACATCTAAATAGGATTATGGTCAGTAACATGTAAATTAAACCACCAGCCATAAAGATTATAAACATGGTCTCATGAAGATCTGTTGGGAAAAATAATTTAAATTCTTTTATTTCAAGTAAGTTACATTCTATTTTAATTCTTGCTAATTCTTGAATATTCCCATTTTGTGAATTCACTGGCGGTACATTATACTTTTTTTTAAATGTGTGAACAAACCGTGATTTTCTGTTGAAGAGATAAAAGTAAGCCCAACCAGAGCACCAACTTCTATTATATGACACAGACTGGTAAATGCAGCAACTGATTTATAACATTCATTATGCTTTCCAACAAGGATTGATGTATGGAAGTTGTAATAGGCTATAGCAATCAAAAAGCGAGGAGTCGCATGTAATGCTATACTGATCCGCCAGACATATCTTTGTGGAGTAAACCCTCCAATAGCTGCACTGATTGACGGGAGGTAATTTCTAACCTGTAGATTTAAAAATTCAATTATGCTAATTAGCTATAATAACCAAAAAACCCTATTACATAGAATGTAGTTGAAGCTATAATAATCAAATAACCTTACTAAGTTATTACTAAGTATGTGTCAAGTTATTTAGTTGTGATGTAATAAAGTCAAATAAAGGGGTGTGGCACTGTTTTAGTTTTAGCCTATATTATTTATTATATATATATATATATATATATATATATATATATATATATATATATATATATATATATATATATATATATATATATATATATATTATAATAATAGTTATAGGCCTATGGCCTATAGTTACTGGATCTAGATCTACAGGTAATAAAAATGAATTGTCATTAAAGATTTTTTAAGAATATATGATGATGAAGCTGCTTTAGGCTAGGTATAGTATTAGTATTAGTATTTAGTAGGTATTGTTGGGACTGGAGAATCTAAGACATTCTAAATCTAAGATTAATGTAAGAAATAAAATTGTCAAATTATTATGCAAGTAAAATAAAAGATGATTAGTAATTCTTTATTGTACTTGCATAAGTTAAGTTACTTAGATCTAGTATCAACTTCATCTTACCCTGCAGTGGGTTGCAGTAGAATCTTCAAAATCATAAATAACTGACCAGATAATACAGAACAATGTTGCAAACAGAGGGAGTCCACAAACAATTTTTGCCATTGCCGGGAAAGGTAAATAGAACAATGCTTTTTGTTTAGTTTCTGAAGACATGATTTCGATAAATGCAAGGCTGCCCAGTTACGTCGGTCTGCAAGATGTGAAACTGATGTATCTTATATAATATAAATATACTAATCTAGATCATAACTATTTCATTATAATATGAGACAAATGAGAATAACAGTCAAATGTCGTTCATGTCAACACAACCCCTTTAAAAAGTGCAATCGTATTTTGTTTCGGTAATATTACGAAGAGCTAAACTAATAGTAACTTCTAAATGTCTAAACAAAACAGTTATAATTTATCAAACAAATATGAGCTACTAATTTTATAAATCAAAACAACGATACCATATTATATTTGACTTACATGTAAACTAAAAAGAAATATAGATCTACTTTATTTTCCCACTTATTGTTCTGTTGTTTCCAAATCTAAGTGTAACTTTTTAAATACTTTTGTTGACATTATGGCGGATATTAGAATCTAGATATTGAAAAGATCTAATGTAAACTTTTTAAAATTTAGAGAATTAGATCACGATCTAGATCTAGTTGCAATTAGATCTAACGAAAGGGATAATTTTTTGTACTAGAGATCTTGATCTAACAACTGTTATTGATTAGTAAAAATGTCCAATCCTTATTTTCCTTCACCCTTACCACGGGTTGAGGATTCTTTGTGGTTCAATGTTGACAAACCAAGAGATGATGAAAATGAACTTACCCTCCTAGAGGAAAAATACCAAGCATGGGTAGGCATCTATATTAAATCAACTGTTATTATACACAGTATATTGAGTAGGCCTATAAGTATAATAGTTCCCTATAGAATAGAACTAGAATGACTAGATCTAGTATTTTATAGTAGTAATTTAAACGAAGTGTCTACTCGGAAGATTTTTCTCCCCAACGTCTCCACTTAGTCGGCAAAAGATAGCTCTGCGCGTGCGCAGTGACCTATGGCTAGGGTTAGAATGAGGGTTAGGGGTAGGATTAGGGATAGGGTTAGGGATAGGGTTAAGGATAGGATTAGGATTGGTGTTAGGGTTCTGCGGTTGTAAACACATGCATGCGCAGTACCATCGAAAACATCGTCGCTAAGGCAAGTCGTAGTTTCTCTCCATTGCGCATGCGTATCGCATGCGTATCTTATTCTGGCTAGAATCGGCCTAATTTAAATTGTCAATTGATGGCAATTCTGACTCAATTTTAAATCTTTAAGGGGCAGTATAGATAGGCCTAATAATAATAATATAATATTATTATAATTTAAATTAGGGCCTATAGTTATTATCTTAATAAGTTATTATCTTATTAAGTTATTATTTATTTATTGTAGGCCTATAGGCCTAAATATTATATACTATTTATACTAGTATATACTATTGGCTATTCCTACTAGATCTATATAGTATTTTTGTTTTGAACAATTAACAATCTGAAAAATAGATCTATATTCTATTATCTAACCATAGTAACCAACCAGACTCTAAAGTAGATGATTTTATTCTAATTTTGGGCTAAATTACAGCATAATAGCGAAATAAATTTGCTTAATATCATTAAAATGTCTGCTAATACTACATCTAGTAGGCTATTTTTTAAAATACTGAAAACCGTGTAAACTATTTATTGATTTGAAACAAACTTTATTAAAGCTACTCTATTGCCTCAAAAAGATAAATTAAGTCAGACAGGTTTGTCTAAGATTCTTTGAACAGGATGAAATTATTGAAAAGTAGAGCAATAAGAAATCCTACTATGAAATCATTATTTTTCTCTAGATCTAAATAGTAGTAACAAAGTAGGTCTACCATAGTAGCTTTTAATTTTCATCTTGATTACACATATGAAACATACTTGAAGTAAATTGATACAGTTTTAGTAAATGTTTGTATTGCATTCCCCATGATACACAGGACTGTCTGTTAATGTGTAGAAAGTCTTTCAAGGCACTTATTACCTACACTCTGGTTATGTAATAGTCTACAATTTCTTTGCTTTTGTTATAATTATTGAAGCATCTCGTTACGTTAAGAATTAAGATCTAATAAGCTATAAACTTATTTATACTCTTTTGGGTCTGACTTATTACAATTTTAATTCATGAAAAGCTGTAAACCATCTTGTATCAACATGAGGCCAACAGACCTTGGTATTATTCACAATTTGGGCGAGTTAATGTGGACTTTACTAAAGCTTGACTTAGACTCACTTGAAAATATTTTTTTACATTTAGCCTACTTAATATTTTTTGTGTTTGACTTTTTATGAGGTTATCAAGTTTTTTTGTCATTTACAGATGAGCGCCATAGCTTTAAAAGATAACAACATTGTACCTATTGGAAAATCATCAGAGGTAATAATGATGTAGTACACATTTGCTGCCAGAAATTTTATTCTAACTTGTAATTTACATGTATTCACAAGTGCCTCCATTCTTTAAGTTTAAGTACTTACAACTATGGTCAGTGAAATCTCATCAGTCACAGCTCAACCATGTTTAGACAGGTGCAATTTAAACATCTAATTAAATGTAACAAAATACCTTTCTCTGTGCTACTGAAGTGTACTTATTTGGTGCAGCTGTTGTTGATTTTACATGTTTTTAATGCAGCACTTAGAAGAGGAAGAGGAGGAAGAAGATGAAGAGGAGTGTGAAGAGGAGGAGGAAAGTGACACCAATGATGACCCAGATACAGATATGATGGATGAGAGAGATTCTAATGATGAGGCCAGTACTTGTAAGTATTTGCATAATGGATATGTAATGGTATTTTAATCCATGAACCTGTTTTTGGTAGTATAGCTAGTGTTTGAACATACCAGTGCAAGTATTTTTTTTCATAATGTCACAGATTTTTTTCTCATAATCTGGCTCACTTTGTATTATTTTCAGACTAAATCCTATCATTTCTACTGAGAATGAGTGCTGCCTGTTGTAAAGAGATACAAGTCTTTCAAATGTGGTATAAGTGCAATGACATATAATGAAAACAATTCTGTGCATGCATGTTTAACTATTTTGTGTATGTTTATTTTTAGCTGTCATTTTACATATTGTCAGAGGTGGTGATAATTAATTAGCACTTCAATTTTTTAAACGAAACAACTGCCAAGTTAGGATATGGGGTAATTTTTCCATCTCCATGGTGTGCTGTATTTTAGTATTTTGTATGGTAATTTTTAGAATTAAAACAACTGACATGTGGTTGGTGTACTTGTGCATGAAAGAATTATCACTTCATTATTATTCATTATTTAGAATTAAAATGGAATTAATTAAAATTAAAGCTGTAGTTTTGGTGTGATATTTTTTATCAAGCTGCAGTTTGCTTTGATGTCTCAGAAAAGTATAAAATTGGCCTATTTAAAACCAATGAACTTGTATCAAGTTAAATCTAGAAAAAAGCAGCCCCTATTTATAGTAAAGTTACTCCACTTAAACAATGTATGTAATATGATTATTAAAATGTTATTAGTTTTTTTTTTAATCAAAAATCTCTCTTTTGTCTACACCTGACTTAATTATTTTAATTAATAAATTTGTAATTGTTATTGAAGTGTTCTATTTTGGATAATTGACTAATCAGCAGAAATTATCTGAAAACCAAGCTTGGATATCAAACACTTGCCAGTCATGTATTAAATAACGCCAGGTGGTAAATTGCACAACAGATAACCCAAAGTCCTGAGTTCATATAGGACAGTAACACATTTAGGAAGAAAAACTCTGAAATCAAAGTGTCCCCTTACAGATGTTATGGGATTTTTAAAAAAAAGGCTGAAATTGGAGTTAACAGGTCAAAAGACACAATTCTCCATTATGCTGGGGGGTAAAACAATGTTTGACTTTATGTTTGATCCCCTCAAAGGTTACAATTAAGTATGAAGGAAGATCCACAAAAGCAAATGAATTAGCATTTATTAACTTTGCTTTCAAGTAAAAATAATTTAAATAATAATAATATTGTTTCAGCTGAAAGTCATTATTTTTTAAGTATTTGTATAAAAGCATCGGTTGGGACTTCCACTACACCAATTTTCCTGAGATATTTCTTGCCTTCAGCTTGGTTTTTTAGAAGCTTCATTTTTCTTGTTATATCACCACCATACTGCAAAAAATGTAATACTAATCAAGAAAAATGATTCAATTATACTCTTGGTTCTAAATACAATGGACAATACATTGATGCTCATAATTCAATTAGACCCAAGATATGAAAAACTAATACCACAGGAGCTATAACAACATCATGCTTTCATTTAAGCAACGAAGCCATATATACACAGATTGAAATATATTTCAAGTTTTAAATGTATCACAGAAGAAACTTTTATGGGCTAATCTGTAGTTATAAAAAAAAATGATATGATAATTATTAAGATGAATCTGGTAAAATAAAACAACTTATGTTTTCTTACACATTTAGCTGTAACGTCCTTCCTGAAAGCTTTAATATCCTCTCTTGCTATGACTTTTTGATTCACTTTGGCTTGAATTGTAATTACAAACTGTTGCCGGGGAATAGCTGTCTTTAACTTTTCACATATTCTGACTGCTATTTTTCTAGCACGTGAAACATGACATATCATTGTGAGTTCTTCCACTTCACGTCCGTTCAGAGTGTAATCAATCTTTGAAAAAATATCCATGAACTATGAATGAAATTTCTACTATATGTTACATGTCAATCAAGATAAATGTGTAACATAGTTTATTAAAACTTGTAATATTGTAAGCAGCCAATGTAGTTAATTTTTATGTTTGGAAACTTACTTTGACTAGATCTGAAACTTCATAGCCTGCATCTTCATAATCAAAACTGAAAAAAAGACCAGATCAGTTAATAACATTTTAAGTTATCTTTAATTAATATCTACTTATGAAATTTCCTATGTATGTTAGAGGCAGTCAAACTAAGGGTAGACAATTAAAAATACTTTTCCTTGTTTTTCTCCCTTGTTAATTTTTAATATACAACTAAAGGTAAAACACACCTTTCTGGTTGCAATTATAACATACCTTGCATAACCTGATGTTAGAGATTTTAGCTCATCAAAAAAATCAACAAGAACTTCAGCCAAGGGGAATTTGGACTGCACCATAATACGAGTATCATCAATGTATATCTGATCCTTTATTCTTCCACGATAATCCTTTCAGATTTCAAAATAACTATTTTACCACTAATATCATGCACAGATTTTTTAAAGAGATACAATAAGGGTAAATAGTTCACAGGAGGTGATAAAAACTGAATACGGCAAGATAAGGGGGGTGGGGAATTTAAATATTTGCAAAAAAAATAATTCCACGTTGATTGTCAATGCATGAAAAGAACAGAAACTGATAAATGAAATGGTAAAAAATCTGAGCAAGAACTACACTTACCAAGCAAAGCTGTGTGATCGCATTGATGTGTTCTGCAGGTGTTATGATGGTGCCATCAATCATGGGCTCCTGATATTCTGTAATTATTGCTATATCTGGCATCTAGGGTATTAAAAAAGATACCAAATAATTTATTCTGATAAATTATGAGCACTGAATAATTTTCTCTGAACTAATAAGAGACAAGCAAAATTAGTCTGATACTTTAATTATTGTAATTGTTATTTTTCAAATATTGCTCACAGGTGGCTTATTGAAATAAAAATTATAACTAACTATCCATAGTTTATGCAAAGTACTTTATCTAGGGGAGTCATAATTTGAAACTATCTTATAATTGATTTAAATTTTGAACAACACTTACCAAACAAGGATTAAGAATTGTTAGTTCATTTCCTCCATAAAATTTAATGTTTTTCTCACCAATTATTTTCACTATAGAAACAAAGACATCAACGACTTGATCAAGATTTAAAAAGCTATGCATGAAATGTATACACAAGATTTAAATATGTTTTCAATTGGAGTCAGACAAATCTTAATAAAAATTGAAAGTAAACTTTGAAAGGTGTAATCACTGACCTTTATAAGCTACATTAGGTGTAGTGACTATGACAGAAGCATTAAACTCTTGCTCCAATCTCTGGTTGAAGACGTCCATGTGAAGCAGACCTAGAAACCCTAATCTATAGCCTTGACCTAGAGCAGGGCTAAAGTAACATAACAGTAATGTACTGATTGAATAGTCTACTCAACTATTAATAATCTAATTAATAGTATTTTGAAATTTCTCTTGCTAATTAATAATGTTTAATCAACCATTTGCTGGTTCTCACACCTGTTATCCATTTTGATTTGCACACTGCGATCATTTAGTGTTAATTTTTCAATGGCACTTCTAAGTAGGGGAAACTCTGATTGCTCTGTAGGAAATATACCAGCAAAAACCTGAAATGAATACAGAAATGTCTTACATTTATCTAACACAGATGCAATAAATTTGAAAATATTTAACACAAAGGAATGATTACCTTACCATAGGTGTGGCATTTTTAAAACCAGGCATTGGGTCAACAGGTATATTCTCATGGTAAAATGTGTCTCCAATCTTAGCCTCACCAGTGTTCCTCATGTTCATCATTGCATAACCAACTTGACCTGCATAGCTGAAATTTTTCTCACTCAGTTAATATGTATCTTACAAATAATATTGGTGTCGGCATTTAAATAAACTTTTCTAGCAAAGCTTTAAGCTTAAGTTCATTGTTAATTACTAGTTTTTATTAAATATTTGTCAAATCATGCTGCATAATAGTATAGATAATCAAAATATATGAGACAAATTTTCATATAGATTCCCATTAGTAAGAAATCTAAGCTAGTACAATGGGAAACAAGTATGTAAAAAACTGACACCTAGGCAAAAATTACAGCTTCATTTAACTAAGAACTAAAGTAACTTGTACACAGCATAATAATTCAACTTACAGATAGCCTGAAGGGACCTGTGTTGGATACATGATTCCCACTTCAGTCAGTTCATAAGTTTTTTTAGAACTGGCACAGGTAATCCTTTGACCTGCAAATTTTTTTTTATCTTAAGTATTAATGTTAATTTGATGTATATTTTTGTCATCATTAGTAGTTTTATACACTGGAACACCAACCTGTTTTAACAACACCATCACAAATTGCAATGTGAGCCACAACCCCCTTGAAATGGTCATACCAAGAATCAAATACAAATGCTCGTAGTGGTCTCTCTCTACTGTATACTGGACTGAAAAAATATTTTTTCTTAACAAAACTTTTTTTTAAATATTGAAATTATCCGAAAGTAAAAAAGGTGTAGAATAAATTTGTAATGTGCTCATATTACCATGGAATTCTTTCAATAACAGCTTTTAGAACATCTTCCACACCACTTCCAACCTTAGCGGAGATCTACAACAGGAAAATGTAAAAGAAAAAATCTTAAGTAATCTTTCCAATTTTAATTTCTACTTAATTATTTAAGTTTCTAGTCAGGAAAAAGTTGTACCTTTAAAATAGCGCTTTTGTCAATATCAAATATATTGTTAATCTGATCAGCAACCAATTCTGGCATAGCATTCTTCAAGTCAATTTTGTTAATTACTGGTATAATTGCCATTTCTGCCTCAAATGCTAGGTAAAAGTTGGCAACAGTTTGAGCCTGGACACCCTGGGATTGAATAAAAAGGACTTAGTTGTTACAATTTCAAATCATTTCTGATTTATTTTATCCCTACATGGAGGGCTTGTTAACAATGATATGCTCTAGATGTCTTACAACAGACCATGACATGCTCTAGATGTCTTACAGCAGAACATGGAAACAATCAGTTACCTGGTTAGCATCTACCAGAAGAATAACTCCCTGACAGGCTGCAAGTGATCGCGATACTTCATAGTGAAAGTCAACATGGCCCTAAAATGTGAATACAACAATCTTTCAGTTTTGTTTTTAATCAAGAGTACATCCAAGCTTTAATTAGCAAAGAAAGAAATAACACCAACGGGTGTGTCAATAAGGTTGAGCAGGTAATCTTGTCCTTGGTACTTGTAGATTAAACTAGCTGTCTGGGCTTTAACTGTTATTCCTCTTTCTCTTTCCACTGGTAGCCTGTCAAGAACTTGGTTATTATTTCCCTTTGGGATAGTTCCTATAAAAAAAAGTCAAGATGAAGTGATTTTAACATATTATAGTGAGATCAGCATTAATATAATGCTTTCATAATTTGTATTTTACATGGAAAAAAATATAAATCATGATGGTATATTTATTTATTTTAAAAGTTCTTAAAATCTTATTTTAAATTTCAATGGAATAAGATTTTAAAAATTATAATATATAAATAAACAAAAATATGTCAATAGGGGGCCTAATTAAAAATAATTTTAAAATATTGAAAAACACTTTAAAATTTTACCAGTTATTTCTAGCAGTCTGTCTGCAAGAGTGCTCTTTCCATGATCCACATGGGCAATTATACTAAAATTTCTAATACGTTCTACCGGGAAATCATTTAAATGAAATGGGAGCTCTTGATGCTGCTGCAATTAAAGATTTTAAGGTTAATTAATTAAATAGAAACACAAATTAATTTTAAATAAATTTTAAAATTACTTAGTACATAGTTTATCCCAGTATCCATAATTTATATCTAGATCTATTTATTATTTGATTTGATTATTTAATTGTTAATTTAAGTGAGATTTTGTGATGAAATAACTTTTGTTAAATTAAAAGCACTTACCATTGAACATGCTGTTGTAGATAACCTACATTTACCAGCAACGTTGAATTGCTTGTTAACAAATGGAAGAGATAACTTTGATAAGTTTTTAATTTTTCTTTGCCACTTGAGTAAAAAAAGTCTCTGCCAAAAGTATAAACCTGCCATGCTATAGTATTAAATTATTTAGGTTTATTTAGGTTTCTGTAATAAAATAGAAGACCAAACATTAAATTATTCATTATAGATGTAGATTATAGAGTTTTAAAAACAAACATTATGTTTTTAATTTTAAAATTCCACAAAGGAATAAAAATAAGTCAAGTCAGATTATAACAGTATATATATTTTAGGTAATCTATCGTTTTAGGAATGTAAAATCGTACGAGACTAGTAATGTGAACAAAAGGTGACTCATTAAATTTTTTAAGGTATTTCACATTTTTAGGAGGATTTAAGTTTAGAAAAAATGTTTCAAAGTTTCATTATAGTACCTGTTTTTAAACAATTGTATTAAATCTTATCAGTAAAAAATAAAGACTAACGATGTTTTCATCAGATGCAACCAAGCTTATTTACTTCAGCAGCCATTTTGTTTAAGTTTTTTTTAAATAAAATTATAGTTAGAGATTAAGGGGAAACCACTCTAACTTACCAATGGCTGCTGTTTATATAGCAAATCTTGCTCGCAAACACTGCTGTTTAAAGTTAATTTCTGGCCTATATTGATATATTTAGCCATTGATTTTGGTTTATTATTCAGTTATCTATAATATTTGACACAAATATATCACAACATACTTCTATTAAAGCTTTAATAATGAGGAAATTTTTTCACACATTACTAGCCTCTGCCAATTTAATGCACCGCCTAAAACGATAGATTATAATATATATATATATTATATATATATATATATATATATATATATATATATATATATATATATATGGCATGGTCGAGTGGCAGAACTTTTACTGCTAACTCGAAGAAGAAAGGATTAGGAAGGAAGGAAAGTGGCTGGTAAGTCTCAGGCTGTGTCTTCCAGGCATCTCTTTGGGGGGGGGGGGGGTCTACTGAAATGGACTTTATATAGAAAACATACTTTTACCAGTGTCAGTAGGTGAAATATAAAAAAATATTTTCCAGCAAGTCAAAGTCAAACTTAACTCGACCAAATGGTGAATAATATTAAATTATTAATACTAATTTAATACTAATAATACTATTAATACTCAATGACAATACTACTATCATTACCAATGGTCTGCGGCCCTATGTTAATGCATGCTGGTTTACAGCTTTTTCATGAATTAAAATTATAATTAGTCAGACCCAAAAGAGTATAAAATAAGCTTATAGTTAATTAGATCTTATTCTTAGGGCCTGAGACTCTCAAGTCCGGGGGGGGGGGGCATTTATTCCGTGCCGTGCTCGAGTCAGTAGAACGTCCCTGAGTCCATCCAGCTCTGACTTACGTTACGGCTACGCTAGAGAGACCATACTTAATGTGTAGGCTATAGAGGGCCCTAATAAAATATTTAATATTATTTATTATTTTAGTTAGGGTTAGATTTATAAGTTGAGAGAATAGTTACAATAAATGCCCTATGTGAGGTGCCATCTTTGGTTATACTTTTTATAAATAAAGAAATAAATAATATGCGGCCTAAGCAGAAATTTTAAACTTACAGGCCTAAACCCAATTTAATTTTAAAAAAGATATAGATCTATATTTCATCGTGGAAATTATTTTAAAAAAATTTCCGTTTAATAAATTTGGATTTATATATAGATCTGTAGTGTTTTTATTTTATTTTAAATATATTAATTTTAACTGCCCCAAGATTTGTTTGTTTTGTTTCAGGAGACCGTTTTCGCTTTTTAGAGACGTTAAAAATGGAGGAACCAGCGCAGTTCGTACAGTTTCTACTGTGTTTATTTCTTTTTAATTGGAATTCATTTTCATCTGCAAATGACTCTGAAGATTTTAATGACAGACCTGAGTTTAAAATTGAAGGAAAAGTATTTGTATCTTCTAGAGATAAAGAATGGACGTTGAATTCCAGAGTATTGGTTGACGGAGGAGAATATTTAGGTTTCGTCAGGTACAGTTCCCTATCCGCCCATACTTCAGTTTACTAAACGTCAAACACTAACAGCTTGGTATCTGCTTGTCCTTGATAAACAATTTGTCATTGAATTTTGTTTCGCAAAATATTGTTTAAAATGTTGTTTTCTGAAATGAGTTCAAGTAACAAAACAACAATTTCAATTGTCATTTTAGCAATTATCAAAAAATATCTGCAGCTTTGCTGGAACATTCTGGAATCTGGGGAGTTGGGGCAAAAGAGGAGGATTGAGCCTACCTCATTCTCACTTTCTGTCCATAACTAACACAAACTTTTTGATTTATTGATTATTCCTATAGGCCTATAATATTTAGGCTTCCATTAAAGTTTATTAAAGAAAAGTCAGTGAGAACCTTTATGCTGTGAATTTTGGTCACAAAGATTAGAAATCTAACAAATGCCTAGTGTGTATCTCACAAAAATTTGTGTTAAATTATTTCTTTAGGCCTAATCATTATTTAACTCATTCCTTTGCAAAGTATTAGTCTGGTAGCACAACATAAATGACCCTAGCCTAGAATGACTTGGGGGTAGTTGCATGGTTTGGTCAAAGAAAGGATGTTCCTCACTGAGATGAATGAATTTCAATGAAAACTATTTTGATCTCATTGATATTTTAATGCAAGGCTACATGAAAATGGCTGTTTGTTCAATCAATGCCTGAAAAAATGCCAGATTTTTGTTTTTGATTAGGCCTAATAAAAATTTATTTTTTGCAAGTAGCAATTATTAAAGCTTAGCAGCCAGCTGTGTCCTACCACATAATAATTGCAAATGAACACTAATAAAATAAAAGCGTAGGCCCTCTCCTGACATGGACATTACCAGCTTATGAGACACCTTCCCTTAGCTGGACTGACCTTGACGCAACTAGAGTAGGCCTATATTATTGGGACGTCATTTTGATTGAGAGGGGGGGAGGAGAGATGATACCATGTACTATAAAAAATTAGTTAAATGACATCATTTTTGGACACCCCTTTTATTCTAAAAATTAAGGCCTATATCAAGTTAATTTAATGGTTGGTCAAATCATACATTATCATGTCTGATACATTTTCAACATTATATTTAACTGATTATTTTTAACTTTAGCTCATCACTAAAGTAACTTGGAGATTATTAACTTTTCAGAACTGATGGTACTTTTGTTGTACATGGTGTTCCATCTGGCTCCTACATTGTTGAGATCTCCAACCCAAATTCTATGTTTGAAGCACTTAGAGTTGACATAACATCAAAAGGAAAAATACGTGCTCGCCGCGTCAATTTTTTACAGCCTAATCTTGTCAAGACAGTAAACTATCCACTGGAGTTTAGAGAAAGAGGCCAACCAAGCTATTTCCAAAAAAGAGAGCAGTGGAGACTCACAGATTTCTTGTTTAATCCCATGGTAGTGTATTAATAATTTTTTATGTTTTTCTGTATCTCATAGATGGAAAAAAAATAGTGTCATTGGTTTTTAAAAATCATTTTTTGCCCTCAATTCATTACTCTTTCATCAAATAATTAGTGTTTATTATGTCTTCTAAAATCTAAATTAACACACATTTTTTTTACACTTAATAGAACAATTATTTTATGTTTCCAGGTGTTAACTATGATTGTGCCTCTACTGTTAATTATGGTATTACCCAAGCTAATGAATGCAGCTGATCCTGATACTCAAAAGGTATTTGTTTTTTGTTGCTATATTGTAGTTTATTAATAAAGACCAACACTTATACTATCCTTCTGGTCATCTTTAATATTCTTGCTAAAAGCAATGTTTGCATTGATAAGCCAAAGCTAATATAAAGTTCTAGTACATTTAAAAAGAAACTGTAGATCATCATTCTCATAAATATTTTTTTACAGTAGAAAATTTAAAAGAATTTTAAGTTCAACACACCTACATTTTTCATGGTCATCCAACACGCTTACATGTTTCATAGAACAAGTCAGGTTTATTTCATAGTATTGCCTTCAATTCCAGCATAAGTCGGGGGCATTACCAGAATTTCACATGAGTATCTTTTGCCCTTCTGCTCGTCATCCATCCCACTTTTAAATATAAAATTGGATAGTGTTATGACAGACTTTCTTTTTAACAGGGTGTAGTTATAGCACAACATACTATCTCAAAGGAGTGTCCTGAAATAGTACAAGAATGTGCTGATCAGTCTAGTCCAGAACTTTCTAATTCTTTATGGACGGATACCACATTAGCTAGTCACTTATTTGATGAAGACTCAACTCTTAGTGAAGTTTCTTTTTCATCCCATGAAGATAAGCAGCCAGTAAAGATAAAGCAGAGAAATCCCAGTCCCTCTAAAAAACTAACCAGCTGCCTAGCTTTAGATTGGAAGCGGTGTAGAGGCCTACACTACAGCAGATCTACTTACCATGATAGCAAGAAACTTTTGCATTCAGCATCCAAAAATTACAAACTTGTGCATAAACTAAAGTCTGTTAGAAAGAACATTGATTTAACTTCTACCATTTCACAACCAGCCAGCTCTCTGACAGATACAAGTTCTTGCTATAGTGATAGTGGGCACAGGCTTGAAGTAGAAAGTAAAAAGCATCACCTCAGAAGCTATCCACATGCTAAAAATAGTATGGCAGATAAGAAATTAACTAAGAAAGCTTTATTAAATCCACATCCAACTGAAAATTTTATTGGTACCAGCTACATAAGTGCAGCTAACAAATTCTCAAAAGGTGATAGTGAGAAACCAGGACATGCTGTAATTAGAGGGTCCGTGGTCAAACTTTCTAGATCAGCTCTAATCAAGATAGCACTTAGTCAACTTGCTAGTTTAGAAGCTCAGTCTGCATGCATTGAAAATAAACCAACTGAAGACCCAGTTTTGGTATGTAATTCCACTGGAATACAGTTGGAATTAAACAGAGATCTGGATCTCAGTGATAACATGCGGCAATGTACATCTACTGATAGTTTGTTGGTAAAGGACAAGTCCAGGTATAAAACCTGGTCTGCCAGCTCTCCAAAACAGAACACAGATTATGCAACACTTGCTACCTCGAGATCTCCCAGTGGTCACTTCAATAGTCTAGACAGTCAATATTGGACTGCAGAGGAATCATAAGTAACATGAACTCATGGGTGTCAACTGTTCTTTAAAATTGCTAGGAAATGTTTTTAATGTTGAAGATGAAAAGCATCAGGAAATGGAAAGAGAACTTTGTTACAAGTAATAAAAATAGACACTTGCAGGCTTTATGGTTGTATTTTCTGACATCCAGGTTCATGTGCTTTGCATTTTAATTTTCAACAAAAAGGAACTATCTTTCACATTTGCTGTAATGATTAAATATTAGAAATTATTATATAATGGTCAAATGTATAAACTAAGCATAACAAACATCAATAAACAGTGTGGATATATAGCAATAATGTGGTGTTTGGCTTAAGGTAAACTCTGTGCTTTCTCTGACATTCATTCACTAAAGTGCATTTGAATTCAGTGTTTTCCACATATTTTTACAAATTCTTTTGTTAAAATTTGCATTGTGTCTGAAAGTTATGGGAAAGCACTGAATTTGACCTACGCTCCATTTAAATTGCTATGTTAATCAAATTATAAGTGAAAAGGTATTAAGTTATACTGAAATTAAAAGGCAGAGAAAGTACTGATTTATTTGTTATTCAATATTTCTCTTCCCTTTATATTATATGACATGATGTTTTTCTAATTTTAATTTGCACTTGTATTCATTTGTTACATCTTTCATTTGTGATTCTTATAGCTGTTTAAATCCTGAAAATAAGATAGCAGTCTTTAATTTAATTTCAATACTTATGATAGGTGATGCATTTCTTTAACAGCTTTATTTTAGCTTTTTTTTGTTTTGTTTTGCATATTTTATAAGTCTTTATACACTTAAGAATTACAAGACCTTGATGTTTCTATGTTTCTTTTCAGGAAATGCAAAATCAGATGAATGCCCTAAATAACAGGCCGAACATACCAGACCCAGCAGAGTTTCTCTCAAGTTTATTTTCTGGTGGATCGGGGAATAAGAAAGCAGTAAAGCCCAAAGCTTCTATCACGAACAAGCGCAAATGATTTCTGTTTTGAGAATACTAGATGTGTAAGGGCTCTCCTTAATTTCTTTTTCTCTACTGATGTGTGATTACAGCCCTTGATGACGCATGTAGACTTGTGAGAGAAAATTTGAGCATGAAGCATTTACCCTTTGTTTATAAGCTACAATGTGAGCGACAGAAGGCAGTTGATAGGAATGTATTTATATATTGTGTGAATGTCAACCCAGAATAGTGTGATATTTTTCTCATAGGCACATGCAATGTATTTAACATATTGATGTTTGATAATGTAGTTCACAAGGGTGAATTTTTTTTTTAATCTTAAAACAGAGATAACTAATACACTCTTAAATCAAAATTAATAATTGATTCATTCAAACTGCTTTTATTATAGTGCTACAATTTTGTTTTATTTAATTTTTAGCTCAATGACTTTTAACAAATAATTCAGGTGAACACCCATCAAATAAGTACTCATTGAAATTCTTCTTTCTGTATTTGCACCCTGACTTGATGCAAGAACACTTATTTGTGGGTTACAAAATGACACTGTGATTTCAATTGATGTCTTCTTAAATTTACAACTTACAATCTACCTTATATCTTGAGTTTCTGCCTCTGTAGTGTACATGGAATATATATGTATTGCAATTTTTTTAAACTTAAAATTCATTATACTTGTACCATAAAGGCGATAAGGAAAAAATAATTAGGATAAATCTTACATTTTAGCAGCAAAAAAATGTATAATTACTTCTTGGCAGAGGATGAGTATTGAATAAGTATTGCTCATTGAAAAAATGTGTCCTTTATATTTAATTTTTTTTCCTTGGTCTACATTTGGATAGCTTAGGATGTAATATTTTTCACATTTATTCCATTTATCAGTGCAACTTGTTGTTTGGTGTTGTTATTATTCATTAGGTTTTTTTCACTTGATACTATCTAGAAAGGAAATGGCATCTGGAAATATTTTTTATGATTACTTTTTCTTGAAAGGGTTGAGGCATTAATAGCGAAGAAATTAAATTTTCCTTGAAATGTTTAAACAAAATGAGAAAGAATAGTGTGTCAGATGTTGAAGCTTTAAAACTACATTATAAAACAGTATTGTCACTGGAGGACAAGAAAACTCAAATATTGTTTTGTGGTTTATTTTACCCTCTGTTTCAAAAACGACCTAGCAAGTTTTGTAAATAATTTTGGGGGAGGGATTATTTCTTCCAGAAATACATATTTATTTTACATTAGTTTATGTATTTCTGAACATAAAATTTGTTTGCATTTATAAATTTTCATGATGCAATTTTTGATTTACACCTTTTCCTGTTTATAATTTATATACCCTAGAACCTTTTTGTTTAAGTTAATGGAGGGTGGTTATTTAAACACTACGTAAGTAAAGCAGCACTAGTTGTCAATATATTTGGAAATATGAAATCTTTGTTTTCTGTCTTAAGAATAATAAAAACAATTTTAAGAACAGATAGTCAACCTTTCTTTCTTTTTTTAAAAAATTCGATTAAATAATTTGTTAAATTAAAATAGTGACCCTTTGGTCAGTGGTCCATTGTGCAGGTGAAGTTGAGTCGGGTACCTATCACTATCAGAGTATTTGAAATTAAATAAGCAGTACTAAGAGACATGCAATCAACTGTTTTTGACTGATGTGATATGAATGTACAGATTGTTATGGAAAGTGCCCCTGTAAGTAAAGTCTTCTGCTGTTGATTATGATTCCACTGAAGTAAAATCCTACCCAATACTCTGTGATGGCACCTCATTGTTTACCTAGACTGTCCAGTGGGGTAATGCTCTACATTCTGTGGACAAATCTTATTTGTTGCTCTTATCAAATACCTGCTGCACCCACTGACCTCAAGAATTGACTGTATTGAGTAGGTGATGTCAATATGACAACTATTCTATTTCATAAAGCATTTTTCACACATTTGTTTTAGAGAATTTGTTTACAAGACAGTAATAACATTGGATACTTTCCACAATCTGCCAGTGTTTGTTTTTTTTATGACCAAGCCAGCTTCCAATTGTGAATGGTCACATACTGAGAAACAATAGGAAATACTGGGATATTTTACTAGAGGGCCATTTGAGAAATAGTAAGCCTACACTGCATAATTATAAAAAAGTAATGTATCATCCAACAATGCAGATTCTGATTACATTTAATGCAGGAAAGGATAACTTAAATAATTTAGAAAACCTAAAAAAGTAAATGTAGTTTATAAGATGAATGTTTAATCACAGAATTTTCCCTAAATTAGCGTCATTAAAAATGTGTCAACCCTGATTACAGACTTAACACCAACCAAAACCTTGGCTAGGTTGGCACCATTCTACCAGGCCATTCAACAATCAAGCAAATCTGGCATCACTAGAACCAGCCCATCATCAATTCAAACATAGGTTTAGATTGTACAATACATCTGGGGCACATTAACCTAAGTTGATCTTAAATTTTTTGTCAAATTAAAAAAACCACTAGCTTTCCTAAACAAAATAAAAAACTAACTTCAACTTCAAGTAAGATTATACAAGTTTTTAAGTTTAAATTATACAAAAAATATTTCGCTTAACAGATATACAACTAGATACTAAAATAATATCAATAGAAATAATACATGGTATATCATTAATTTTATATTGATAAAAAATGAATTGAAAAAAAAACCATGGGCATGAGTTGCAAATGCAAATTTGACAAACTGCAAAATACAACAATTCTTGAATGCTCAGCATTCATTAAAATCTAAATCTCACATAACATAAATACAATTTCAACACAAGACAAACCATCTACTTTTGAACACATTATCCAACTAAGTATTTCTTGCCGAAAAATTGTGTTTTCTTATCAAAAGATGGTGATTTGATAGCCGTGTTGATCTCATAGAATGGATTCATTGCAAACTGTAAGATAGAAAACCACAATTAATACTTAGAATTTACAATGGAATACTGATATTGCAATATAAACATACTTTAGAACAGGAATCGTTAGTTAAAAAGAAAATTTCTAGAAAAATTTCTCATGTAATATGCCTATTGAAAATTCAGATTTTTAAAAAAATATAGTATTATTTTTCTGGCATGCTTTAAAATGTGTTGTTCAGTATGGAGAAAATAAAATGCAGACTTTGAGTTTTTGCAGCAATAAGTTTACATTATTTTAATAATCAATTAAAAGATTTTTCAAAACTTACTTTTACATAAGTCTCATAGATCTCTGTGAAAAAGTTTTTAATTCCATCTTCATTTTTTACATCATGCAACATCAGGAATCTCATTCCTAGAGGTAGTTAAGTCAATAATTCTAGACATGTTAGCAAGAAACTAAAGATTACGATCTACAACAAGTAGACAAAATTAATTAATTTGCTCCACACATATTTTTTTTTAGATCTTGTAATAAAACAATTTAGTTAATATTGAGTGTGACTCATTACAAAAACAAATAGACAAAAGATTTAACAGTTTTTAAAAATATGAAGAGTGGGATGCTTAGATAAGTATCCAGCCCTAATGGAAGCTCAGCATTATCCAGCCCTAATGGGAGCTCAGCATTAGTTGGACATCTTGCTGATGACACACATCTGTCTGCAGTAACAACTACTCAGTGGAATGCCAAATCTCTTTTTCAAATTATTATCTAAGTTTTTACTAAAACATAAACAAATAGCATTGGTTACAGAATGTTAAAGGATACGCCCAGCAGTAACAAATGCCGAAACAAACCACTCATTAAATTTATCAACAATTTTCAGATACATGTTGTTTGTAGACCACATCTGTTCATCCACAAGATCTAGTGCTGCATGTGCTATGAACTGGTTGAGATGTCTGTGGTCATCTCTCTAGTGTAGTATCAAAAGAAAGAGAATAGGAATAATAAAAAAGTAATTATATAGTCATTGAAAGGTAATTTTGTGAATACGATTCTTTTTCTGATATTTGATCTCAGCAAAGCAAGTTGACATAAAAAGAATTAACTTTTTATAAACACAATTCACATAAAATTAACAACATTAATTTTGGACACTAGAGTAATGATTAATTATATTAATTCATCAGTTTTATTTACACAAAATATTACTGTAATAGTATTTTACACACCTTCTGTACTATTTATCTTTGACTTTCAGTGAAAACGACTTAAAATTTTAAAAATATAGGCCTAATCACAATTTTTAGTAGGCCTGCACCTTTTTATAGAGCAGGATCAAAGATGTATTTTGCTAGTATTTCTACCTCGCACATCTTTGCCCTAGCACCAACTGAAAGCCATATATCTAGATTTAAATGCAACAATAATACAATGCTCAAAGTTATGATATTTCCTTGCCAACAAATATAGTCTAACACAGTATTGTATATCATCATCATTTCATTATCTTTTCCCATTTTGCCCAGGACCTCATCATACAGGGGGATAGTGGGGTCAGCAATATGCCCAGCCCTCTTAGTTTCCATAACATGAGTCACTCAATCAAGGATGTTGTACAGACTGAGACCTTCGGATTAGCTGTTGTAAGCTCTTACAATATAGTATATTGTTACTATATAGTATATAGTGTATATATATAATAATATAGGCCTATAGAACCACGATTTGTAAAATGATATAAACTAATTTTTAGATAATAGTAATCATAATAAGTTACAGGGTTCAATGCATTTTATTTTTTTTTTTACCTTCTCATTTGGTTTATTTGGAGGAGAAAACTCCATTTCATAGACAGGATTATCATGGTGACCAACAATGACAAAGTAATAGTTTCCAGACATCATTCATCAGCTTTTGAATAAAAAAAGAAATTATATTAAACATGGTTAATTTACCTTACTACACTTAAAATTAAATTATTAAGATCATCTGCAATTTAATCTAATTGGGCCTAATTATAATAATTTTATTAATAAATTAATAATTATTATTACGAAGTGACAACTCGAATCACATAGTGTGCCAAGTATTTTTTACATTCCGTAGGAAGCATTCTAAAAATAGGTATCAGAAAAATTATTCAATACCCCTTTTTTTTTACTTTCTCGTATAGATCTATACGAAGTATAGAGAAAGTCTTGTAATCGTGCAAAATAATAAAATTGAGATTTTTGCAAATCTCGACGTTTTACATTTCACTGATACGGAAAAACATAATTTTGCAATCTTGGATATATTTAGATATTGATTTAGGTTTATTATTCAATTATCTATAATATTTGACACACATATAACACAATATTACTTCTATTTATTAAAGCCTTGACAATGAGGTAAATTTTTTGTACATTACTAGCCGTGGGCGATTTTTTACTACCTAAAACGATAGATTACCTAAATTTTTATTATTAGAATTAGAATCTACAATCTAGCCCTAGGCCTATCTAACTATCTAAACTTAAAGGCTAATTGTAGTAATACTAAGTAATAATAATATATTATAAAAATTTATACTAACGAAATAACTATTAGATACTAGATAGACAGATTCAGATAGTCACATAGTACACACTACACAGTCAAGTAGATTCTAGTACACACACTGTCACATCATTTGAATCATAATCAATGAATCATTATCATAGTGTCAGTGTTTTGACTATGACTGTTATTAATTATTATAATATTATAGCCAACTTTTTAATAGATCTATATCTGATTATATCAGATAGATATAGATTCTAGATACTAACTAGATCTAGGCCTAGATCTAGAACTAGATCTAGATCTAGATTTCTAATACTTTTAACTTTTAATATGTTTATTAAATTATTATTTATTTACACCTACAACTTACAAAATAGTTTTAACGCGAAAACGCAACTGTAAGCCAGATCAATGTCTTAAAATTTTGCAGACAATATAAATTCTAGATCTAGATCTAGACCTAAATAATATTTTAAAGAACAGTAACAATACGATTTTCTAAATGACAATAATTATTTTTGTATAATTTAAAAAAACAAAAAACCTTGGGAGATTTACAGGCAAAATCAAAAGGTAGATGAGATCTTATCTCAAGTAAGATATTAAAATACACATTTTAACCGATGACGCATGGGGGGAGGGGGGAATTCATTAATAAACGAGGACAAAATTATGAAGGAGGAGGAAAGGTTCGGACTTGGTTGTTTTTAAAGAATGACTATGCTTCACTTCTAAAAAAAAAATCGTGTAACGCAACATTTTGATTAACTCGATGCAAATGAAAAACAAACAAAAAAGTGTTCTTACATGATATTTACAGTGGTTGTAAATATAAGAGTATACGTAGCACTATCACTAAGTAAATGTAAAAAAAAAAATTACCAGTTGTTTTGCAATTTTTAAAAATATACTTTAGAAAAGACAATGTTAAAAATTGATCAGTGTAAATAAAATCTTGACTCTAGTTTGCTAAATCTATCAGTATTGGATAATGATTAAAATTTAAAATGTTTTCTTGAAGTGTTTTAAAGCATTTAAAGAAGATTATGTAGCGTTTACAGAAACCCCGCCCAGAATCCATACATGACACTCGATAAGGAAAATCACTTAATAAAAAATGATGGCAAATATTTACGATTTTATTTTAAATGAAGTGGGAGTAAGCTCTCCTTATCTTTCTAATATATTCGTTTATCAAGTAGATCTAGTAACGGTGGGGTTGGCGCTTCCATTAGAATAGGGCGATAGAGGTGGTAAATAAGTGTTACAAAGCCGCTCGTTTGTTTGTTTTTTTGTTTTTTTTTTTAGAAAAGTTCTTAGAATAATTAGTTTTTAGAAAATATGATTTAAATTATTTACTCCTAAAGGTTGTTGAAGAATCGGAAATCGGATATTGTACCATTTCCGTTTACGGGAAATAGTTTAAAGCTGATAGAAACTGAAACGCTACCTAAGTTATCGGATTTGAAATACCGGAAAAAAAGAATACTACCACTTACAACGGAAAATCACTCAATAGTTGAAGGAAACCTACATGTCGGATCTAATACTTATAAGCCAATATAGACCGATATGACATTTCGTCCATTAAACTGAAATGGTACTAAGTTATCGTAGTTTACACACACGGAGACAAAATATAAGATTGCACAACGGGTTTTCCCCACTCATGAAGGTGTGAAATGTAGAGATATGTTAAAATCTCGACTTGGACTTTTTCATGATTACAATACTTTCCCTACTAAAAATATGTGAGACAATTTATCAAATGGAGAAATGTATTAAGAAATAGATTGCTCGCTAATGACTACGTAATACGATATAAAAAAGGATAAGCCACCACTTATTTATATACAAACAATTCCTATTTAAATAAACCGGGAGTGATCTCCCCTAAACTATCTCGAATATTCTTATATAACATTACGGGCGTGGCAACTCGGGATATAGACAATATTTTAAATCCATTTTTAATTACTTAAATTTTAAAAAATAGAATAGAATCTCGTATAAAAAAAGAATTGCACACCAAGTGAACACCAAACAAAGTGTCTATAATAGTGCGGAATATTATTAGTACTTTATAAATTTACATGCGTTTTTTAAGAAATCGGAAATAGCGTAAATTACTACTTCCGGTTAACGGAAATTACTCAAAATTTGATAGATGGCAGAGAATTAGATCTTTTACTTGAAATTTCATTTATCTATCCGAAATAGTACTCAAATTATAGGCTTTTGAAAAATTGAAAGTTGAAAAAAGTTCCACTTCCGGTTATTGTAAATCGCTGAAAAGTTGATACAGATCTACAAATTTGATATAATACTTTATTATGAAATTTCATAAACCTAGTTGTAAAGGTAGTCAAGTTACCGTGTTTACAGACACACACACACAGACATACGGAAAAGATTGCAAAACTGTGTTTTTCCGACTCAGGGAGGTGTAAATCGTCGAGATTTGCACAAAAAATCTCGATTTTCTTTTTTGCACTAATACTTTCTCTATACTTTTTAGGCCTATACGAAAAAGTAAAAAGCTGTTCTGAATTACCAATATGGCAACCCTGATTTTTCTCTACATGTGTATCGCTATGCACAACACACACCAAATTTCATATCAGCGAGCTAAAATATAGTTCAGGTTTATACATATTGATATTGCTTAATTTCTTATAAAATCACAACACTGACATTATCTATAGTTTAAATCCTGTTTTTGAAATATCTTACAAGTTTAAAATCCATATTCTTTTCTTGAAGGCATTACAATTATTGACAATTTTTTCATTTGTACAGATTGCTCCGACAGCGTCAAAAATGGCTGCTTTTTAATATGAGTTGCTAGCATGCATAATATATTGTTTTTGTTTAACGAATTTCAGGAAATATTTTAACTAACGGTTGAAGTCTTTGCTAATTGCAAGGTATGGAATCAGTCCACCTTAAAATTAATTTAATTTGAAATTTTTTGAAAGTTTCCTGAAATACTTGGCACATGTTCGTGCAAGTCAGATGATCTAGATTCTAGATTCTAGAATCTAAAATTTCTAGAATCTGCAGTCTAGCAGCACTCAGCACTCTATCTAGCTCTAGATCTAGTCTAGATCTAGAATCTAGAATCTATTTCTAGATTCTAGAATTTTTTTCTAGCCCTAGATCTACATCTAGGTTCTAGATCTAACTAGACATAGATCTAGATTAATATTAACTTCAACAATCAAGTTGTTAAAATTCAAATAATTTTTTAAAAATTCTCAAGAGTGGTCACCAATGGGGGGGGGGGGGTGTTGTACTTCAACTTCTTGAAGAAGGGGAGGCTCAGATTCTAACACCTTTTGCATATTAAATAATTAAGAATTAATGTTTGTAATGTAATGACATCATTTTAGGGCAATTTAGGTTGTGGTTTGGCTTTTTGTGATATTCAGGAGGGGGAAGGTAAAAACGTTAGGCCTATATTTTTTATAAAGTGTGACTTTTCGTTTATGGATTACATTTTAAATATTAGCCACATAATTAAATTGTAGCCAATAGGTCTAATTCTACTACTATCCAATAACAATAGCATAATAATGAGGAACATTCAAAGGCTTTTTATTTTACTCAGTACAAAGATATAAAGATTTGAAGACTTAAGTCTTAAACTTAAGATTGTTGGCTTGTTAAAAACAGATTTTCAAGTACTTCATTGTCACAATTTTTCTTTAAAAAGTAGCTAGTACATTTTTGGTAACAATTTGTTACATTACTTTTGAAAGATTTGAAGTTAAGTTTACTTAACTTCATTCACACATACACCATTAAATCATTTTTATTTTTATTTTCATTATAAAATATAATGCATGCCAAGTACTTATTTGTAGCATATCCCCTAACAACACAATGTACATGTCCTGACCCTAACAATGGTATTATTTTGGTTTTTTCTGCAAGGCCTTGATGAGGGGTGCACAAGGATAGATTAAATGAAAACTTTGCACAGTGCTTCTTACAAAACAAAATTAAACTCTAATGCTTACTCGTATTGATTTTTAGATGGCCTCTGGTGGTTACCAAAGCAATAAGCAGGCAAAAGGTGAGCCGAAGAGAAGGTCAAATTGGCAACGTTCTGTAAGCTCTGACAGGGATGATGCTCAGAGCTTAAATAGCCTGCCTAGTGATATTCGTATCAATAATTGGGTGAGTAATGGGATTTTTATTCTCAGTTTTATTTTCTTAAGGCTTTTTTAAAAACTTTACAAAAATGTTTTTTCATCTCAATCAAATTCTTAGGATCTTTCTGATCTTCGTCCTACCAATCTGGGGGGTGATTCAAAGCGGCGTAAAAAATCCAAAGGGAACCCAGAACGAGAAAGAGAACAGTCCTTGTCAATGGATTCACCTCCCCATGATCAAAAGCACCATACTCCTGCCACTTATCCTCGCACTAAAATAACCCCTAGTACACCGACATCACAGAGGGTGGCTCTTGAAAATCTGAAACAACATATGACATTCAGTGACTTGGAAGATGTATGTCATTTCTGATTGTGATCATATTTAAATTGTAATTGTAAGGTCATTAGTTTAATTTAAATAATTCATATTTTAGAAAACAAAATTAACTTGCAACCATGGCCATATATATAGAAGTATATCTTTTAAAAAGGCATTTGAGTTTATTTATTTGGCTTTTTCACTCCTTATTGCGATGAAAATAATGTGACAAAAATGCATACTAAAATTTCGTAAGAGCTGTATTTTAATATAAATAATACTTAAAAATAATGCATTTGCAAGTACAAAACTAAGTTAATGTTTAGTTTTCTTTTGAATTTTTACAGCAAGTAAGCACAGATGGAGAGAGAAATAATGAAAGACATGTATCACAAAGTCGACGCAGACTTGAGAACTCATCATTCAATAAGACAGAATCATCTGAAGCTGATGACGCTAGAGGTTCAAGGGAGAGGAGAATAAACAGGAATAACAACATGGACACGTCCACAAGAGAACAAGGCGTAAGATGCTAGTTTTGAATAATCTACATTTTCAAAGTTAAATTGTTTTAAAGCTATGTATTACAAAAATTATTAGTTATAATTTAAATTATTATTTATTCTTCAGCCTGATAGTAATGAGATTGTTGCTCGCTTGATGCAAATAAGAGATTTTATGAAACAGGCGCGATCAATGCTAGATAGTATGGAGAAGCTAGGGGATAGGGTAAGATAAGATTAAAATTTTGTCTTTAATTTAGAGAGCTTACATCAAATATTGACATACAAGCATTGATTTATTTTAGTTTTTCTAAGGTTGTATTTTAAAAACTTTTATATCCTAGAAAAAAGCTGAGGATATTGATAAAGTACGCAGACTGATTCGCAACTTACAGGAACAAGAACAAGGGTACAGGGGACTACTACAAAACACTTTGGTAAGAGACTTAAGTAAATTCTGTATTTATTAATTACATCAACTAAAACTGCTTTCCCGGCCTACTATCAATGAGAGAAAGAAATGTATTTTGGTCACTATTGAATCAGGCTCACAGAGAAGGGGACAGTAACCTGGCCACTGGAGGGGAAGATGACACTTTGGTCAAAGATGGAAAAGACGACTCAGATGACACATCTGTGGACCTTGACGTCAGGACAGAAAACTCTGACACAACAGTAAGAGGATTTTATTAATCTTTTCATAGATGACATTGTTAACTGTATGTGGAATCTTTCCTCATGAGGGATATTTGTCTTTTAGGAAGATTCTCAAGATTCAAGACCTCGTATTGAAAGCAAGCTTGGTATAGAGGACGAAGATGAAGGAAATGAGGATGACAGGTATGCTGAGCCAATGAGAATGACACCTGCTGGAGGTTCTGGCAATGCAAATGCCAACAGAGCAGCAGATTTAGAAAATAGCTTGGTGCATCATTCACATCCTTCTCAAGAAGTAAGTTCAGACACAACCTTTTCTAACCTGTGCATGGTTCCTCTAAACTAAAAAATCTGGTTACCCAGACATTTTAAATCTCTACTACTCTACAGAGTCAAGAAGGAGCCAGAGGGCCATCTGTTGTTGATGACGGGCCAGCACCACACCACCAGGAACTCCTTCAAATCCTCAAGGAAAAACAGAAACAGGTTTGTTGAATGGGCAGTCTTTAAAAAATATACTACATCTCTTTGTGTTTCCACTATCTAATAAAAAGAGAAATCTTACACTAGTCCTGTCTGTTTTCAGCTGCAAGATTTGATGAGTCGGCAGGAAGAACTGAATGTTAAACGCAGAGAAACTGAAAAAAAACTTCTGGAGGCTCAAGCACGAGACAACAAAGGTAAAACATAAGTTCTTATAGGTTTTGATATTTAATGGACCAGACTTGCATTTTTCATAAATTTGTTTTGTTCTGACATTAATTCTCTCTTCATAGATCAGCACCATGTTCACATTGCTTTTTTCCAGCTCGTGCTGCCCTTGCAGCTGTTAGTTCAGATCGCCAGTTTTTGGAGGCAAAACTTCAGAGTCACAAAGGTTTAACAAAAGAATCCCAAGCTAGCTTAGCCGGAGTAGAGTGGGATGCTGACGATGACGAGGAGGAGAAAGGTGCAGCTGGTGGGGATAGAGTGCTCAAGTCTAACATTGTGGGCTATCCTGTTTCGGATGATGAAGATAATTCCAATGTTCGAGAAGTTGAAAGTTTGCCCAATGAACTATTGGAGTTGAAGCGTCAGCTTACGTATCTTAGAAATGAGTTTTCACAGGTGAGACTTTTTTTTTTACATTGATATTTTATTTGTTGTTATTAAAATTACAAATTTTTTTATGCATTTAATTTTATTTCAGAGTAAAGAAGCTCCTAAAAATGTGGAATCTGAGCCACCAGCATGTGCTGATGGGCGCCAACAACTGGAAAATAAACTTGTTGAATTGCAAACTAAGAAGTCTCGCATGGATTCTTTGCTACAGGAATTACAGATGCTGCATTCTCTTCCTCTAGAGAATCTTAGAAATAACGGTAAGTGTTAGTGCACTCCCTTGGCTTGAGTGTGTTGGATGTACCTGAGTCAGGGAAAAGTGACATAAGCTCTACTTCATATGTGCTTTGAATTAAATGGTCCAAAAACGTTCTTTACTTTTTATAGTTACCTTATTATACCTGTTTGGTAACATGAAAATTTATAAACGTATTATCACTATTGATTGTGAAATCACCTGGATTTATTATTTACACTTACTGTTTAGAATCCAATCCCCCGACTTCCAACATCCAAGCATCCAGGCCACCCCCACCTGCCAGGTCCCAGCTGCCAGCAAACCTCCAGTCCAGAATGAATGACATGGCTGTAGCTGCTCCCAGCTCACTGGAGAGTGCCATGTCAACATTTGCCAAGCTGGCTAGAGAGGCAAGCAGGAACCAGGATTCCTCCAGTGTAGAGCCTGAGATGGTCACTGAGGTACATGAAAAACTCAGGTAAATACACCTCTAACTTTGTTTACCCAGTAGTCAAGAAAATAATTTGTGGCATCAATAGTTCTTACCAGTACCAACAGCTTTATGTAATATATATATAATATGATACTTTTGTCTACAAAGGCGCCTAAAAGAAGTGAGGGACCAGCTAGATCAGCTCCGGCAGTTGGTCCATTACTATCAGGGTCAGAGTGATGGAGCAGAGGGTGGGGCTGAACAAGATGAACTGGTACCAGCTTCTGCTTACAGTGACAGGGGGGATCATGGTAGCAGACAGTAGGTTTTCACTTGGGACTCATTTTTGTATAAGTTTTAAGCATATGTTAATGTTAAATTTTGTAATAATTTTTCTCTAATATTCCCACAAGGAAAGAACAAAGTGTTGCTGTTGTGAGAGGTACAAGAAAGGTTCCCCAGCAGCTGCAGGAGCATGTCTCTCAACCACCACCACCACATAGACCCCAAACCTCAGAGGTGGCTGGTGCTGGGGTTTCTTCTCTTCAGAACATGGTGCAGCTCTTGAATTTAGCAGGTAACTAATCATTATCAAACTTCTCTCTTTCTAGTTTCAATTGATAAATTCATAAATTGTTTTAGTTTTGTTTATAGAAGTTTTGTTTTCAGTTATGAGAACGTTAATTATAAATAAAATAGGCCTTAAATGCTTGTATTATTTGTCTTGTATGTATAATTTTAAAGAGCCATCATTATTTTGGTGTTGGTTAAATCTGTGACTTGTGTGTAGCAGGCACGGATCAAGGCAATGAGCTCTCTGATGAGGACAATGTGTCAGCATCACAGTCAGAGTCCCAGTGGTCACACCTAGGACCCTGGGACGATGACCCTGAGATCCAGGAGAAAGTCAAGTAAGAGCCTTGTGTTTTTCTTTTCAAGTTTAAAGAGTTCAGTTTAAAGTAATAGTTACCTGTGGTTTTGGTTTAAAGAATTCAGTTTAAAGTAGTGCAGCCTTAAAAACATTTTCCTTTTCTTTTTGCAGGAAATTAAAGGCTGCCAAGGAAAAACTGCGGCAGCTGCAGGATTTGGTAGCCTTTGTACAGCAGTCACCTGATGCTACAAGACCTCTGCCTGAAGCTCTGGGAGACATAGCAGCCAGTGTTGAAGGAGAAGCTGTGTCCCAAGCCACACAAACAGATGAGCCCAATGTCTCCATCAGTGAAGGGGAGGTGGCATCAGATTCTCACAGACTGCAACAGAGGTAGGTTTCCATCTTTGTACATCTATTTCAAAATAAGTCCTACTTGTAGAGACAAAAAGGATGAATTAATGTGCTAATGAATAATTTACTTAATGATTGTAGAGATGAAGATGAGGAGGAAATAGAAGATCCCAGAGCAGAGCTAGAAAGATTGAAAAAAGATCGCGCCATGTTGCTTGAGATCCAAAACCAGCTGAAGCAGATACAAAACCAAGTAGGGAGGGTAAGATTAGTTAGAGAAAGTTGCTTTTTAGTTGCATCTTTCTAATCTTAGAGTTAGCTAGCATTGGGCTTCAGTGGGTTAACACATGTTTTGGTTTCCAGACACCTGGAGAGCAGTCCACAGTGCAGCAAAGGTCACAGCAAAATACTAACATGAATAAGCCTGAACCTGAGCCAGGGGCTAATGCTGCACCTGTTGTCACTTGTAAGTTTTATATTTTTATTGCTTTGACGGGCATGGATGAAATTACTTGTTTTAAAACTCTTCATAAATAATTTTATATTTGTATAAAAAATGTATTTGCCAAATATGACAGTTGCCTCAAATGATGAGCTGTATAGCAAGATGAGGAGACAACGCATTCTGAGAGAAGAACTGCGGTCTAAGAAAAAGGAGCTAGAAGCCATCATGAAGAAAGACAGAAACAAACGTCAATACTCCCGCAACCAGGACAATCAGAGTGACACTGTTTCATTAAATACTGATACTTTTGGGTGAGATCATTGTAGATTTATTACACTTTAACTTTGTAAAGAGCTACTGAATTCAAAGTCCTATTTCCATCAAAAAATATAAGGCCTATTTTTAAAAAAAAGATGTACACCTTATGGCTTGTGCAGTTAAGTGCTTGCTATCTTATTGCATGTTTTGTAAGTACATTGATATAGAAAGTTAATTGTGTGCAACTATAAATCACTTTGCATATTTTAAAAATTGTAGTGGGGCCAGTCCCGAAGTATTATGTTTTTTGTCACACTCTGTATAATTATAGATGTAATATTTTATTATTATAAATAAATAATATGAGCTATACAATGAAGAAACATCTTTGAGACCATCAGTGTTTATATGGTTGAATAAAAGCAAACAGGAAAAACTATTTGAAAAGACAGTAAAACCAAATTCTTAAAATCCATTTAAAAAGCACTACATTTTTATGAATTCACATGAAACAAGCAACCCATTCCAACAAGTTCTCAATAAAATACTATGTGTATCCCAGTGTACCAGCCAGTGTTGACGCTACCATGGCAACCTGGGGAGGCTCCACTGTTGACAATTTAGAGAACATCACAGAAGATGAGGATGGTCAAGAGAGAAATGAACGTGTCAATGGGGATGAGGATGAAGATGATGGTAAAAATAATCTTCTATTTAAAAAAAAAAAACTCGCCACCTAGTCATTTATAAACTTGAGGTAAATTGTCTAATTGTTGGGTTGCCCAGGTTATCCAAGTGATGGTATTGTACAAGTTGAGGAGGAGGAAGAAGAGAATGACAGTGATAATGGGACATACACCATTGAAGCAGATGCAAGGAAGAGGAAGAGTTTGAGGAAAGGAGAGAGCATGGGTATAGGAGCTAGACCAAAGTCTGCTCATGGTAGACAGACATACCCACAACCTTCTTACAATGAGAAAAGTAAGTTTGACACTACATACCTCCATACATCTCCATGCCTATACACCCATGTAAATATTAAAACTTCTTTAACCATTCTACTGGGTTTATTTTTTTAATTTGAAAATGTAATTAACTTTAAAAACTAATCTATATAGACATGAAGAAGACAGCCAGTCAGCACAACACCTCTAGATCATCTAGGCGTGACTTGCAGTTCAGACAAGAGGTAAAATTACTTAAATCACATTGTATCCAGCTGTACCTCTACATTGAAACCATTTCACTGTGTTGTTTATTAATTTGATTTCTTTAGAGCTACAGATCATCCATGCAAGATGAAGAAAAGGAGAAGCCGAGTGAATGGTTTCACATGATTGATGACAGACTGTCAAGCTTGACTAATACAGTGGAGGCCCTTCTCAGGAAATCTGAAACTGATGGGAGACAGCTGAGCGTGTCACTTAATCCAGGTTCGTCTAAATAAACTTTCTGATTGCTAATATTTTTTTAAATTCATTTTCTTTCTATTTCATGAAAGACTGATTTTCTAAAGTTTCTAACTTTAAAAAGTTGTAATTAAGTCTAGCTATAGGAAACATGTTATGATGTTTTTGTTGTCCCATCAGAGAGTGGTCCTCAATCCAGCCTGATCTCCCCCATGCAAGAACAAATGCTCCAGCTACAGAACCAGTCCATGATGCTGAGCTTCAGCCAGCTGGTGCAGTCTCTCACCAGGCAGCAGGGAGAGATGCAACAGCTGCAGCAGCAGATGCAAGCCCTTCAGCTACAGGTGACACTTTACCTCTTGTTCTATGGACTAAACCATTGTGCTTTTTACTGTTAGAAACTGAACATTTTTATATTTCTGTTCTTAAAACTTACACTTTTTTTTTTTGGTGATATCTTTTTAAAGTTTAATTCATTAAGATTCGAAATATATCTTCAGTCAATGTTTTTTTATATCCTTCAGTTAAAATCTCTTGTATAGCTAGGTTATAAAATCAATGCCTTGTTTGTTTGCTTCTGTTAAATGTGGTTTCTTGTTTTCACCCCAGATCCATGAAATCCATGAACACAGTTTTCATGGGCCTGGCTTGGCTACCCAGTTACCTAGACCAGCTCTGTCCAACTCAGCATTAAATAACAGCAACTACAATCTCCAAGCTTCAGCGGCGCTGGGCAATCACTCACTAACTTACAACCATCAGATGCCTAGCCCATACACTCAGGTACACACTAGCTGCGTTGTCTAACATTCAACATGTTTCATTGTGTAATTTTGTGTAATAGACCATTCAAACGTAATTGTTTTCAGAACCATTCACACATTGTCATTGTTTTCAGAACCATTTGAACAACACGCCTTCAGCAGGGCTACTAAGTGCATACACAAACCAAAGTCCTGGTGGTCACCGCAGCTTTCATCAAAATGGAGTTACCCCTCTTGGTGCTGGAGTTATGGGCCATGGTGGTTTGGGCACAGGTCTAAGTATCAACACAGGCTCCACCAGTTCACTGCCCCAGTCTGGGGCCATGGCTGGGTTCATCTTCAACCCTCTGGGACAGTCCTCCAACCCACAGCAGGCCTCACAGTCCTCTGTCTCCACCATGACCAGAGACTTCAGCCAGTTTGTCAACACCTTACAGTCCACCCCCACCCCCCAGGGGAACAGCTATAACCAGTTGAGCAACCTGAACTTGCTGGGTGCCAACAGCCAGCAGCAGAACTCCAGCTTCTCCTATCTGCCAGCCAGCACCATCAGGGAGGACCAGCTAGACCAGGAGAACCCAGTGCCTAGAAACAATTTTATTTACAATGGGCAAAGAAATAAAAAACGGTAAATAGTTTTATGTCATATACATTTGATTAGAAGATATAACAATTTTGATTGCCATGTATTTATTTCGAACCATTTACAGTTTTATAAACTCGAGCAGCTTATTGTGACATTTGAAATTTATAAACTCAACAGCTTATTGTGACATTTGAAATCAATGGTTAATAGTAATTTTTAATACATTTTTCTGCAGGAAATCTGGTTCTAGGGTTAAGAAATCTGAGAGCGATCCAACATCTGGTAACTAGCAGTTTGTTTATTCCATTCATTTTTTTTTTAAAGTCTTGTTATAAAATACATTTTTGTAACGAATTTGTTCATATTGTTCCTCCATCAAGGCTTAAATTCTGGGTCCAAGGACAACAGAGATGCCAACTCACACAGGTGGTCTGGCCAAAGGGAGAGCACTGCTGATGTTGGTGCTACTTATGAGGGAGCATCATTTAATGCCAGTTCTAGCTACTCAAGTATACAGTCTATCAAAGACCAACACTTACGGCTGCAGGGAGAGCAGACACACACCAAGTTAGTTGTTCTTATTTCTACTTACTATTTTTATCTTTAAGTAAAGGTTTTAAAATAAGGCCAGATGTAAGTACATTTTAGAGCAGTAAGTGGTAAAATCTAAAATGATCTCTGTTTTAAATAGATCAGCAGATACTTCCGAAGAGGGTAACACGCTTTTCGACACTCTGCGAGATACAATCTATGCGGAAGTTGCTTCACTAATTTCTCAGAATGAAAGTCGCCCCCACTTCTTGTTGGAGCTATTTCGAGACATGCGACAAATTGACTCCGATATGATGCGTCAGAGAACGCTCTACTCCATTCAAGATCTGGTCAACTCACACATGAAGTCTTCAGAATTGGGGGCTGCCTCTGTGAGTTGTGATACCTGTCCAAGTAGTCAATGTTGTTTTGTGATGTCTCAAGTGGTTAGACCAACATGAGCTTATTTAAATGTAATATCTTATCCTTCACAGTCTGGGCCCTCTTGGATGAAGGCAGTATCCAACCAGGGAGATACTGGCAACTCAGAACAAACCCCCAGTGAGAGCATGACTTCAGATGATGAAGAATATCTCAAAGTTGTAAGTTTTTACTCCACATCAGGTTTTGTTTAGATCATCCCCATTGTAGGACTCCCACATTGCTTTATTTCATTCCTAGGCTGGTCTGGTAGAAGAAGTTGAAGCAGCTAAAAGAAATCATTGTGATAGGAGAAGCAACAGGGGTGCAGACTTCCCTTTTGATTATGCTGAAATGGCAGAGAACCCAAGCTCATTGTCTACACCCACTAACGGGTGTGAAGATTCACCATTTTTTCAGGTAAAAAAATATTTTTGAATTCATGAAATTAGCTTTAGAATTCTAAAAATGAAAACAAATTAAGATATTTTGAAATTATAACTCAAAGTTTTTTTGTTATAGGATGTGCTAGGTGAAACAGTAATTGAATTTGATAGCCTGAAGCAAAATGAGAATGGAGGTAACGTCAGGGGTCAAGGCAGCAGGAAGGGAAATCAGGCAGATAATGAATGGAGGGGACAACAGGTCAGTTCATACTGTTTATAGTACAACATTTGGGTATGTTTTCATATATCAACTCAATCTTATTTGCAATTAGCACTAGTGTGAACGTGTATCTAAAGAACAATTAGTTAAATTAGTTTGCAATGATTAGTATGGCCTAGTTTTTGAAAATATATAGACGTACAGTGTTTTCAAATGGTGTTAAGTTTCAACTTGCAACAACTTTGAGCAGGCGTATGGTGCTGGAGGATTCCTGGCATCAAGACAACTTCTCAAGGATCTAAAGAGAAAGTCTAAGGGCCACAAAGAGGGTGCTGCAGGAACAACAGTAGAATACGGGTCACATGGCTCCCAGTCCAGTCAGGTGACTAGTAGTTCTGCTATGGACCAGAATAGCCAGAGTTCTCTATCAGACATGCCTGTTAGTTGTTTTTTTGTTTTATTTTTTATTGGGTACGGGGCAAATAATATTAAATTTGTTTTTTATGTGATTTATCATTTGTGTTGACTCAAATGTGAGCCAAATATTAAAAAAAAATGTTTAATTATTTTTTATTTATATATTTGATTTTAATTGCCTGAAATACTTAACTCTCGTGAAATTATTTTCTCTTTCAGTACCCGCGCATTGACATGAAACAGTTGGACCGGCAGATAAAAGCCATTATGATGGAGACAATCCCCGTTGTTAAGGAACACATGGATGATGTCTGCTCCACTCAGCTGCTGACCTACATCAAGAGACTTGTCCTGTCCCTAACACGTCAGATAGGGAATCAAGAATTTGCCAGGTTTTTCCAGCGTCAACTGTCATCTATCCTGCAAGACACCCTGCAAAAATACCATGGCAGAAAGTAAGTTTGTTTTATCAATTACCCTTAAGTATACTTTAGTTTTGGTTCTTCCAAAACTGCCAGCAGCCCAATATTGTATCTTGTCATTGTTTTTTCTGTCAAATTGGTGTTGGAGTGATATAGGTGTAGGGCTATAGTGGCGATTATGATTTGAAAAATGGCCTTCTAATATAAGCTGCTGAAATATTAAAATTATAAAAATGTTTGCTTAGTTGTGCAGAAGTTGATGGATACAAATTTAATTTCAGGATGAGAGAGTGTGGTGAGGACCTGCTAGTGGAGATCTCTGATGTCTTGTTCAATGAGTTGGCTTTTTTTAGATTGATGCAGGACCTGGATGAACCCAAACTTCCTGGAGCCACCGAGTGGTCTATGCAGGTAACTCAAGCATTGTCCTGGTGCTCTTTTCTGTTTAACAGGACCAATTCCTGTTTTACAGGGCCAACTGTTAAACACCTGTTTTACATAGCCATCTCCTGTTGAATATACAACTGCTATTAAGCATGCTGATGTTTACCTATATCACTGTTAATTTTCCTGTTTCAGGTTTCCAAAGAGTCCTCAGAATACAGTGCCGACACAAGTTCTGCTGAAGATGAAGCTGAGGTGGAGAAGGACAGTGATGATGTTAGGGTTGGTGCTACCAATGGAGAATTCAAGGATAAAAATGTTGAAAAAGTCTTGAGGGTGAGGATATTTTTGTGTGATCAATAATTTTGAACTATTTCTTTCTGTTGATTGAAATTTTTGAAAAACTATACCCCAAATTTTCAGGAACAAAATGGCCCTGTTGGTGGCAATGAAGAGAAAGATGAAGATGAAACAGAACAAAACTACAAGATAGAACTTGCACCCAGTGAGACAAAACCTTTCACTAGGTATTTACAAATCTGTCACCTTTAAAGAGTTGTTTTGCAAAACTTGTTGAGTGTGTGCAGATATTGATATATTAGGGCTTTAAAATTATGATTAAACTATTGATGTTAGGTAAACGTCATTTAAAAAACTCAACGTGATGTATAATTCAGTTTTAGCACTTCCTTGTGTATTGCAAGCAGTTTATGAGCACTTCAGTCAGTGTTAGCTAAAATAACAATAAATTTAACAATTCTACCTGATACTAATGTAGATAATAAAAAGTACTTTTCCTGATTGTATTAAAAAACTTATTTTGAATTTTTGCCATATAATGAGTTATGTTATGTTATATTCCTTAATTTTTTTGTTGATTAAGGTGTTCAACAACCTTTAGATGTGCCCTGTTAAATAATGCAGTGGTGTAATTTTAATTTGAGCGTTGATTATCATGTTATGAATCGGCAGTGATGTAGACAATTACGGTAATGTCGTTATGATTTTAGAATTGGCAGTGATGAAGATGATGATGATGGTGATGAAGAACACAGTATGGACGACCCAAGTGAGACTGCTGTCAGCCGTGACTCAATGCTTGAAACCAATCTGAGCGCACAAATCTTCGTTCATTCTTCCACAAGACCAGAGACTGAAGGGGCGGGTGGGGATGGAGTGGAGAAACAAGACTTGGAGAAACCACTTTCACCTCAAAAGTTCAACCAGCTGAAACCCTCAGGGGAAGGTGAGGCTCCTCCACCAAGTGCTGGTCCATCAGCAGCTGGGGACACTGTACAGGTAACCAGGCTTTGTCAGATCCTTTCTTTTTTCTAATGACCAGGAGCAGTGCCCAAAGCTTTAGTCAAGTTGTTAGGTTTTTGCAACAAGCTAATGGCACTATGTTTCTTCTTGTTTTGTATTAGTTTGGTGTCATTGGTGCTAGTTGAATGGTGTATGTGTTGTGGCATTTAAAGTTGTAAAAATGTTTCAGGTGATGGTGTACTGAATGGTGTATGTGTTGTGGACATATAATTTAGTGTATAACATGTTTCAGGTGAATGGTGTATGTGTTGTGGATATATAATTTAGTGTATAACATGTTTCAGGTGAATGGTGTACTGTATGTGTTGTGGATATATAATTTAGTGTATAACATGTTTCAGGTGAATGGTGTTTTGAATGGTGGCCACGCCAGTGATGAGGAACTGACTGTAGATGACCTGCCGGAGAGACTGACCGTCCTGCCAACCGCAGCTGACGGGGCCACGCTGAGTGAGAACACTGTGAGTGCCCCCTCATGTGTCGTGTGTAGTGTACTTGTGATGGGCCTCTCTGTGGGGGCTGCTGTCCTTATTGGGGCCCTGGTAGCTGCCCAGCAGTCCAGACCATGAGGAGCCGTCAAACCTCATGAGGTTGTTGTGCCATTTCTTCACTCTGGCTTTGTCACTTTGTGCTAGTTGTTCAGTTTTATTTCAAACATCTCATCTCTTCATTTTGTTCTTTTGTGTTTGGCTCACATTTTTATTTCAAACACCTTTAGCTTATTTTCATCTTCATTTGCAGCACTATTTGTTATGACATTTAGATGCTAGTTCAATTTTTTTTCTTTTCATCCTACCGGTATTGTTTTATTTCAATCTGTTTCACCTTTCTCAGCTTCTTTTTTTTTATTGTTCACTATTTTATTGTGGAGTGGTATTTACATTTCTGTTGGTACCCTCTTCAATATTTGCTGTTACACCATTTATTTAAATTACTGTACCTGGCTACCATGTCTGTCACCTATTGTAAATCCTTAGTCACCCCTTGAAATTACTGGTAGCGGCTACCATATCTGTCACCCCTGTCTACAGTAAAGCCTTAGCTATATATTGTAATTACTGGTAGTTTTTCATGTTCCCTTTGTCTGACTGCTCCATACAAATGACCAATTTGAAAATACTGCCACAGAAAAGAACCTACTACTCCAGTAGAAACGTTTGATTATTCCTGAACAGAAATTTGCCTCCTTTTATTTTACATTTTGTGTTTGTAATCTGGCTGTGGGAATGGTGAATATTAATAAATAATATTTTGATACTTGAGACATTAAGAAAATTAGTTTTTTTAGCGCAATTTCCATACTGGCAATTGCGATTATTAATTCGTTATTTCTGGATGGATGGATGGATGGATGTGTGTCCGCAGCTTTAAGTCGTATCTCCTCCTCAACGAAGCAATATCGAGGACTAGTTCCAAAAGCAAATATGTTAAGCAAGTTCCAAGGATGATTGTGGGCCAAAAAAATTCCCGGAATTCCTTCCTGGATTTCCCGGAAAAGCCAAAAAACCTCGAAAAAATGCAGTTTTTGGCCCATATCTCAGCAACTAGACCACTTAGCGACTTGAAACATTTACCAATCGATTCCTGCCATAATTTAGAACAATATTGCCGAAGAAAGTTTTCAAAAATATCCTTTCGTTCGGTCACAAAAAAAATTTTAAAATTAAATTTTACATAATACACTACAGTACTATATAGCAATATATAGATATAGATCTATGGGGAAATTGCGCTTAAGTTGTCACTAGACTTTTTATTAACTTGTTTTTGTTTCAATACATGGGGTATAATTAACTGCAGTTAAAATTTCTGATATTATGACTAGTGATAATTTTTTACATGATTTATACGGCTAATATTTTAACATTTTGCCTCAATTATTTTTTAAAGTGTCCTTTTGTCATAGAAGTGTTGTGCAGATTTCTTTTTTAACTAACTTATTAACTTTGGTTGTGAACTCATTGATTTGAATTAAACTTGTATAAATATTGCAACTTGGTGTAGTTATCACCAACTTTGTGTAGTTATCACCAACTTTGTGTAGTTATCACCAACTTTGTGTAGTTATCACCAACTTGAGGTAGTTATCACCAACTTAGACGTGTTTGACCTGATAAAATTGTGTCTGATGTCAAGTTTTGTTTCAGCCAGACATGAGATGTAAATTTGCTGAGGAACAAAGAAATGTCTGCGGCATTGATGCTATCCTAACAAGCCTGGACGGGCTGGAGGAGCTGGCTGGGGGTGACCTGCTGGACCCTGATGCTTTTTTCTCTTAAGTCTTGTGTGTGGGTCAGCTGAAGACATTTCTAAATGTACATAGTGTTAACACATTGATGTAAATATGTTTGCTTTATGAAATTGTGATCTAGGATGGTTTAAAACAAACAGCAGTTGAATTAGTTTTAAAGCTGCTGTCAAAGTGGAAGATGTAAGAAAATGTAATCAATAAAAGACAACACACCCTTGTAAAAGCTCACCTAACACATTTAACTAAACACACCACTATAAAAACACATTTAACATAACACACCACTATAAAAACATTTAACATAACACCACTGTAAAAAAAAAAATCAACAACACACCAATGTAAATAGACACAAGTTAACCAAAGACATGTGAACACACACCCCTGTAGAAAACACTACTTAACTCACCTCTATTTAAACACAGCTGCTAACTGGCAGTAGTGACCTAACTCTCGCCTGCTAGTAAAGCCCAGTTAGCATACAGGCCCATACACTTTAGTCATTTGTTTCTCTACATACACTCCAGTCATATGTTTCTCTAGATGTTGGGAATAAGTTAGTTCCTGGTTGTTGTTTACTCTAACCTTTATATTTGTTGCTCTGTTGCTAACATTGACAATGGAGTGACCAGTAGATATTTATTAGTTTAAAGATATTAATATAACCAAATATTTTGTACTTTTTTTCTATTGATGAATCTTGATGTATTTACATGAGAGCTGAGTGCAGTGTTACTGTATATGTGAACACATCTATTTATGAACTTGTCTAGCTAGTGTGGTCACCATGGCAACTCTTCTGTTTGAGCTGTCAGCTGTTGAACTTGTGTGTGATTATTGAATGTTGCTGCAACATCTAACAAAGCATTCCATTAATCTGCTGTATCATCCCATATCATCTAGAGACTGGCAGTTCAGCTCTCTATTCATTGTTTTGTTGCTGAAGTTTTCACATGTACTAGAAGATGTTACTATTTATAGTAGTTGTTAAAGTGGTTGTAAGAACAAGCCTTGTTTGTATAAAAAAAAATTGTGCACGTCTTAAATAAAAAGTTCTGGTAGCCTGATTCACAATTCATCTCATTTGTCCCTTTTAAATATTTAATTAAAAACTAACTAACTGGAGATGAAGAGTTGATTATTTCTGGCACTTATTCCTATAGGAAGTTTTGATGCTATTTCAACTAAGGTTGATTAAAAAGTGTGTTTTATAGAATTTTTACACATCACTTGGTGTTTTTTTTTTTTTTGTGGCCCATAATTGTTAAACTTAACAGATAAATGTACTTTTTTTTAATGACAAGGCAAGGATATTTAATTTTCAGTTTATTTTGTTTAAAAATTATTTTATAAATTAAGATTACTACTATATTAAAAAGTGGGTGACAAAATACTAGCAAGTTGGTTGATCAGCCAGCTGTGTGATATCAACTAGTGCTCACTCATGTTCTAGTGTCACACCCAAAAGCTACGGACTTTTAATATGGGCAGAAAATTGTCATTTCAATTTAAGAACAGTTTACTCTGTATCACTATCAAAATGGGTTGGCAATGAGGGGTGAATACGGTTGGACTTACAGTAAACACACAACAAATTCAACTTTATCAGATTTTATTGTCAGCTTTGCTTGATGGTAAAATTTTCACACAGAACACAATTCAAATTTTTTTTTTTATCAAACTAGTTATAGAAAATAAAAAAAATTTATCAAAATGTTTATCTCACGTATATAAAAATAACACTCAAAAGTAACTTGAAGCAAACAATGGATGTGGGGAGGGGAGGATGGATTTCTGAGCGTCCACTTGCCATATCAACTACAACACAAAGGTGACCAAAGCAAGAAACTTTGATTTTGTTTTAGAAGATTAGTCAAAGACAACAGGGCTTTGTGAGGCTACACACACATTTTAGACACATTTTCTATTGCAAGTACAGATTAGGTTAGGGACTTTACATTCAACTGTAGTGAGTAATCTGTTACCACAACTTGAATAACATCTGGGAAATCACCAAAAATAAGGTTTGGGACTACATAGTTGTAAATAAATTATATGTACATTTTAAAGTGGGTGTTCACTACTACCTATTGCAGTTGCATTAATACATGTAAAGACATCGAAAATAAAACCTCAGTCAGGTACACTGTACAGTTTACATTCTCTCCATGCAGAATTCATAACTTCACATCTTTGTAACAATTATTTAAGTTTTTACTTCTTTCATGCAGACATCATCAGCTGTAGTTGTTTGATATCAATATTTAACTTCACTTGATAAAAGCTCTTTGATTACTATTGCATTCATCAGGTCAGGTGATGTTAGGAGCTTCATCAAATGTGATGAAGTAGCCATTGACCATAAATATTTATCCCAAATACTAGCTTTATTATTTAAAAATTTGGAGTTAATTTGATGCAGGTAGAAAGGGATAACTTAGAGAATCTTAACACAGAACTTTGCCTGCACTGTATGCATATAACAAAGAGAGCAGCAAGCTTATGAAATAAATAGTCACAGCAGAAACTCAGATTTGGTCCATTAACAACATTGTTCATTGCACCTTACAACAACATGGAATAACATTTTGAAGAAATCTGGCCATGAGATTAGCCACTTCATTTAAGAAGAAAAATCTATTAACAAAGAAATAACAGTAAAATCTTACATTGTACAACAGTAGCATAAATATACAATAACTGGACATATTTGAAAATTAAAGCTGTCACAACTATAAATTTGTATTATTGAAAAATGTATGCTTTAAAGCAGATTAAACTCCAAAAACCAGAGCTTTTCCTTGTTTGTAGTTTGATGTCAAATGATTTTTTTAAAAACAAAACCATTGTGTGGCTCCTTCAGCAACAAACTTTGAAATATTTATTTCAAAATTTGTTTACTGGAGATGGTTTTTCAACAAGTTATTTGCTTCAAATATAGTCAGTTCTCAGGCCCTTACTGGTTTTTGTCACTTTCAACTGTCCAATGGGAATGTGAAGTTTTCCTCAATTTCTGAATTATTTTTATAACACATTTTAGTCAACATTTTTTGTAAAAACTGGCCACTCCAAATGTATGACCAGGTTTTTGTGTTTGAAAGTTTAAATTTTGTAAAAAAAAACCTGACTACTTTGGAATAGGTTTTATAAGCACAGCCATATTCTTGGACTGTTCTGGGTTGGGTACAGATGCACTCATGGTCAGGTTGTGACCACGGCAACATGTGGTCACTTCAGACTCCTCCACCTGAACTACCCGGTCATCTTGATTGGTGATGATGAGAACAGCCTGAACTCTGGCCTCACCTCCCTGCAGAGCTGACTCATGGCAGTAGATCTGGGGAGTCATACAAAACATGGGTTACATTTTTATTAGCTGACTCATGGCAGTAGATCTGGGGAGTCATTCAAAACATGGGTTACATTTTTATTCTTATGAATCATATGATCACAACAGGTCTCAACTCTATGTACTGTGAAGGAATATTATAGTTTGATTTATAAAAAATGGTAAATTGTATTTTGCCTTTTTATAGCATGTACTAAAAAAACGTAACACCACTCTAATAAATGTTGCTACTTTTAAAATGTTCAAACTTGTACCTGTAATGTCCAGACATCATTTGTTTTTCTGTATGTTATTTTCCACTCCCCATCTCTTGATTCAGATGGCACTGACCCAACATATGTACGTACATCCACTTGTATGCCATATCTCAATGTGTTTTGTAATCGAACCTAAAAATTAAAAAAAAAAAGTTTAGACCAACAGTTTATTAAGAAAAACAGAATTATAGTCCTACTCAGCTGTCTTAATTTGAGTATAAAATATCATCCAATAAGGACAAATGAACACCTACATTATCAACAGCTAGGTCAGTGTAGTTTCTGGGAAGGTAAAAATCTTGATCGAAAGAGACATCAATTTCTGATTGGTGAGGGCAAAGAGCACGGAATCTGTAGGCTTTGTTGATTAGTTTTTTCAACAAATGTCTGAGCTCTTTATCATTGTACATATCCCCCTTTTCAACAAACACCAACTCTTTCACCTAAACAAGATCAATCAATAATACTTGAACATACCAGTCATTTAGTTCTATCTTTATTTTAAGATCAAAATACTCCCCCCAACAATTTTAAATAAATAATTTTTACAAGTTATAGACCTACAAGTTTGAGTCATAGGTTGATGTAACAAGATAAAATTTGTTAATGAAGTTGCATGTAAAGAATTGAAGATTAATTTTTATTTTACAAGTAGATTAAAGCCATGTTAATAATTTTGAGAGTGTTGGATGAACATACATTTGCTAATGAGCAACCTTTTTAATTCAAGGTTAGATTGGTCTTAAGGTTTTCTGTCATGTGAAATAGTTGCCCGTTGTGCTATTCAAATAGTTAATACCAGTTAACTAGGTAGAAATAGCTTGGAGAGTATCAGTAAAGAAGGAATTAAGAGTGATGAAGTTTATGGGCTAATGTTATTTTTGTCCTGTGCACCTCACCTGCATCTGAGGAAACCTTATCAGGGGCAATAACTGCTTGGCATAATCGTGATAGTGATCCTTGTGGTCGTCTGAGTCGAGCCACTGCAGGAGTGCCTTGTACAGGATGTCCTCCCTTTGTATGACTAGATCTCCATTCTTCAACATGTCCCGAACAAAATCTAAATCCATGTTGTGCCATTCTGATGATGTGAGCAACAGTTCTGCATTCCATGCGATGGTCTTTGAGCACTGATGAATGAGTTCTTCCATGTGCAAGGCTTTAGACCAGGAGTACCAGTTGAGAGCGTTTTTGACCAGTGGAGATCTGCGAACAATTTTTGAACTTTTTTTATCAGCCTGATATTCACCTGATACCATTTAAAGTTTTTTAGAGTATCAGCATACAGAAGTCTAACGTCAGGCACTTAAGTGGAACCCCCCCCCCCAAGAGAGAGGTACATAAGACAGACCTGTAAGTGGAGTCTTCTCAAACAACTACAGCCTGCATGGATGTCTAGGTACATAGGAAAATTACTAAGTGGATGTTCACAATTGAAGCCTTATGCTCAACAAGGAGTAAAGAGCACACATTCTAACATTGGTTTACCTAGCAGATGTACTCACTGTTGATTCTTAAGGACAGACAACTCTATTTCAACTCTAAACATAACCAAAAATGTTCTATAAGCAAGGCCATTAAGGCTAATAATTCCCCAAACTTGTTATGTTGTTTCTGTTAAAACTGGATGGAACAAGAGGCATCCTAAAAAGTCTGGCAAAATCCCAGCTTTTGTAGAAGGTTCAAAGGTCAAGTTCATGCAATCTACCATGGCATAAACAAGGTCACCAAAAAAAGTCAAATTTACTTCTAGTCTATAGTTTTAACTTGAACACTTTTCAGAAAAAACAAGTCCATTGTAAGCCTCACCTGGTATGCTCTACCATGTACTGCGTACACAAGTTCTTCAAAGATATAACGCTATATTTATCAGCCAGACACAGAATTCCGACGGCTGATTCCACGTTGATGTTCACTTCTGCTGTGTACAGGAACCGAAGGAAGGTATCAAAATATTTCTGGCACTCCTCTGTTTCTTCTAGAATTATCTCTGGCAATCCTGCTTGTGACCAGTTCTTGTTGTAGAGCATAGTACGAAAGACATCACTGGACTTGGCTAAAACAAACTTGTGAGCGAAATAAGTTTCCTTGCCAATCTGGTGGAGCAGAGAACACAACAATCACTACAGTTGCTATAACCTAAGTAATGTAGCTGATTGTTCCAAAAGTAATCACTCAAATGCTAGATCTTGTTGGTAGAATTTAAAAGCAAATTTATAATATAAGTGCAGAGCTAGATCCACATAACTTAATGGGCTGTTAAATAACTTGTTGAAAATAAATAATATGATAGCAAATTACCTATTTGTATTAATAGAAAACAATTATCTCAAACAAGCCTATAGATTATTTTAAAATAAGATCAGGGGTCATCCATAAATAACGTCACGCCTTTTTTGACGATTTTTACCTCCCCCTTCCCTCCTCCCCTCTGTCGCACACGTCACAAAAAGCCAGACCCACCCCTAAAATGACGTCACACCTCATCCTACAACCCCTCAAAAGTGCAGTTGAATTTTTTTTTTAAACATCGATATTTTTCCAAAATCTTGCCCAAACTCTGTCAAAATAGAGTATTTTAATCAATTCTTGTTACAATTTATTAAAACAGTTTTCTAAAACGCAAAATAACGTCTAAAATTAGTTTTCTAACATTGCTTTTGTATAATGCAAAAGTGTGACGTCGCACCAACTGAAACCCCCCCCCCCCCCCCCCATCACACACCGTCACAAAATTACGGACCCCCCCTCTCCCCCTACGAGTGTGAAGTCATTTATGGACGACCCCTCATTAATTATGTTTAAAAAGATCTATTGTTGATTTGTGAAATCTATGATGTACTATTACGAAAACAAACCAAAACTTTTTACAGTGAAAATAATAGCCTGCAGCAAATACCTTGAGAATGACGTCACTGATATCCTCTTGGTTGTAAAACTGACCAACATTTTGAATGAAGTTGCTTTCGTCTCTTAAAACCCGAGAATGGCAGGTTGGCGGGGCGGTGTCTTGGGGTGGTTCAACTGTATCACATCCATCCATTACCTAAAATGGTACAACAGTTCATGATGGGGTTCTAGAAAGACGACATGAGGGGGGGGGGGGGGGGGGGCAGTAGTTTTCACTTATTAAAATTGCTTCACAAGTAGAGTCTACAGTCTACTCATGTAAGTGCCTTGTTTCTTTTCCAAAGACCGATACTTAACGTCAACTAAAATGAACTAAAGCTTCAAGGTGTAACGTATGAATTCGTCCATAGATCTAAATGGCGTCACTCTCATGAGTAAGGTTCGGATTTTGTGTCGTTAGGGTTGAGGGCTTAGAAATGGTGATGTCACACTTGCATTTTAAAGGATTTCTAAACAGAATTTTAGATCTAGAATCTAGATCTAGCAGTTATTTCGCTTTTTTTTTTCAAATTTAATTGTAATTTTTTTTTTAAATTGATCATATCCAAGCTTGATCTAAATCTAGATCCTTAATATTAAAATTCCACTCAAAAACTAGAATCTATTTATTTCACATGTAGATTCTAGATCTAGATCTAGATCTAGATCTATAAACTTATTTAACCTCTTTATTAGTCTTAAAGTAAAACAAGGTAATTAAAAAGTCTAGTGACAATTTTAGCGCAATTTCCTTATGTTATCTAAAAATAGCTCTGTCGTAACGAAAATCAAGAGCAGGGTTAGTAAAACCATTGGTTAAAATACATGTTTTATTTACAATAGAGTTACATGACTAAAAACCATTGCGCGCCTAGCTACTGAACGTGATGACGCACCATTGAGCGTGATGGCGCAGCTAATGAACGTGATGACGCGTGTGGTGTGGTTGGAAAAAATGCCTACTAATTCGGTCCAAATTTTAATTAATTAAAAAAAATTTTTGTGACCGAACGAAAGGATATTTTTAAAAACTTTCTTCGGCAATATTGTTCTAAGTTATGGCAGGAATCGATTGGTAAATGTTTCAAGTCGCTAAGTGGTCTGGTTGCCGAGATATGGGCCAAAAACTGCTTTTTTTCGAGGTTTTTTGGCTTTTTCGGGAAATCCATGAAAGAAACCCGGAATTTTTATGGCCTATGTTCATCCTCGTAACTTGCTTAACATAATTACTTTTGGAACTAGTCATCGATATTGCTCCGTTGAGGAGGAGATACGACTTAAAGCTGCGGACACACATCCATCCATCCATCCATCCATCCATTCATACATTCCCAGAAAAGACGAGTTAATAAACGCAATTCTCCAGAATGGAAATTGCGCTAAAAAGTTTTAACCGGGAACATGGCTTTTAAAAATCCGCGTGAGACTCAATGGCCAGATTTTTATGAAAAAAAGGTGTAAATTCAAATATCGATAATAAAGGCAGTGTAGTTTATCGAATGCGACCTTTCAGTTTGATAGGTGTAGTATCAAAGTTGCAAAAACTCTATGAATAGCGCTTGCTCAGTCCTAGAGCTAAACATTTATATATATTAATATATACATGCTGAAATAATAATGATATATCAATAGAATGGTTTTAAAATTGAATTTTACATTAAAGTAGGCCATATTTAAACCTTTTCTAACTTTATTTCGATCAGCATAATGTGTAAATATATTTTTTAAAGTATGCAAATCCACAAGGTTTAGATCTAGATCTATATGGTTTATATAAATCTACAAACACTAAATGGTGCAAACATTATGATCGCTTAGAAACGTCAAAAAATAAAAAATAAAGCCATCTTGCGTATTCTTAAGAACTACCTTTGGTTTAGCGTCTACATATTTCCTACAGTAAATATGGTAGAAATTGGTGCACACAGAACGTATCATAGAGCGAACTACTTAGTTAACACAAGCAAGGAGCAGACGATCAACACTAATCAGTCACGTGTTGACCTATAGGCAGTAATGGATGGAGGGAAACAATAGAGTCGTAGCACGAGAAATCAATAAATAGAAGTGAGCCAAAACATTCAAACATCACGAGACTGGTCATGTGACATGTGGTCTAAAAATAACATCATGCTGGCACATTAAAAATTCAACATATGGATTTTATAGAAGGTACAAACTATCGGGTGATGTTGAATGGATTAGCCTGTTATAGCGCCAAATATTGGGTTACAAAAAAAGTCTATTGATACAGGTATATGGACAGATGCTAAAATTTAATTTACAAAACATGGACATTAACCGCAATCCAATGCACTTAAATTACTTGTGGGAAAGTAAAAAAGGCGTCGACAGTTGTGGGCCCTATCTCAAATAATGTGCAGTTAACTACACGACGACGGTCTGGCTAATTGAACTGCCGCATCAAGCCAAGAATAAAGCAGGTGATCCCGTCTGTTCAGGCAAGCGAGCTGTTTCCAGACACACACTTTAATTAATTAGATCCGCGTAGAACAAGACTGATAAACTTCATACAATTAAAACACACGCCAAACAGAAAACAGAACTGTCCGGCCCACTACTAACTCGTCCATCCTACGGCAGCATCACAATCGTGTGGTGTCAACATCACAATCTTGTGGTGTCAACATCACAATCTTGTGGTGTCAACATCACAATCTTGTGGTGTCAACATCACAATCTTGTGGTGTCAACATCACAATCTTGTGGTGTCAACATCACAATAGTGTGGTGTCAACATCACAATCTTGTGGTGTCAACATCACAATCGTGTGGTGTCAACATCACAATCTCGTGGTGTCAACATCACAATCTTGTGGTGTCAACATCACAATCGTGTGGTGTCAACATCACAATCTTGTGGTGTCAACATCACAATCTCGTGGTGTCAACATCACAATCTTGTGGTGTCAACATCACAATCGTGTGGTGTCAACATCACAATCTTGTGGTGTCAACATCACAATCTTGTGGTGTCAGCCTTAGAATACCCGAGCCCCATCCCTATTATCTGTGTATTAAATTTATCAGCAGTTTAGATTGGCCACGTCCGTCTTCAATCAAGAAATCGATGGATTTCAAATTATTTGTGACCGCGGCATTTGCGCAGGGGTTATAAGCTTTACAACACGAAAAAGTGAAGGAAGGGGTTGTAGTCATCAATGGTGAGGATTTATTTCTGGTGATGTCTGAAAAACACGAGTAAGGCTGACAACAGTGACAACATACGAGCAAGACTCTAAGACACACGACAAAAGCTGTGGCACGCGACAAAAGAAGCAACACAAAAAATAACGACTTCGTATTGTGACCTAATTCTAACAAATCCAGCACGCAGTAGCTCGTGTTTACATATGCACAAATGGGGACAGTTACACCAATAACCCAGATCTTTCCGTCAACAAGAATGACCTTGAAAATATAACCCAGATGTTTGACCGATTTGAATTTTTTATTTGCGCTTTATCTTAAAGAGAACTGTACGGTTGGTTATTCAGGTTGTGGTCTTAAAAAATTACGTACACTCAAGAAAACATTTTTTCAGACTGCCACACACAGATTCGAACACTAGCCTAGACAGAATCGGTTAAAACATAGTTTTTACATTATTTATACTTTGTGTGGTCAGGACAGATGCCTTAATATGCCTTAGCCTAAATATTAAACATTAAATTATCTCAATATGTATTGCTAACTGTATTCATAGATTAAATAAAGAAATAGATAAATAGGGCCTATTGCATTTTTTCTTACACACTTAAACACTAAAACAAAAATAAACCTTTTAACTTTAACAGTACCTTCATGCTTAATGCAGTCTACCAGAATATCCAAAGAAAAATACTCAAGTTTCGCGCCCATGAGCTACTCTAAAACAACCTATTCGCTATGAACACTGGCCCACAGTCTTTCTTTGATATCCTACCTGGCAAGATATAAATAGCTGTATGACATCATCACGTGATTACCCAGCTGAGACGATAAAAACTTCGCTTTTTTATTTGCTTTTCAAAAAATCTCCATTTCTCCTCCCCCTTTCACCACTGGCGTCAGCTGTTCTTTGTCGGTTAAGATTTCTTTTTTTTTTTTTTTAAATTTAAAGTGTCCTTACTGATCCACCTTTCATGCGACCAGATCCGTTTATTTGAAATAGTTACTATGCATTATAAAGATCTTTAATACACCTGTCCCTTTATTTTAATTAGGGGTGGTCCATAAATCATGTCATACGCTTAGAAAAAAATTACTGGGCGGGGAGGGGGGTATACATTTAGGGCGTTGTACCACGAAACTTTGAGGGGGGGGGTAAATTTCAGGGGGTGGGGGCACTTTTTTCTCCGAGGGGGGAGGGGGCCGACTGAAATTTTCGGGGGGGGGGGGGGGCGGACACTGTTAAAAGTATATATTTTCTATATAAATTCCATTTCGTTCGGGGGGGGGGGGGGACATTACAAGAAAGAAAGTGAACAGGACATCAAAGGTGTTGGGCCCAGGTTTGTCAGCATCTAGTTCAACCTCACGACCCAAATAACATTTTATTTCAACCTCACGACCCAAATAACATTTTATTTCAACCTCACGACCCAAATAACATTTTATTTCAACCTCACGACCCAAATAACATTTTATTTCAACCTCACGACCCAAATAACATTTTATTTCAACCTCACGACCCAAATAACATTTTATTTCAACCTCACTACCCAAATAACATTTTATTTCAACCTCACGACCCAAATAACATTTTATTTCAACCTCACGACCCAAATAACATTTTATTTTATTTCAACCTCACTTCCCAAATAACATTTTATTTTATTTCAACCTCACGACCCAAATAACATTTTATATGAACTATTTCAACCACACTTCCCAAAATAACATTTTATTAAGACCCATCTCGACCTCACGACCCAGAAAACTTTTAAAGACAAGTGTACAATGCACTCACCGCTGGCTCAAGCTTGCTGGCCTTTAGACTGTCCGTCATCTCCACTGTGTCTGGGGGTGCAGCCTGGTCGACAGGGGGCGCTACAGGGGGCGCTACAGCGCCGACAGGGGCTTCGTTGGGGCTGGGACTGCTGGCGGTTACAGGCGAGCCACTGGCCCCATCAGCACGTCGGGGTGTCGGGTTGGGATTCGATGCTGTTCCTCTGGACGGGGTGTTCGACCTTGACCCCGACTGCCTCAGTGACGGCCGATGGTATTTCTGCATATCATTAAAAAAAACTACCGAAACCTTCTGATTGGTTGATGAAGCATGACTGCTAATTGGAGGTCAACGTTCAACAGGTCACCAAGTAGAATCAAATGTGTTGAATAAATACAGTAAACAAAGAATACAACAGCAGGAATACAACAGAGTCGCACCCTCAAAGAATATCCTTTTAAAAGTCGAAAATGATCCGAGAAACTTTTTTTAATTATGTTCAGTGGATTCAACCGTCAACGTTCAGTTATTTCTGTGGAGAAAAAGAAAGCGTCACTCAAGTAGTTTAATACATGCAGTTTCAAATGACCAACGAAGGAAGCAACATTGTTTTTTTTAACCCCTCGATAAATCATCTTTTATTTGACATTTTAAACAGGAAATTTCAAAGCCATGTGTAACAACAGAACTTTTCCGGTCTGCTAAACACGTCAGTTCAAAGAGGGGGGAAACTTGCTCTCCTTTTAAGAAGGTAAAATTCACGGGCTTTGTTTATTTATAGACCAACCTACCGTTACCTACGACTTACTACTGTACCAGAGGAGCAGTCACGTCCCCTGGTGTTTCGTTATTAACTTAACACCTTTTAAACACCACGGACAAGTGTCACCAACCACTCATCCACCTCTCATCAACTCACCTACCCCTCACCATCCACACCACACTACTTCCACCCCCCCCCCCCCATTAAAATCTTGACCACGTTCCAAACACCTTTACTTAGGACCCAAGGTTGTCAATCATGAGTCACGCTGACGTCACGTGTGTTACTTGGACAAATATTTCCCGTCTAATTTACCCGTGTGTGTTTTGAATGAAAGAAGTTTCTCAAGTTTGGGGTTCGTGTGTTGGGTTACAGTTGTACGTAAGGGGGGGGGGGGGGGTACAGTCGCCCACAGATTCACACGCTTTGCAGCTTGTCAACCACGTGACCTGCGCTATAAATAGGGCGTGGCTGAGAAAAGTATCTACAACATCAATACAGACTGCGTGTATTTCAAAGGTTCATCGGGTGCACACATTTCCCAGGCCTTCTAACCATGCCTACATACAGCAGCAAGGGTCTTGATACAACATTTTTGTTAACCTTCCTCAACTCTAACACCCAGTTTCTTCAATAGACGGGGTAAAATTGTATTCGTGAATATTTCTAAATGAATGTCAAAAACCATGATGTAAAAACTCACAAGTTTCCTGTTCTAGCCCTAACCGGATGTTGACACTATTTACTTCCCAATCACAGCCTTTTATTTCGCCTTCCTTGAGATTAATTTTATATTACCTGTGGTATCATCCAGTGATTATCAGTTAATTAGCAGGTTTTTTTATGCGTTGTTATTTTTCTCTTGATTTTTAATTTCATGTCTACAACAGTGCAATCATTACCTGTATCTACAACAGCTTTACCCAATCACAGTGTTTCTTCCAGACTTTTTTTCTCCGGGGTGGGGCACTTGAAATTTTCGGGGGGGGGGGGGGGGGGCGGACGGCGGACACTGTTTAAAGTACATCAGAGGCGTAGCGACCCTTCCCGGCGCCCGGGGACATACTTTCAATTTGGCGCCCCCCTCGGGAGCAAATTTTCGATTTGCACCCCCCCCCCTCGAACTTTTCATTTGCACCCCCCCCTCAAACTTTCGATTTGCACCCCCCCCCTAAGGTCGGCGCCCGGGGACATATGTCCCCCCGCCCCCCCCCCCCCCCCCCCCCCCCCTCGCTACGCCTCTGAAGTACATATTTTCTATATAAATTTCATTTCGTTCGGGGGGAGGCCGGTAGACTTTCTTCGGAGCCCCCCCCCCCCCCCCGAAGAGATGTGCGTGTGTACCTACACTACGTGAAACTTTACAAACTTCAACGTTTTGTAACCATGTACCCTAACACAGCATTCAAGACAGTGCTGTGTACTAAAGTGCTGTGTATATGGCTGCTAGGGTTAAGGTTAATGTTAGAGATGAGGGTTTAAGACAGTGCAGTATAAACGACTGCTAGGGTTAAGGTTCGTGTTGGCGCTAACGTTACCTAAGACAGTGCTGGATGTTGGGATTGATACGCTTAACGAGGAGTGACAGCTGACGTAGCATACACTGACAGCTGACGTAGCATACACTGACAGCTGATATAACACACTGACAGCTGACGTAGCATACACTGTGACAGTTGACTAGGAAAACAAATTCTTTCTGAGAACTGTGACTAGTGTAGTCCGCCTACACAAGAATCAACAAATCAACATTTCCCGTCAAGTTTTACCCAAGTTCTCTGACGTGAAAAGACCAGCATGTAATGTTCCCAGTCGCGCCCTCTCGTGTTTAAAAACGGTGAATAAATAAACTTGAGAATTAATTCAACGCCCGCCCGATGCGTCATATTGCTTTTGAACGGCCGTATCGGATAGTTTAAATACATTTGATTGACATTCATTCAATAAACAGGCCGGTAACTCTAGATAAAAAATCGCTCTCAGCAGTTTAAAAATCGCTGGTTTCGATTCTGCGACCAGGTGGGAGAAGCGCTGGGAAAAGTGAAATTCAGGCAGGTGGCCTACATAGAGAAAGTACGAAAAACTATAACTAGAAATATCAATGGATGATTTGAAGTGATCAGTGAACAATGGCGCTATTCGACGATACCATTTTCACTTTTCTGTCAACTGCACTGTTTTGGTGGCAGAAAAAAAATATGAAAAATGCAGCTACAAAGACAGCAGGCACATTTAATCTTTCCGTGGATGGGTAGAGGTGTCCACCCAATCAGGTTGTGGGGGGGGGGGGGGGGGGGGGAGAATCTGTCCGATATGGGAGGGGGTATCTAAATGAATTAACTAACACTACACACCACCAGTCAAGCCAGTCTAGTGAGAGCCATCCCTACTGTCTCCCTACCCACCATAAAAAGCTTACATCTAAGATTGTGGTCCAGTTTATTCTCTAATCGCCATAATTCATGTTGACGTTGTCATGTGCGCTAGACGTATTGCAGACGACGCCGTTAACTGTTGGCTGAGAAAATGAGAACCCGCGCTAAAATTTAAAGGATCAGTGAACGTCTGAGCAAATCGTCTGCTTTTCGGAGAAAGCATGGCAGACACGCATGGGTTCCCCTCTACAGTTTAGCCATGCATGGATTCCTCACACTTTACCTTGGCTAAATATACACTTTATTGTGACTTTATGGCTCTAATTTTAGATACGTAATGTTGTACTTATATACTTAATGTGGTACTTATATACTTAATGTGGTACTTATATACTTAATGTGGTACTTGTATACTTAATGAGGTACTTGTATACTTAATGTGGTACTTATATACTTAATGTGGTACTTACAAGTAAGACCAAATGTTCAACATTCCATACATATTTCTCTCAACGTTACAATTTTAAGGTGAAGCCTTAACCAACATGACCCCTTCCTCCCCGTTTAACTATTGTAACGTTTGTGTCAACGCAGACTTAGTCCATAGATCCCTTCTTTTAGTCCCTAACTTTATGGTTCACAGTCTACAAGTACCGACTTCGTTTAGTACAGCTAAAGACGAGAAGTGCCGGCCAGGAATCTCAAGAATGTCACTCAGGTATTCCTGTCACTTTCTTTCTCCCGGTAAATAAATGACCAGATAAGCGACACAACACGGTAACCAATGAATTTTCTTTAAAAACAGCTGGCACATACAGCAGACCTACACACTACTTCCATGCTAGTACACTACAACCTCGCTCTAAGAAACACATGGCTGGTTGTGAGTTGTATTCATACGTTCCTAAATCGTCTGATAGCCCTTGTGTACATGACGTCACTAGCAGAGTAACCATAAGTTAAGAAAACTTCACACAATATAGGATCTAGTTTAGGTAAAAAATCGATAACATTAACTTGTTTCGCTAAATTGTGTTTACTAGATATAGCAAGTGGTAATGTAGTTTCAAGAAAGTGAGTTATCCCTTTGGAATACAAAATCCGGAAAATAAAAAGTGCACAAACAATACTTACATGAATTGTAAAATAAAAACCAACCTCCAACATAAAAGATCGGTACTAGATCCCGATGCTACGTTCGTGCCCCTACCAGAAGTTTTGGTACTTAGAGGGTCCCGGCAAACAAAATGTTGAAGAGCCGGTCAGACAACTTTACCACCCTCTCAAGTTGTCGCACAGCCTGGGGCAATATTTTGTTGTTGGGGAGGGGGAGGGGGGGTCACACCAATTACTTGAGCTGATCCGTGACTAAGGTACACTCTTCTCACCATATGATTTTTGAATGACTGGAATGTCGAGATGGTAATACCACGGCATGGGTCTGCACGGGTGTAAAAATGTGTGGCAATTACACAGACGTGGAACAAGGAAGGGAAGATCTCTAAATAAAATGTCGACATTGGAAATTTTTCTTGGAATGGCAATCAGGGGAGCTAATAAGGATCTAATTTATCAATGGAATTTTTTTTCTTCTAATTTTAAATTGTAAATGCTATTCTTGACATCCGGATTAAGATAAAGAGATTTTTTAAGCGTTTTTTTGTTTTAAGAATATAAGACTAAATTAACTCCATCCCGTAGGCTAGACGGTGGACTACTAATTAAGTAGAATAAATTGTAGCTGAGCTTTGATGCCGACTTGGCGCAGAAATCCAATCTCATGTCGCGAGAAACCGCGAGATTAACGACCGGTATAATTTGTTGTACCGAGCTAATCCGATTTCACAAACAGGATATGCAGAATGTACACACAAAGGCGTGATTGGACACGCAGGATCACGTGTTTTGTTGCCCCGGGCAGAATCGCGCGTGTTGTCATGGTGACGAGATTTGATCAGATCCCAACATCGTCCATTGGGGACAACAACAGGGTGTCAACAACAGGGTGTCAACATCAGGGTCTCAACAAGAGGGCATAACAGCAGGGTGTTAAGAAGAGGGCATAACAACAGGGTGTCAACAACAATGCACCAACAACAGGGCATAACAACAGCGCATAACAACAGGATGTCAACAACAGGGCACCAAACCAACGAGGCAGGTTTGGCTATTTAGGGCTATGATGTATGAGGCAGCTAAGCGACTTGCTATCTATTTCTACAAGATGGCGGTGTGATCAGCTCTTTGAACCATGCACCACCATGAGATGTCACATCCTACTGGCCATGAGATGTCACATCCTGCTGGCCATGAGATGTCACATCCTACTGGCCATGAGATGTCACATCCTACTGGCCATAAGATGTCACATCCTGCTGGCCATGAGATGTCACA